AAGGCACAGGGACCACGCCGAGCTCCATCAGAAGATTCAGCAGTTCTGCAAGAGGAAACAGGGCAGACCACAGAATTACTCGGTGGAGGTGGGATGTTCCTTGTCCTGCTCTGAGCAGAAAATAGTGTCCGTGCCTCTGAGGAAGAGGCACAGCCTCCCAAAGGGGGCCACTTCTGCTTCTGTCCTCATTCAGACACAAGCTTCAGCTTCAATAGTGACCGCGTAGCTTGCAGTGAGCAGAGTGTGCTTCGTTTCCCAACCTCTTGTTAGTGACTTCCCTACGTGGCTCTGGGTAGTGCTGCTGTTCCCAAACCTAGCGTTTGCAGCAGAGTGAAACCTGCCTTTCAGCTACAGAGAGCCCTCCGTTCCCACTGGGTGGAAAGGTCCGAGAGCACCCTGCGTTGTGCGATGGCTCAGATTGCATCAGCACCCCAGCAAAACCTGCAGCTCGAGCACAGAACTCGCAATGCTTAATAGTTGGGAGCACTTTAAAACTGGCAGCATCCACTCCTTTGTGGTCATCTGTCCTGGAAATCTTTTTTTCCATTAGGTGTGTAAGATGCCCCTGGCTTGATTTAATTTCCTGGTTTTTAATTTCTTGAGCTGTGCAATGCCACATGCTGCTAGAGAAAGGATGCTCTTTAGTGTTCCTGTTTCTTAGCAGCTCCTCGTCTTCATCCATCTCTCATGATGTGCTGGTTTGTATTCCTTAACTTTATAAGTGGCTTCTAGTGCTCGTAGTTTAGCATTTAGAAGTTCCTCACCCTTAGCTTTCTGTTATGTCATCCTTCAGACACTGCAGTGACTCTTTGTAAGCCGTGCATCACAAGAAGAAATTGTGAATGCAATTTATTGGTCTTGTAATACTCAGACTCTCTTGCTGTTTTCAGTTCCTCTGATATTCAGTGGGCTTTTTTTTTCTTTTTTTTTTTCTTATCAGCTGTTTGGCAGGAGAAGATGCACTTACAGAAAAAATGTGAATGCATTTCTTAGAATGAGAAAGTCTGGTTTTAGTACTACCTCCTGTCTCTGAGACCCTGTGGTGGGTCCTGTTGATGGGCTGCAGCGTGCTAATTAATGCTGAGGTTTCTCACTGTAGCTCAGGTACCTTATGAGGACATCCCATTTCTTAAGGCCCTTCTGTTCTGACTCCCCAGTTTGTGGAGAATGAGTGCCCCGTTAGTGGTAACTTAGCCGCAGTGAAACACATGAAAGAAATTAATTACCTAATCACTGCAGAATGGGGCAGTTACTTTAGTAGATTATCATTTTTTAGGTAATAATGAACATTTTTGATGTTGACACCCTGGTGCCTGAGCTGCTCGCTCAGCCTCAGCCATGTGTCTGCGTCCAGAGGCTGCAGGGCTCAGGCCACCACTCATCGGCCTCTCCTTCGCACAGACAGCTGCTGTAGAACCACAACAAGGTGCAGGGAGAAACCTGCAACCGCTGGGTTCCTAACGGGTTGGTCTCCAAAGGTAAGCTCTGTGCGTCGGCCGTGCACGCCTATGGGATATGTATGTATTTAGGTTAGCCGTGCACCCAAACACTCTTAATTTAAGGCCTTTTATGTCAGCTTTTCCCTCGGTGAATTTATAGCTAAGCGTAGTTCGTTAAAAATATCTGAAGAACAGTTTGTGATGAACACGCTATGCGGGCAAACAGCATTACTGCCACAGAAATGTCACGTAGGTTGAAAATTCAGATGTCTGTTCCCAGCTCAGAAATTGGTGGAAGCGCATTGCCATAGCTGCGCGGACAGATGCAGCAGCTCCTGCTGCTTGCTGCAACGCTGAAATTTAACTTTTTTATTTTAAGAACGTTGGGAGCTCAGATTAGAAACCGCTTCTTTCTGCCACATGTTTTGCTATTTGTGGTGGGGGAGCTGCTCCCAGAGGATTGGGATCGGCTTAACCTGGTCAGTTTGGGGACATCGCTAGGGAGCGGCGGTGTCGGGCCCCGTGGGACGTTCAGACCCATCGTACCCCTCCCCAGCCCCACGCCTGGGTGCTGGTAGGTAGCTGCAGAAGCTGCGTGGTGCTGAGGGTTTGGCTAAAACCATCGATACTGGGTGTTTAAGAGGAACTGGGTGTGAAGTGCTTTTCTGACCAGGATCTCGGTTCTGCGTCCCCTGGGATCCGGGCCATACACATCCCCATGAGGTTATGGGATCTCTGCCTCAAACTGCCCGAAGCCGAGGCCCAGCCGGGAAGCGTGGTATGGGGAGGATGGAGGGAAGGTGGAGGTGGTTACAGGGATGCTGAGCTCCGTGGGTTTGTATTGGAGCTGTTCCCTTTGTGATCTGCTCTTGTGCCACCGCGAAGTTCACTTTGTCACGTCAGCGCTGCCAAGGACAGGTTCGCAATCGCTGTCTCAATTTCCAAGTCTCTGAGATGAACAAGGAGATTAAAATAAGAGAGAGTGACGATGTGGGAAAAAGCTCTCCAAACCAAACTCCCCGTGACGAAGGTTGAAGCACTGAGGGGAGCTCCAGAGAGCCGTTATCAAATATCGTGGGTAACGGAGCTATGCCAAGAAAAAGAGATGCCTTAATTTCATAAGGTAACGATCCTTCTTTTAGAGATCCTTTGACGCACACGCACACAGAGAAGAATTCTTAAACTGTAAAATAATAGAAGAAATCAATGTTTCTTCTAATGTGTTTCACTGTAAGGCCTTCAGTTGCGGGTTGTGTTAATGTTAAACTGAAAGGGACCCAGGTATTTAAACAAAGGTAATTAGAAAATGAGCCTCAGCAGTATCAGAGGCCCCCTTCTTCAGTAAACCTCCCTGCAGGAAAAACAGGGTTGGTTTCTGCTCCTTTTTTAAAAAGGATCATTTCAAGAATCTGTGATAGAGGCAGTTATGCAAGCGATGGAGCTAGCAAAGGATGGGGTGTGGGAACGTGCTGGAGAACGCAAAACTGAATGATCGGAGCAAGTGTTCTGCTGCTCCAGAAATAGAAATGTGGGTTAGGTTAAAAAAGGCATTGCAATGCTGCTGTACGATCTCGTACATCTCCAGACAATCTGCAGTGTAGTGCTTTGACATCTTGCATCCGATTTGCTTAGTTTTTTAAACGTGTTGCGGCTTAATAGCGTTATTACCAGAACATTTATCTTGTTTGAACTACTTTTATCACCTTTGTCAATGGGGAATGGCAGTTACTCTCATTTCTTTAGTATTAATGATGGTTTATTTCTTGCAAGTCTCCGCTCCCCACAGCCTACACCACGACACCCTCACCCACTCCCCTGTGTGGCATTGTCCCCTCGCTGTGCTCCGTGTCCTTCAGAAGCTGGCTCTTCCTTTCCTTAGGCTTCTGCACCTGTGGTGGGGCCGTGGGCTCGGAGCGAGGATGGGGCAGTGCCTGGGGAAGGATTTGATCTGAAACACGAAGTGGGAGCCAGGAACGAGAGGCTGTATGTGAATCCCCAGGTAGTTACTGCCTGAGCTGCTTCTTGAAGTGCAGATGCCTACAGGTGAGGGCTTGAAGGTACCTTGTACTTACTGAAGGTGCTGGAAGTGTCACTGGGGACGAGGGAAGAGGTGGGTTACTGCCCTCTGCTCCTTGCAGGGAATGGTAACAGACCCAGCGATGAAAAATGAAATGAAGCTCAGTAATGTAGGTTGTGCCAAACTGCTCTGAGCTCTTGCTTTGGCAGCTGATATTCTAAACAAAAGAAATTCAGGAAGTTGTCTTTCTTTGTGGAGGTCATTAAAATATTTTGTACAATAGAACGAGATTGGGAAAGGTTGTGGTTGCTTTAAGAGTCAAAATGAGTGTTATTTGGGAACTTGTCATTTTTTTGTTATATGTGGCCTCACTTTTACCACTTTTGCAAAGGACTGTATCAAAATCTGTTGAATTTTGTTGGGATTGATGAAAAACGTCTATGCAGAGCTTCCTGTGAAGGAGATGATGGTGAGGAGGGTTTCCTTTCACCAAATGCCTACAAAGGCTTCAGACCCAGAGTGTGCATAACAGGAGAGCTTTGCTTGAGTTCCAGTTTCAGGCTTTGATTTGTAGTTTCCTTTCACCACTCGTGTAGTTGGTGATCATCTTTAAGCCCCAAACTGAGCTCGCAGTACAACGTGCAAGCCCAGCCTGGCTGCCAGGTGGCTGGGTGCAGACTGTTAGTGTCGGCTTTGGGACAGGCAGGAGCAGAATCCGGGCATGAACCAAACTTTGGCTGCCCAGTCCCATGTCCTTTAGGTAACAGGAACCACCGGTCTCCAAGCCGTGCTTTTCCCCCTGGAGGAGGAGGGTTCAGGACTGCTGCAGGGGCACGGTGCTGCGGGCTGCCTCGTGCACTGCTGACGTCCGTGGGCACCTGGGTGGGCTCTGCGTGTACCAGCAAAGCGTGCTCGCCTGCCCTGCCAGGGACCACTTGGCTGTGATGTCTGTGAGCTTAGTGGCTTGTAGTCTAGTGTTCATCTTTCTTTACTTCTCTCTTGCCTCTGTTGATACGCTGAAGACCTTTCTTCCTCTTCTGTAAATAATTAATTGCTGAAGTTTTGGCCACTGAGCGCAGTTCTGGAAACTGTAGTAGGAGTACAAAGAAGCAAACTGGGGGCAGTGTGGTTTCCTTATCTGTGAATGGCCTCTGTGTGCTGGATCATCACCCTTCCCACCGCGGCACCTGCTCTCCTAGCAGGCCCTGCACAGGCTGCTCCTAAAGGAAGATTCGGTGCCATCACCTGATGCTTTGCTTTTACACATCTCCCCATTTGTGTGTACGAACACGCTCTGTGGTTTTAGTTCATTACTTGCACTTAAAGCCAGGTCACGCGTATATCACCTCTACTGTTGGTATCATGCAGCTGTAACCCGACTTCTCACACCAGGAATCAAACAGGACTTAATAATTTTGTGTAGAGGATTTATCCGATTCTTAAAAGCTGGCTAGAAGCTATATTGAGATATTCTGTTTGGAAAATACAAAGGAGGAACAAATTGTGAAGACTGAAGAGTAACCCCCTGTTCTTCTGTGTTACAGCTAGGTGTGTCCCATCATCATGTTCTGGAAGTTTGATTTGAACACAACATCGCATGTGGATAAGCTGCTGGATAAAGAAGATGTGACACTTCACGAGCTGATGGATGAAGATGACATCTTACAGGAGTGCAAGGCTCAGAACCGCAAGCTGCTGGACTTCCTCTGCCAGCAGCACTGCATGGAGGAGCTGGTCAACCTCATCACACATGAGCCCCCTGTGGATATGGATGAGAAGGTCCGCTTCAAGTAGGTATTTGTTTTCTGTCCTATATGAGGAAAACTGAATGAGAGGTCTTGATGTTAGAAATGCTCTGGTGCACAATGACACAGTATTTCTGGTCATGCAAAAATCCTTCAAATACTGAAAAATATTTCACAGCATTCTCATATTTGTGGTGAATTTTCAGAAGCTTATTTCTTTATTATTGATGTTTCTTTATTAAGATTGTCTAAAAAAAAAAAAACGTGTCTTGCTGTTTCTTCAAAAACTTTGCAAGCAGAATGATCGGTATCCCAGTAGTTTCTTTAGTACATTTTAATCAAAATTAATCATAGAATATCTGAGTTGGAAGGGAACCACAAGGAACACGGAGTCCAACTCAAATTGCAAGCAAATAATGAGAGTTATGCTCAGAGTTATAAATTTCCTAACTTGATTGGTTTTCAGTAGTCAACCCACAAAAGAAATTGATCTGTACAGTGAATAAAACATGTAATGTTCTCCATGTGCTGCATATACAAAATCTGTAGGTTCCATTGCACACGTAGTGATGGAGAGCACCTGTGTAAACAACCTCTTCTTACGATGGTGAACTCCTTAGATGTGCCTGATTCTCCCATCAAGTTGTATTTATGCATCTTATTTAAGTGTATACTTGAAAATATTTGCATTTCGAATTTGGTAAGTTTGTTTTTCTTTGCTAAGTTTATGTAAAAATAAAAGGCTGCGCCATGTATAAATAAATTAATAAAAGCGTACGAGTTTGTCGCTGTGGGAACGGGTCAGTGTTGGTTATTGCTGTTGTTGCTAGAAATCTACAGAAGGATGGGATTGTTTAGGTTTAGTATTCTGTAAGCCAGTCAGTCTGTTTAGGTGACTTTCCAGATAAGGAAATGCCAGGAAATGCATAATGTAGGAACTTGGAATACTGCATGGCTGATCTGCAAGGCTTCTGCTATCAAGGCTGAACTACCAGAAGGAGCCAGGAGTATTATTTTTATCCTCTTGTCCTACAAGTGCGAATTTCACACAGGTACTCCTCAGCCAGGAGCACAGCACACAACCCTTGCCCAGAGGCTGGGGGGTCTCCAAACCCACCTGGATGTGGGGCTGGGCCAGGGGGGAAGCAGGTGGACCCAGAGGTCCCTTCCCAGCTCCACCAGGCTGGGATTCTGGGACTCTTCTTTGGCCTTGCTGCCTTTCCTGCAGTGTGTCAGGGTAACTGGCTTTCCTGGGGGTAACTGGCCTGGAGCTTCACGCAGCTCTTTACCCGTGTTGTTTTCACATCTCACCTGAAACAAGCTCAAACCCCAAATCTCTTATTGAAGATGCTGGGTAATATCTTTCCTTAATGAAGGAAAACTGATTAAAAGTTAATGAGCTGAGAAAGTGCTGAACAATGTGAGACTTGTGCACACCTTCTGGTAAAGGGCCACGATGAGGTACCAGGTACCAAGGGCCACGGCAGCACTAATCCATACCCTTCCCATTGCACTGCAGAATGCTCTAGCACTTCATAAGCCAGGCCATATTTTTATTTCCTGTATTTTAAGGTTGTGATGAAGTTCGTGTCTCTGCTCCTGTGTGCTACAGGGTGAGGTGGAACAGCCTCTCCTAGCCCAACAGATAACGCAGTAGGAGAGGGGAGGTGAACAGATTGCTCAAGAAGCAAAATCCATAAAGGAAGCTCTTCCATGAAAAGGGAAGCTCAGTTTGAGAGCACTTACTTCCAGGTGCCCTTGTCTTTCACAGGCAGGCTGGCACGCCTCTGCGGCAGGGTTTGAGGATGCGCATGTGGTTTAGGGAGCCCCAGGTCACAGGGGCAGCCGTGGGCTGGCAGCAGCCTGCCTCCAGCTGCCTCCAGAGCTGTGGTGCCTGTGCTGGAGAGCTGGAGGAGCATCTGCTGTTGGGGAGGCCCTAAGTGCACAATTTAACTTACACCACCATCTGACACACACCTGTATATTCCTCTACGAGCAGTGTGTGCGGTGCCTGCTGGACAAGCGGGTGCAGTGATGGGCAGGGTGACTGTCCCCTGTGGAGGAGGGCTCCTGAGAGCTGTGTGGTGTCCTGCTTGCTGGGACACAGCTGCTCTCATGAAGCATTTCTCTGGAAGTGCGTCCAGCACTACACACAGGTGGGGCAGAGGAGCACTTCCAAAGCAGGATGAGGCACTGGAGAGAGGATTGGGAGTCTAAGAGTATTAAAAACCAGGGGTCCTTTTGGAATAGATAAAACCTATGTGAGAAGAATAGGCTAAGTCCAAGCAGAACCCAATTTTTGGCTCTTAAGAAAAGGTCTTAAAAGTTTTTAGACTGTAACAGGGAAGAGAGAAACTTGGTAGATCTGGAAGGCTGTGCAGCTCAGAAGGATGCGTGCTGTAGAACCAGGATCGGCACGGCGCTGTGTTCATCAGGTGTCAGTAGGATGGAAATGTGTGGAGTTCAGAAAGGAAACTGCACGGGACAGCTCAGCCGTAAATCCCCTTCCAACCACGGCATGCAAAACCAAGCAACCCAACGAAGACCTGTAGCAATCAAAGTAGTGTTAAACGATTTGAATTGTGATGTCCACTTATAATGAACCTGACTACTAAGGGGTCTCAAAACTGGTGAGATTGTGCAGCTTCAGGACAGCTCATAACTGCTCAGCGAGCTGCGTGTCGAGTGAGACGAATTGAGCAGCGGCGTGGAGACCTTACGGGTTGGGATGCAGCGCCTGAATGGAAGGGTGAAGAAAAGGCTGCAAGAGTTGGATGCTCTGTAATTTGTAATAGTGAGAGATTTCATTTATTCACCTGGTGCCAGGACACGTGTCACAGGGAGGCACGGTGCGTGAGTTCTTAGGAATCAGGAATGCCTTTTGCATGGAGAAATGAGTCAGAAATTTGAAAAAAACCCTCTTCGTATAACCTTGAGAGTTCTAAGAAACATAACTTGTAAAATCATTTTGTAACAGTAACCATAATGTACTCAAATTTGCCTTCCTTGTAGGAGCAAAAAAGATGAGCAGCGTTGTTGTGGGCTTGGGCTTTGCTTTTCGTAACTTTAAGGCACAGAACTGCACACGTGAGGAGACTGGTCAGGAGCTGAACGATGCTGTAAATGGATAAAAAGCTCAAGTGGTGTCTGCCTTTGAGGACCTGTCTCAAACTGCAGCACCTGAAATCACTGGAAGAGAATCACTGGAATAACTGCCAGGATTCGCTGCTATTTCCCTGAATGATTTGAGGAGTTTGAATACGGAGCAGGTCACCGGCAGAGCAGAAGTGGGAGATGAGACCCAAGTTCTTCGGGGCACTCCAGGGTGATGCAGGTCTGTGAGCCAGAAGATCCGGCTTGCGCAAATGGAAGGAGAGAAATGGTTATAAAGTTGTGCTTCCGAGACACCTTCCCACCTGCTGTCTCCTTGCTATTGCCCAGTCCAGCTCCTCTAGGGGGAAGTCAGGCTTCGCAGGTCTCCAGGAGCTGAGGGATGGGAGCAGTGAGGGCAGTGGCCCCGTGTGGTGTGAGAGCTTCCCTCAGAAGTCACCTTCAGATGCTAAGGAAAGCCTGGAGAAAACAAGCTGTCAGGGGAGAGGAAAGAAGGGCTCTGTTATCAGCTAATAACTGTTTAAAGAGAGGAAATGCATGCGAAGGAGAAACGGGCAGTTCCAGCTTCCTGGGTTTGCACTAATCCGAGCCCCAACCTGTTTGGTGTAATCCTGCCTGAAACAAGAGGGAAGGTGAATTGTAAATGTGGGATGGTGATGCTGTAAAATCAGTGAGGTTGGTTAAATGAAATGGTAGAAAGGTTTCGTGGTATTTTATGGCCAACTAGAAGTAAAGTAAGTGTAGTCACTGCTGGTTGTGTACCGGCTGATGACCCAAGCTACGTGTGCACATTGGTGGGTGTCAGATCGGCTTTTACATCCTGGAAATCCTCAGTCTGGGTGTCCTGGAAGTCCTGCACAGACAGCGAGCACCAGCTGTGCTTGGGGCTGAAGTTACGGCTTAACACGAAGCAGCTCGGTGTCCATACAGAACAAGTTACGGTTCTGTCAGCCTGGGCTTGGCTCTTTACCTGCTGCCAGGACACGAGGAGTTTTCCTTGCTGAGAAGCGAATGGGACTGGGATGGATAAAGCCAGGCCTACACCGAGAAGGCTGAGGTGTGGGATCTCCCAGGGTAAAAATCTATTGAGTGAGTGTAAGAAAAGCAAACCAGGGGCTGTTCAGAGAGTAAAGGTGGGTGTGAGGTTGGTGTGCTGGAATTATGGTATCCACAAGGAAGCCCCAGCACAAGCTGAGGGTGGGCAGGAGCTGTGTGTGCACGGTGCCTGCAGGCAAGCAGGCAGCCACCTGGAAAAGGAGCCGCAGGTGCCAAGAGCAGCGTCAGACCCAGACCTGCCTCTCCTGGTGTCCTGCCCCTGGCCGTGGTCCTGGCGGCTCCGTTTTAGGGTGGTGAGACTGTTCGGTGCTTGAGAAGTGAGTGTGCCATCACCTTGCCCAGCGACAGTGTTCCTCCTGCCTGCCCCAAAATTTCTGAGTGCCTGCAGTAATTGCATGGTTCCCTCTCTGCCAGGGGTCGGCAGGTTAGGAAGCACCACGGGGCTGGGCTTGGGGGGGTGGGAGATCAGGGCTGGGAGCAAGGGGCCCGGTTTCAGGCTCAGGCGGTGCTGTTAGGGTTTCCTCCTGGTTTTCTGTTGCAGGTGCTGAGGGCAGGAGCCTGACTCTTCAGCTGAGAGAAAGGCACAGCAGATAAGCACTGCAACCTGGGCTCTGTAGGGCAGTCACAGGTCTTACTGCAAGGGAATTGGCAGACACGAGCATTTCCCGGTTCTTTACACGGCTCTTTTTTGCATTTTTCTTCAATTTGAAATTAAGGTTAAAAGAAATCTGCTTATTGAGGTTGCGTCAGTTCGCTTGTTCTGCAGAAGTTAAGGTATTCCCTTGGTGTTGTAGTGACCGCCATGGTATTGCAGAAAGGTTTCATATTGATTTTGGAGTCAGCTTGTATCTAAAGTTAAAAAAAGCACACCTTACAGGATTGCTAAAATGGGAAAAATGTGTTGGATTTGTGTCTCATGGAATGGCACAGTTGTTATTTGGAAAGTGACTAACAAAGGAATGAATGCGCATTTGCAACAAGACTGTTTGGTAGGATTTTTTAATGTTATTAGTTTAATTGGCTGATTTTAAAATATGTAGCAAATTTGCCTTTTGTTTTTGAAAAAAACAAGCAACCACCAACAGATTACCAGCTCTGCCTGCAGAGAGAAAATGACTCAGGCTGAAACAGATAGGTTTAGGTTTTGTTTTTTCTCTGTACCACTTGGTAACAATCAAAACTGCCTTAGGAAACAAGGGCCAGAACTGCCACTCAGTTTGGGAAGTTTGGGCTTCAGAAATGCTTCTTCTTGCTTCGAACCTGAAGCACTCGAGCAGACTGGGTCTTTATCTGCTGTCAGTAATATGGATCTTCATTTTTAATTCACCTCCAGTAGTGGAAAGAACAACTTTTCAGAACATCACAGAAACCTGCTAAATATGCGTTCTTCAAATCAGCCCTCAAATTTTAGGTTAATTTTACTTGTGCAAATGGATTTATGTTAAAAGACTTGAAGAGATTTTAAGCGTACTGAAACTGATTAAACCCCACTTCTAATGATCAGAACTAACTGTAATTTGCAGGCAGCTGAAATGTGTAATTCAGTGGTAAAAACCCCCAGGTGATATGCAAAGGAAAGAGTTTTTCCTTAAATGTGCCATTAATGGAGATGACCCTCGTTTCTTCTGTTATTTTCTGCTCCCCCCATCTCCAAGAGGGGTGATGCCCCTGCTCTTTACTTTATAACTTTCGAAAGTGAAGATTTTCTTGAGAGTTTTCATTTCACCTTTAGTTGCTCTTGTTCCATCCTAGATACCCAAACACGGCCTGTGAACTGCTGACCTCGGACGTGCCCCAAATCAACGACAAGCTAGGAGGGGATGAAACTCTACTGAATATCCTCTATGACTTCTTGGATCACGAGCCTCCACTGAACCCGTTGCTTGCCAGTTTCTTCAGTAAGACGATTGGGAATCTCATTGCAAGAAAAACAGAACAGGTAGAGATGAGATTTGTCCTGATACGTATGCACAAATTAATTCACTATCGCGGTTGGTGTTGCACAGCAGGGTCCTTGCTGTCCTCATGGTCTCACTATATTCTTAGAGCTGAAAAAGAGCTTTACTCTTTAAGGGTGGAATTGCAATGTAGGCTTTGAAAAGTTCTTCAAACTTTCTTGGTTGGGGGAATTGCTGACTCATTTCGACACCTTTATGTAATTTTTGTTTTGGAATTACAATAATAGGGATATTCCTGTGCTAAAGCTTTAGTTTTGTACTGAAGGATATTGATACAGCCTTCGATCATTGCCCAGAACCTTCTTGTTATATAAATCATGCCTCAGTCTCCTATAAGAGGTGCTGGAAACACGTGCTGTATAGTGTTTTAGAGAAAGATGTGTTCCAATTCAGAGGTATTATTTTAAATGGAGATTGTTGGAAAGCCATAGTGCAATGAAAAATTCTCCAGAGTTCCTTGATACTCTTACTTCTGTGGGGCATAGAGGAAAGAAAAGACAGCAAAAAAGATCTGATTTACTACTGCCTTGAAATGAGAATGTTATTCTGTCTGCTGTCTGGAGAGTTTCTCAACCTTGTAGCTGTTCTGCATCAAGGCTGGGTGGTTGGGACAAGAACACGAAGTATAGGAAGTCTGGTGCTGTTATGTCTGTTTGTTGTGCTGGCAGCTGATGGTGATGTTTTTATTTTTAGGTGATTGCATTCTTGAGGAAAAAAGACAAATTTATTAGCCTGGTGCTAAAGCATATAGATACATCAGCAATGATGGACCTCCTGCTTCGTCTCATCAGCTGTGTGGAGCCCGCGACTCTACGGCAGGAAGTGCTGAATGTGAGAATTTGCTTCTTTTTTCTTTACAAGATGAGAACAGGGCTTTGTGTTTGTTTGTTAAGGAATATAATTCTGCTTGTCATTCGTTATGAGAGTGGATCCACTCTTCTGAGAGCTGCTTTTGTTAGTGCTGGAGTCTGCACGTCGGTCCCGTTGGGTACGTCAGCCTGTTCGCTTGCGCAGAGCGCGCCTGGGTCAGTCGCTGGCAGTAAAGGATTTTCGACTCGTTTTTCCATGTAGCAACCAGTGTTTACTCTAGCTGGTTTTGCTCTGACAAAGGAAATTCGTAATCTTTCCCAGTGTTCAGAATTTCATATTAATCATTTGGGACACTAATTTGTGTAATTCCTCACCATGTTCAAGGGTGTGAGATTTTTGGAGATGATATCCCGTGTCTCCTCTTCCCCCTTCCTCTTTAATATGCACCCTTATAAAATACCTCACCGAGACACTTGGTTTGCTGTACAGGTAGGGCGAGTTTTTCTCCCCTCATGGCCCAGTCTGGGTGAGGCTGCCTCGTCCCCCCGTCTGCGAGCAGTCATGTAGGATTGCAGGAAGAAAGCCTACCTTGGCTCCTGCTCACTAACCCACAAGAACGGTGTGCCATATGGAAAACTGTACTCATGTCGCTGAAGCCCCATCCAGTATTTACACGTTTGGCAAGCTTTGCTGTCCAAGTCTTCTGTGTCCAGAGCACTGAGCACAGCAGTGGTTTGCAGAGCCTCGCGATAGATCATGACATCTCTCAGTTCCCCCTCCCGGCCTTGCAGGGCATAGTGCAGTACTCCTGCTTCAGGGAAGGAGAAAGTCCAGGTGTAAATGGATCCTCAGACAGATATGGGCATTCACCCATGAAAGGAAGTCATTTATTTTTTTTAACAGGAAAGTCAGCAATTCAAACTGGTTAGAAATCACATAGTAATGCCAAGAAAAGAACTGGGAAGAAAAAGTCTTCAAGAGATGGACTGCAGTGGGAAAGTGACGATGGAGGAGTCCCTGGAAGAGAAAGCAGCTTTGCAGGAACGGCCCAGCCAGATGCAGGCAGGGATGGCCCGAGGGCTGAGGGCTGGGGTTGCTTGCCGCTGCTTGGCACTGCTGGCACCCAAGATACTGGGGCCAAGCAGAGGGCTCACCAGCGCAGGACAGGCATTGCAATAGTGCAGCAAAGTAATTACCAGCGTAAATGCAGTTATTTTTCCTTCTGATGTTAAATGACATTTTAACTGAGTAGCTTTTTCCCTGGTGGATGGCTTCCATCCAGGAAACTTCCAAATATCCAGGCTTCCAAGTAACAACCATCCATAAACCGTCAAATCTGGATGGGATATATTTTAACCCCATCCTGTTACCTGAATTCCACCTGTTAAAGATTTCACACAGTCCAAAAAAGAAACAAAAAACAAATTGAAGATACCATGTGGCACTGGAGGTGTGCCTCACTTTTTTTTCCAAATAGTCTTAATGTAAATATTATCCTGGAGAAGTTTAAAATCTGGTGGCATGGGGACTCTCTTCAGAAGGACAGAAAGTAACAGCAATATTGAAATGTGGGTTTGAATGGGTAGAGCGGCCTTATATCTGTAATTATGGTGATATATTCAGAAAATCAGAAAAGTTAATTTGCAATCTTGATTTTTGGCAGCAATTGGAAATTAAATGCCATATTCAGGTGTTGTTCCCCATCCGCACATATTCCTCTATGCAGTAGATGGTGTTCGGCATGGACATCCTGTGCCTTAGCTCTTTACCCATTATTTTTGTAACACTGACAGCAATTACGCTCGATGTTTTAAGGTCTGCATGGTACTGATGTACATTTCTACTGGATGATATTTTAGGAGGTCTAATGTATCAGGGTTATGCTCCAGCTACTTCCCAAGTAGAGCATGAGTGCCATCTGAGCAACAAAACGCCTTCTACTGTGCATTTGTGTGGCTTAGCAAAAGCTAAAACTTTGTCCCAGAAGAATTTGAGAAGTGCTGTTGTTCACTAGAAGGTGCTGCTTTCGAGGGAGCCCCAGCAGGGCTGGGAAAAGCCCACGTTTCCATCTGACACAGCTGTGCTGGCAAAATACTGCTGCAAACTTCAGTTGGTTTGTTACGTTCCTTGCTGCCTGGAAAGGTGCTGCTCTACCATGTCAGATTTATGAATACGATGTCTTAACCTTTAAGTTAAGTAAAATTATACTCTGCACACCAAGTCTCACAGCATCTCTCGTTAGGGTGTGATATCCACATTGTCCCTTTGACTTGGTAAGTCCGAGACTCCCTGATAACTGCACAAGAGCCTGTAGTTCCCCATTTTACAGATTCTGAGACTGCTAGGTGGTACTGGTGGCTCTGTTCTTTGTCCTGTTTCCTGCTGAATGGACCTTTTTTCTGCGTGTTTGAAGTTTCCTTGGCTGCTCCTTGCTGGGATGACGTTAGCCTTGATGGAGGTGCTCACTGTGTTAGTGCAGTGTTTGACATCCAGAGCTGAGTGAAGCAGGGCCAACAATTCCATGGGCAGAGCACTTGAAGCTGGCATTGCCACAGAAAGCAGCAGTCTTGCTTCCACTGTCTCTTGCTGTCTGTTCTGCCCATCCAGCTCCTCTTGAATCTTTGCCAGCTGGAGTGTTCGTGTGGCTGTAGAGAGACATGGATTGGGGAATCGATACGACTGTGAAAACACCTCTCTTATTTGTGTTCATTGCCAGGATTGTTTTCAGCTGGATCAATTCCTTGTTTTATTTTTAAATTATTATTATTTATTTATTTTTCTTATTATTTTTTTGCACGGCCTTGTACAATGATAAGGGAGTTGAAAAGGAGGAGAAGATAAGTGGATGAGTAGGAGCAGAGAGAAGGTTGGCAGTGCCATTTTGTGTTCTTACAGGGTCTGCAGAGTTACAGTCTGGTGGTTTTTCCCTTTCTCTTCCCTAATCTGTAATTGAGGGCATACAGTTTACATGACAGTATGATAATTCTTTATTCATTTCCTTCTTTTCCTGCATGATAGAGGAATGCTTTGTTTGTGTAGTTCAGATTTTGTTGCTTTGAAGAGCAGTGCCATCACGAATAAAACCTTGCTGGCACATGCTGTTCCTACATATTTCTGTCCTGGGTTTGGTAGAAGCACCACTGCATGAGGAAGCCTCCAGGTTGAGCAGCCCATGGGTAGGTGCACTGTAGGTGAAATAATCCCTTGTCTACATTGCATCTTTACAGAGCTATCTCCTTCCTGCTTTGGACTTTCACAGTTGGAAATTTTGGAAGAGTCTTTGGCAGAAGCCTCTAAGGAGGTCCTTCCAGGTAGCTTGTCTTTCAGGCCCTTACCTTTTAATATCCTTGGACAAAACCTACATTGTACAGGTGGATGACAGCATATTTTCTTTGATCGCTGTCATTTGATCCTGAAATGTCTCTGTAAATTTGTACAAGAAATGATATTGACTTTAAATAATTTACTTCTTGTGCAGCAGGAAGGCTCAAATGTAGGTTACTTCTTGAAGCAGTTTAATATCAGGACAGATAAATGGCATCAAAGAAGTCTGTCCTCTGTCTGCATGTTATCACTGTACAGTCTTACCCAGAAAAACAGAGAGACACAGTCACTATGAGAGGGCTCCACGTCTGATTTTGGTGGCATATACTTGGAATTCACGTGAGGCAGATCCAGTTATTCTGGATGTCTCTTGTGCACTTCACGTTCTCCTGCTTGCAGGAGTGTAAAAAGTCCAGCTTCTGCTTTATAATCTTCGCTGAGAAGAATTAGTCTGTCTTCCCCGACTCAGGTCTGAAGGAGAAACCTGGCGTGACTCAGCGGGAGCAGTGAGTCACTGGGCTCTCACTGCAAAACTCCACCTGTGGGTTGCAGATTTGGTTACACCAGTCCACACAGCTGATAAGGTTTCCTTAGTAACTGGGAGGATGTGATCAGTGGTATTCTGATGAGAAATCTGCTTGTCCCGGATGGATCAGTTTCTTCTCCCTGGTGCTGGTGAAGAGCGATGAGGCCCTGCAGCTTCCCAGGCTGTCTGACTGCACAGAAACCCCTTGCTGGTTCTGCACCGCTTTGGTCGATCCGATGTTCCAGTTCCCACCTCTGGCACCTGGAGTATCGTGGAGCCTTTTCATCAGAGCCTAATGTGGGTTATGATCAGAGCACAAAAACTGCACGTTGACCTGCTTTTCTCTATTGCTTTTGCAGGTAACAAAACACAAGAAAAAAAAAGGTGTACTTTTTATTCTATTTGTACCCTAAAGAAACAGAGCTTGTAGGGCTGGATTAGACTAATGCAGATAACTTTCTGTGCTAACAAAGGTTGTCCCCCTGTGAGATCAGTCCTCAGGTGAGGGAAGTTGAATGTGAGTACTTTGGCTGGGTGGCTGTTGATGTTTTGATTCTCAAAGGAATCAGACAGCTTAGGCTGTTGATTGCTGCAGTCCCTTGTTTGACGGCCGCCTTCAATAATGAAGCCTGAACTTTTTTTCTGTGGCTGATCAGGAATATCCAAGCCAAAGTCACACTGCTATTAGGTATATTTTCAGCAAGTTTTAGAAGAAGGAGTTTTGTTGATGTCCTAATAATGGACTCTTTCAAGCATTGACCTGCAACACCTGCAAAATCTATTTGTGGCACAGTGCAGGTTGGAGGACCCCTGTGAAGGTCCAGTTGCCACCTCAGAACAGGTCCCACCACTGCAGATTGCTCAGGGCCTTATCCAGACTGGTTTCTGTATCTCCAAGAGGGGAGACCTGTCTGAGCCCTCATCCGGTGTTTGACCACCCTCAAGTAGAGGTTTGGTTTCCCAAAAACTTCTTGGAATTTCCCTTGGGCAGCTTGGGCCTCTTGTCCCATCGTGGCACTCCCAGAGGAGCCCAGCTCTGTCGCCTCTCCCCACCCTGTTAGGCACTCACAGATGGCAGTAAGGTTTCCTTTTCTCTAAGAAAATCCCGCTCTCAGCCTCTCCTCCTACCTCCTTCACCTCATGATGGTTGGGTTCCTCTGAATGACACTGCTCCCTCCTGCATATCCACTGCTGCCCCCCGAATTGCTATTGTCCATGAACTTGCTAAGGGTGCATTTTTTCCCATTTTCAAGTCTTTAATGAAAACATTTAGTAGTGTTGGACCCTAGTGTGGATTCTTCTTTTTACTAGTAATGTCTCCTGCGAGGCCTGCCCAGCTGCTGAGCCTAGTAGCAGGTTCTGTGGGAGGGCAGTCATTGCAGAGGAGGGCAGGAGTTAGAGCACAGCAGCAGAATGGACCATCCCGATGGGCAGAACATGGTTTGGGAGCCTCCATCCTCTAATTTCTGCATAAGTCTCCAGCTATCCCTTCTTCCGTGCACAAATAGGGCCCAGGAAACCCCGAACATTTCCACACTGTAAAGAAGCTGTTTAAATTCTGTTCATCCATGCTGCTCTTACGTTGTCTTCTCAACTCCTCGCCTCATAACTCGGTCACTTGGCAGCACAGTGCCTCAGTGAGAGCATGTGAGCACCATTATTTCCACCAAGGGGAAGCTCCAGGCCCTCAGGGGCTCTGGTGGCTCGACGCCTCCCCTGCGCCAGATGTGGCTGCCTCAGCTGACGGTTGCGGCCATCTTGCGTGCCTCACTGTGCTTGCACTGATCTTGGAGTCCCTGTGGTCTCAGGCCCCTTCTGTGGCAGCCCCTTGCTACCTGTGGTACCTGCCACACATAAACACGAGTTTCTGTCCATCTGCTCCCTGCAGCTGCATCATTTATTGGTGAGAATAAACGCTGCTGGGCTGCATGGGGTCAGAAAGTTTGTGTCAGGCATGAGTCTCGTCCCAGGGGAGGTGCTGAGGGTGGTGGTGCTGTGATGCAGCCCGCAGAGCAGAGTCCTGCCAGCACCACAGCTTCTGTGTGAGGAGTGAGCTGAGGAGTACTCGTATTCCTCCTCCTGTCATGTCAGAGCCCATCTCTTTGACCACAGCCTCGAGACAGAGAAGTCGGTCTCTTCCAGATATGCTGGGGGCCTGTTAATTCACCAAAATTTGGTATTGCTCTTCCGATCTTAACGGATTATTGCAGTTTATTTCGCTTTTGGATTTCATTTTCTGTGTCTCTCAGGAGCAGTGACTCCTCTGTGTGGATGAATGATCGTGGTTCCCTCTCCTCAGTACCCATTTCTGGCCGTCTGCCTTCCTCAGAGCCCATGATCATGACAGTCCAGGCAAAAAGAGCAAACCCACTTGTCCTTGCTTAACACAAATTCTTTGTTTAATGAGGGCCGGAGGTGCAGCCGGTCTGGGGCCTGGGGAGGGTGTTGATGAAGCTGAAACTACAGAATACAAAATAAAGTTGTACTACAATGAGGGGCTGGGGTTTGACTTACTGTGCTCTGCAAGGGAAAGAAAAATATTTAATGTGGGAGTGCCAATAAGTAGCTTTCTGCTGGGCTGCAGAAGTCGTAAGGAGAGGGGGAGCTTTGGCAGGTTCCTCTGCCGATGGGGGCTGGCAGGTTGGTTCTGCATGGGGTAAGAAACAGGCAGAAACAGCCACTGTGCCTGCCTGTGGTGTTTGTTGTGTGAACAAAGGAAACTTGCAGGTATAAATGAATGTAAGGCAATTTATTTATGCTGTGGGGATACCCGGAGATCGCAGTCAAAATCGGGGCTCGTGGTCGTGCTGTGTAAACGTGTGGCGTGTAACTGATGATGAAGAATGAACATGTAAACATCCCACAGCGACGGGTAATGTTATTGTTACAGATAATTTACCAGGGATGGGTAATTTTATTGTTACAGAGGCTGCCAGTAGGCATAACGGATAGATTCCCGCGGGGGGTGGGGAGGGGTTGTCTGCTTGTTTTTGAAGATATAAATTAGGAAATTTTCATTCATTTGATGAAGCTGTTTCGGTAAATTACCAGAAGGCCGGGGTTTAGGATTTGAAAGAAGGATTTCAGTTGTCATATCCGAGATGCTTATCTGGGAGAAAAGATGCGTGTTGGCCAGGTGAGCACATGAGGACAGACAGGTGCTGTTAGGGGAACAGAGATGGCAAAGTGTGCAGCAAGACATGCAAGGGGTCAGCTCTGCTGCGGTGGGATCGAGAAGGGTCAGGGGTTTAATTTTGGTGCTGGGAAACTAGAAACCAGTGGAAACATCTGAAAAGAGAGGTTTTTAGGAAGAGTGGTGAGGAGAATTGTCTCAGGAACCCATTTTTTTGAACTTTGGGGTAAACTGGGTGTCAGGAAGAAGAAATTCCAGAAACCAGATCTGAAAATACAGCCTTGAATGAAATACTTGGATTCACAGCTGTGTGCTGGAAGGATTTTGGGGACTCCAGAAAGGAGGCAAAGTGAGATGTTTCAGGCTTCGTAGGAAAACAGCAGTATTATGCATGGGAAAAGTCACTGAAAATAGTGATCTTGGATTTTTGTTCTAAATCAGACATACGTCACGCTCAACATGGCATTGGAGAGGACAGGATGGGGTCTGTAGGAAGGCTGCTAGAACAAAACTGGTAAAGAATCAAGATAAGGGTTTGCCATAGTTGAAGTCATGTGAATAGATACCAAAAATTAGCGTTTGAGGGGAGAAGAGATGCACAGAGCTTTCTTACAAAGCAGTGGAAGGCAGGAGACTTAATTTTCTCCATGACTCATCTGAGGGGTGATGGAAGATTATATCATTGCAGAAACCTCCAGAGTAATTTTCCTTTTAATTAGGGTTTGGTCAGTCATTTCAGAAGCGACTGAGAATGCACTAGTTTGGCTGATTTGGCTGATTAGTTTGGTTGATGTAACAGATCTAGCCATTTGCCTGGAACGAAGACCACAGGAAGGTGGGTGAAGGTGGTTGGGTTGGAGGGTGAGGTTGAGCTTATAGGTGAAGCTGGAAAGAGGGAAACTGGAATGAGTTATTTGCAGATGGCGTACTTAGCTTACATGTGGCCAGGGAAGGGAGATAAAGCTTGCCCCAAGAAAAGGAAGTGGTCTGAAGTGTGGAATAGGGCAAGGAGGTGAGGTCCAGGGGTGGCACTGCTGGGTCATGGCAAAGTCTGAGCAATGGTTTAGGGTAAGCAGTAGTCTGACTGTAAGAATGGGAAGTGGCAGGAGAAAAATGTGGTGGTAGTTACGCCACTGCTGCTTCAGGTGAGACAGCATTTATGGCTGGCCTGTTGCATGCTTTCCAAAGTATTTAGGTTTTTAGTTTCCTGGGCAGGGTATACATACTGCTGCAAATTAAAATACGTCTGTATCTGTGCCTTGGGGGATCGTGCATTGCCTGTATCTTTGATTCTAAAATAAAAGAAAAAGGCTCTACCTTATCAAAAAGCCAATGTGATGCAAAGCTTCCCAAAGATCCTCTTGTTTTGAATTCTGTGATACCAAACAAGGATTTTCTTTTTTTTTTCTTCCTTTCCCTCTAGTGGCTTAATGAAGCAAAAATTATTCAGAGACTTGTGGAACTGATCCATTCAAGCCAGGATGAGGATGTGAGTATGAGAAGACTTAAGTTTTGTGTTTATGGATAGTGGGTCCCGTAAGGTTCAGAAGAACCTCTCTGTGTTTCCTTGAATGATGCCCAGGTGCCTTATAGAAGGAGATAATGAGGGATGATCTTCATGGATGGACACCCCGTCCCTTCATTACAGAGTGCAATACTGACATAATTTCTTCTATTTTTGATCTGGTTTTGACATTAATTTTACTACATTTCTCAGTTCATCCTAGTGTTACATCAGTTTGTCTCAGTATTTACAGTCACCAGTAACTTACCTGATTTTAAGTAGGAACAAGCTATTTGAAATAGACAGTTGAAAAACTTTCAAATTAACTCCTTCACTGTAGCATTCAGGTCTTTTTAAACCATAAGTAAGTAAACATTCAGCTAAAATATACAAGATGCAGTTCTCTGAGCTCATGAGAACGACATGGTGAGTATTAAATTACATTAGTGCTTTTTTTTTCTTTCTATAATTTTCACAAAACATCCAGGCCAGCTGTTCTTGTTCTGGATTTTGGTTTGCTACGCTATCAGCTGGGTGTTCACTGCCACCCCCGATGCTGAGCAGAAGGAACAGGAGCACGTTGGTCTCTGGCTGCAGCTTTGTGTTAGGCAGGGATGGGGCAGTTGTTAACAGATGCCTGTGAGTGCCAGCAGTCAGCACTAACAGTGTGATTCCCTCCACACACTGCAGCAAAAATTGTCCCCTCTGAGAGAACGAATGGGAAGTTACATGCTGATTTGTACGTCTTCAGCAGCACTGTCTTATGGATGAATGCTAAATTACAGCATAAGATGTTACACATACAGCAGCTAGAGACAGTCTTTGATTGATAGCCAGAATGAGACTATTAATTTACCAAAATACTACTTTAAAGCCTTTTAATACATAGTAATTAAATTGTAAAGGGTTTTATCAAATCATTTATTTTTCCTCACGCAAAAGAAGCCTCCTGAGTAGTGAGAAGTAAGAATGAAAGACTCGTATTTGAAATTTGCAAGTTAACACACTTGGTCAGAAAGTTTAAAAACAATTCTCACTTTCTGGAATCTTTAACTGCATTTAATTATTAAGTTCAGGAAAATCCTCCCTTTGATTTTAAAATCTGTTAATGCTTCTAATAATTCATATAAACATGCTTAGCAGATAAATAAACTAGAGCATGGTAGCACTGGTACTGAAAAGTTGTGATTTATTTAGCTTCTTGCATTCCCAGCTATGTTAAAGTTTCTCTGACAGCCAGAAAGAGCCAAGCTGAGGAATTAGCACTGAAGTGTGCTCTTTGTTGTTGTTGTTTTCAGAGGCAATCAAATGCTTCCCAGACCCTGTGTGATATCATAAGACTGAGCAGAGACCAGAGCAATCAACTCCAGGATATACCTGAGCCTGATCCACTTCTCACAGCACTGGAATCGTAAGTACTTGTCAGGGGATTGTTGCTGAACTAGTTGTTAAAAATATTGTCACTTCCTGATAGCTCTGTGGAGACACAAACCATGCAGGAAATAGTCTTACACCTGGGCTTAACTCTTGACAATTATCCCAAGCATTTAATATTGCTTCTAAGTTGTAGCATCCCTTAACCACCTGTGTTGAGATCTCTGATTTTGTAGCTCTGCATGAATGCGGGAGGTTGGGGTTAACGATTCTCAAAGCTCACAGTCTAGTTCAAGGCAAGGCAACGCTGGGGAGTGCATTCAAATCTCACAGTGAATTCGGAGAAAGGTGAACTGTGATGGCAGTAGTTGAGGGAAAACCCACAAAGACAAATCCTAACACTCCTGTATTCACTATATTCTTCAGTGCCGAGTGTGACTTGACGTGAAAGGCTTCGGTCCTATTTGTCCAGTCAGTGACTTTTCCTCCCCATCAGTAAATGTATTGCACCGTACAGACAGGTTTCAGGTCATCAAACTACTGTCCTTCCAAATGGGGAAGAAAATGCTGTGACAACAGAAGGAGCTCTCTCACCACAGTAGCTTGCACGTCACTGTGCACTTGGTTTTGTACTGGGCATTTTCAGCTTGCCTTCCAAATTTTTCTGAAGCCTGCTTACATGCTCTGAATTTCCTCTGGCATGCTATTTTCGGCTTCTGAGCCAAGTATTAGTTGAAGATTTCTTAACTTATGTAGACCTTGGGTTGTATGCACTTCTGCATAGATAAGGTGCTGCCAGGATGCTTCTTGATTCTTCTCACCAAAGATTGTCTGCTTGGCTTTTACTTAGACTGAATCATTAATCTGTTTTTATTCTCCAAAAAGCAAAGGTATCACTTGTAATCCTGGGGAGTGGAATCTAGTGAATTCCACCATTTGGGAACTGTTGGTGAGTGCAGGTTGTTTTAAAGATTTACTCTAGAAATACAGTGGTACTCTAGTTTGTTTTTTTTTTTCCATCTGAAGTGGTTTAAGCTAACTTCTGTAATATTACTGAGGGAATACAGTGCTGATGAACTTTCGAAGAGTATTTTTGTTAGGAGTTATTTCCCAAATAATGTTAATTGAACAGCAGGGGCAGCTGTTAGGAAAGGAGCTGGAGCATACAGTTGAAAACAGGATGGGAGTTGTGCTGCACACAAACTCGGAAGAGCCACGTTCTCTGCAGATACGTGCTGGGTCTTCCATGGGCTTGAAGGATAAGCCTGCCCCTCTGAGGAAATGCTCTTTCTGAAATCATTTCCTTGATTGCACCTGCAGAAATACGGCAGATCTGGCCTTGTGTCCAATGGCTGCCGTGTTTTTTTTTTATCAAATAAGCACAACGTTGGATTTTCAGCATAGATTGCATCCCTGATCCAGCATCTCATCAAAACTGAATCAGTTTTGAGCCCTTCTACTGTTTGATGAGCCTCCTGCTTGGCTGCTTCACCTGGAAAGCCTGGCACCTGTAACAGGTGTCAGCTCTTGCAGTAGCATCGGAGGTGGACAGCCTGGAGAACTCGGTAGTTTTTGACTTTCTCACTAGTTCAGCAGAGGGATGCGGAGCCCTGCTGTGCTCGGGGCAGAAGATTGCTGCCCCGTGGTCTTTCGTGAGAGCCTCTGTGGTAGAATTCAAGCAAACTTCCCAGGTTGCACAAAGAATTGTACAAAGCTGCAGTTTGAGGTTTGGCTCATACATCATGGGATGGTCTTCAGCTGCTGCTTTGTCTTCCTTCCCTCTCCCTCCCAGCTGCCCTCTCTTGTGTGGTTTTCTTTGTCTGTGCCATGCGTTGCATGTTTTCAAGCGCTACCTGTAACTTCCATGAGATAAATAAAAATGCTTTTGCACTTTCAAAGAGCATTTCTAAAATCGTTATACCACTTCACTATTTAGAAGAAAAAATACTTTGAACAAAAGTGACTTTTTGCACCGCTGACGTTTCTGCTGGTGGCACACAGCTGTCACCCATCTCGTTTCTGTCACTTATTTCATTTCTTTTCTCTGGTAATTTTTCCAGGCATTACTGGTCACCTTTTTTGATCTTTGGATAACATTTTTTAATCTAGGAATCAGGAATTAATGACCAAGTATTGGTGCAAGAAGGAGCCATGATTAGGGTTACAGAATAAAAATCAAATCTAGATTGTCAATAACTATTTTCTAAACTATCTGCAGCAGTTTGTTTCGTAGATTACCTGGATGCAACAAAAGTGAATTCGGGTAATCACAATACATGGTTACTTTTTCCTTACTCTGCCACTTGAGCTTGTGCTGATAGAGTGTATTTAGATGCTATTTATTAAAATAGTTTTATCTCATACATTATTAATATATTTTTACACTTTTATCTCATCATATGTAAATGAGATTTTTTCAAATGTTAGGAAATAGTAAAAATTAGACCGTGAACTTGAGTAATACTGATTTTAGCTGGATATGTGATTTAGTACCTCAAGAAGGGCACTTGCCGAGTACTGGATTTTGGAGAAATTTCATTAACATCTGCAGAAGTAGCATGGGGAGAGAATCTCAGCCCAGAGGTAGAAGCAGGCACTGCTCTAGTCACTAGCTACAGATGCGTAACAGTGCCAGCCGAAACCTCGTGTTCCTCATAACTTTTATTCATTTAATATAGCAAATAGCAGAGAGAAAAATGTGTTGTTACCTTTGTGATGATTGTTTTTCAATTCTAAGGTTGTTTTTGAGTTTCAAAATCATTTTAAAGACTATAAAGAAATGTCACGATTCATTTTGACTCCAGGAGTCTTCAAGACTTCACTTGGTGATCCTTCCACCTGGCCCCAAATCTGTCAGGATTTGGAAGGTATCTTGATTTAAGGGCTCAAAGAGATAGTGAATGGATGAAAATATTTCAACTGGATAATAGCTAAGACTATTACAAATATGCATATTATTTACGATTTTGTTGACCTCTCTTTCCTGGATCTTACTATGCCAGTGGCAAATGATAAGGGTCAGCTTCCGATGTTTGTTTTCTTTCTTCTGGGATTCTGATGGATAGTTTTAGACTATGAGCTCATAGCTTCATATTGTCTTTAATGAATTGACCAAGTTAACACTTTGATTGTTTTCCAGTGTATAATTAAGAGGTGGGTCTTGTTGATACAGGAGAACCAGCTTTATTTGGGAGTCCAGGTGTTGGTTAACTAGGTCTTACCTAGTGATGCGTAAGCAACTTCGGAACCTAATGCAGAAGCATTCTTGTCTTTGCAAAGTGGAATGTCTCTATTTTTTCTTAAAAACAAAACAAAACAAAACAACCACAAACAAAAAAAAAACTTCTTCTTTTGGAAAAAACAGAAGTGGGCTTTTCTGGTGACTAAAGCAGCTGCCAAACATTTCTGATTCTAATACTGCTAATGTGTGTGTGTTGATCAACAGGCAGGAATGTGTGGAGCAACTCCTGAAGAATATGTTCGATGGAGAACAGACTGAAAATTGCATAGTGAATGGAACACAAGTTCTTCTAACATTGCTGGAAACAAGGCGCTCTGGGTAAGTCAGCACACTTCCTTCCCCAGCACGAACAGTGTTAGGAATTCTGGTCTAGTTTTAATTAAGAAAAAAAATTGGGGGTTGGGAGGGGGAATTTTTTTTGACCTAACATGAAATGCTGTGTAGAAATGGGTACAAGAAAAGCTGGTGGTTTTTTGTTTGTTCGATGCAGTGCCTGTACTTCATGACAGCCAAAAAAGAGCAGCTTGGCTTTTTTAGGGGCTCTTCCAGTTCTCGTGCACGTGTGTAGCAGAGTTGTGTCTGTTATATCAGAGATCTCACAGCAGAATATACACAGAATGGGGGACAATGCTATAGCAGGCCTAATCTGTCTGATAGTGTGTATGTGGCTATATACTTTTAATTTTGTTTCTCAAAACTATATCATGTTTTTATTTCTTTTTATGGAGATAGAGGAGAGGTGGCAAAAGAGGGTTCTGGGGAAGAGAGACACTGGAGGTCTCACTTTTTAAAAAAGAAGAAAATAATGAACAGTGGCAAATATAATGGAAGATTAGGAAGAGTTAGTGAAGAGAGAAGCAGACAGAAGATGGCACTGGGCAAACAACTTGTTACTCAGAGAGTCATGTACAGTTAAACCTGAGAAGTTGAGATACTGATTCTGCTGTGTCTTGTGCTTGGGATCTCTGAAGATTTATGAGTTAGAGACTTAAGTGTTCCAATCTAGAACATGCCTGCCTTGCTGAAATGAAAGCATTTATTTTATTCCAATATGAGACTTTGCTGTTGGAAGGGGCTATTAATAGTTGTTACGATTTACTGCTTACCAGCGAAGAGGTCTGACTATGAGCATAGCTACGTGTCTGCTCTAGCATTTCACTAGATAGGATACTTAGGTACATCTTTTGCAACACTTGCAGAAAGTTTTTTCTAGTTTTTAACAAATGTTTATAGATACAAACATCTGCTGATGCATTTTACTCCTCAAATATTTGTGAAGTTTTAAAACCAGGAAGCACTTCAGTAATTTGTCTTTGTCAGCTCCACAGACAGCTTGTTCTCTGTCTTCCCACTCATCTCATTCACAGCTTTGATTATGTGAATATCATCTTGCAAATAATATAATAACATAGTTACGTAAATACCTTCAGTAGCTGTCTGTTATTATTCTTCATGTTCATAGTTGCTTTTCAAGAGAAAATAACCAACATGGACAGCGTGCCTAGAGGCCATTTCAAGATTTTTTCAAATCTTGACTGTTGTGCTTTTTGCTTTTTACAGGGTGGAAGGACTGATGGACTCATACACTCAGGGATTTGAAAGGTCTTACACTGTCAATAGCAGCATCTTACATGGTATTGAACCAAGGCTAAAAGATTTCCACCAGCTGCTGCTCAGCCCTCCCAAGGTAAGGCATCTCATCTTTCTCAGCAGCAAATTGCTGCTGGCTTGGATTTCAGGGTTTCCTCTTACTTATTCATGGGATTCCTGGGTATTTCTGAAAGTTGAGACAGGCAAACTCTACCTTGTATCTTTTGAAGAAAAATTCACACTTAATGTTCATAATTCACGTGCTTAGGAAATAGGCAGTAGGAATTGAAAGCCAGTGCGTTGTACTTGAGGAAAACTAAGAAGCACAGAGAAGTGACCGATGGTTTATGTAAGGGTGGCTAGGGAGAGAAAGAGACTTCTAGTTAGTGGATATTTTGATCTTACTCTTCAGTTCTGGAAGTACAAATCTAATAGTAGTTACAGGACACTGTTCCTGTGTGGGAAGGTAATTTAGGTTTACCTGCAGAGAATATTTACGTAAGAAAAAGAAGTAGTTATATTTAGGCAAACCGATGTGCATATATACTAAAGGGAATGTTGATCTCTGTTGAGGTTCTCAATATCTGTTTCTCTGATAGAAAACAGCAATCCTAACTACAATTGGTGTCTTGGAAGAGCCACTGGGGAACGCTCGTCTTCACGGATCTCGTCTAATAGCTGCTCTGCTTCACACAAACACTCCCAGTATTAATCAGGAACTATGCAGACTCAGTACCATGAATTTATTACTTGTGAGTAATACAGTGTGACACTGCAAACGGTGGGGGGGGAAACGGCTTCAAACCGAGAGTGTTTTTACTTTCCCTTTCATCTGTTTAGTGCAAGGTAGTTTGTGTCATGTGTGCCAGTCACACATTTCCCTAATCTGCCGAAAGAAGGAGCTTTTGTAATACAATTACGGTTGCTTAATATGTTGAACCAAACGTCTTGCTACAAGTTTATTGTTACAAGAGTTCAGTAGTGCGTACGCCAAATAGTCTGGTTATTGGGAAAGCTCGGGGACCTTGTGGAGACACGCCTCATAATGCTGAGAGCTGACTGCCGTTATAAGCAGGACAGTCTTTCAGAAAATTATTTTTATACTTATAAATTTTGTTAATATTTTTCACTCACAGAATAGCTAACATTATTTTCAGTGTTCCTGTGTTACGAGAGCCCTAGCTGTTGATGAGGTCGTTTCCGTTGTGCTCAGTTTGTAGCTAATTATGCATCAGAGCAGAGAGCACTGAGCACACTCAGATATAAGTGGATCCTAAATTCTTTTTAGTGTAATTGCTGATTAAACAATTACTTGAGCAGTGTTCTAGTATCATTTGATTGTTAAAAATGGGAAAGTGTATTTAGAATGATTTTTAGTTTGTTTGTTTCTCGTTTTATTCCAGGACTTATTTTTTAAATACACATGGAATAACTTTTTGCATTTCCAAGTGGAATTGTCCATAGCAGCTATTCTCTCACACTCTGTGCAAGAGGGAAAAACAACTACTAATGACCTAGAAAGCAAAGAAGAGGTGCTGAATGGAAACGTGGCCACAGAGAACTTAGAGGCTCCAGAAAACAACACCGAGAATATCATGGTTACTCATGTAAGTCTGGTCATGTCACCTGAGAATTTTAGACTGATTGATTCAGTCTGAATATGCATTAGCAGGAGAATGATGTGATGAACTGTCCGAGAGCACGGAGTTTATTTAAAAGTGTTTGGATATAACTTGGTTCTGCCGGTTCTGGTTGGAACTGTATTTGCTTTTGTAAATTTGTTTTTAGCATTTGGTTACTAGGAAACATACCACCCATCACATTTAACGGGCTTGTGAATTCCATCTTATTTTTTTATAAAGATGCATATAAACTTTGGACAAAAAAAAAACCGTTATAGTAACTACAACTAACTAACCACATGTTAGCTTCTCTATTTTGGCCCTAATGATGGAAACATTTTGTTGTATTTGTAAAGTGACAACAATTATTCCTACTTTGGGGCTTGTGAAGCTCAAAACCAGACTGAAGATGTTTATATGTTTTGCTGTTTTCCATGGATCCTCTGAGAAAAAAAAAATGAGAAAGAAGAAACTTGAGCTCTTAAGAAAGATAAGTGCTGAACTTTAAGTTCTTGTTCAGTAGGAGTGAAGGAATGAGTGAAAGTAACTCTAGTTCAGTACAGGCTTCCTAAGGCATGAGTATTTCTTTGGCAAACTTTTGAAATGTTCTTCCTCTCTCTTTTTTTTTTTTTTTCTCTAGTTGTTCCAGAAATGCTGCCTAGTGCAAAGGATATTGGATGCCTGGGAAGCCAATGACAAAATACAGTAAGGGATTTGGGGTTCAGAAGGCCTTGTTCCAGGGCTGCAGATGTTGAATATTCACTTGAAATATACTTGCAGTTATTTGGATTATTTACAATTTAGTGGTGTATGGATTTTGATTTTGATTATGATTTGGGATCTCAACTATTTGCATGTTAAAAACCAAATTCACCAGATAGGTGTATAATGTGAAAGCATGAATGTTTTTATTGTTTATAACATTTCAACCCAAATACACAATGTGCTTCTTTCCTGCTTTGTCACAAAATGTTACATAGCATTTTAACTTTTTCTTCCTTTTTTTTTTTTTCTTTTTATAAGTGCATAATTATATTTCTCTAGAGTGAGCAGCTGTGTAGAAACTGAGATGGGCAAGCTTATTTGCCCTAGATTGCACATTTAATATTCTAGCTGTATAAAATGCTTAGATTTAGACACCTCTCACCAGACCCTAAGCATTTCTAGGAATGGGGCATCCCCAGCTCCTCTGGGCAGCCAGCACCAGGGTCTCACTGCCCTCATAGTAAAGAATTTCTTCTTATATCCAACCTAAATCTCCTCTCTGTTAGTTTAAAGCCATCCCCCTGCCCTTCCCCTCACACACAGTCCCTCCCCAGCCCTCCCGCAGCCCCTTCAGACCCTGGCAGCCCACTGGGAGCTCTCCCCGGAGCCTGCTCCTCTCCAGGCTGAGCACCCCCAGCTCCCTCAGCCCCCCAGCAGAGGGGCTCCAGCCCCTGCAGCACCCTCGTGGCCTCCTCTGGCCTCGCTCTGCCCCGTCCCTGTCCTGCTGCTGGGCCCAGAGCTGAACGCAGGCTCCAGGTGGGGTCTCAGGAGGGCAGAGCAGAGGGGACAATCCCCTCCCTGCCCTGCTGCCCTGCTGCTGGTGCAGCCCAGGGTACGGGTGTTTTGGGGGCTGTAGGCACACGTTGCTGGCTCTTGCTGAGCTTCTTGTTAACCACCACCCCCAGGTCCTTCTCTAATGCTGATTTCATGCTGATTGGTGTAACAACTAAATGATTAAAAACAAACAACCAAAAAACCACCACACAGATTGAAGTGAAAGTATTACCTATACTCCGGTTCTTAGCCCATCTGAATGTTTTGGTCCCTCCTCCTTGTTTTTCTCTCTTTATAGCTTCAAAGTTCACTGTAGTCCCACTCTGTTTTAGGCTCGCTGTCAGGCCTGCAACCCCTTGGGCAGTCGATAACAAATTTTGCTGATGGTTTTATTGCACAGCTGTCATAGTGCACAGATGTAGGAGAAATATCTGTGGTTCCTGCTTAAGAGTTTTCCTCATTAAATTAGATGGGGACTAGGACTCATACATATTTCATGGCAAACAGTTCCAGTCACCACTCTGCAAAGAATCCTAGTGGTGAAAATAAATACTGAGCTAACAGAGAGGTATCTCAGATGGTGTCCCTTCAGAAGTTTGAGTTCATACAAAGATAATTTTATGCGCTTGATGAGGGGATGGGATGAAGCCCTTGGACCCCCAGGGGCAGAGGTTCCAAGCTGAGAGCTTCGGAGCTAATTCTTAAAAATCAGCAGAGGGAATGGTGGTAACGTGTTCTCCTGTTGGAACGTGGAATTTCTCTTGGGGTTCTCTTGCTTTTAGGTGTTCCCTGCATTTTTGATAAAGGACTTTGTAACTGCTAGAACTTAACTTCTACATGCAGCACGTAATTATTTTACTGCAGTACATTTGCCTCGGTAGTTAGAATTTAAAATAGGTAAATTCTGGTCATCAATACGAATTTATAGGAAACAGCAGCTTACTGCAGCACTTTTCTTTTTTCCTTCTTATTCCTGGAAGTGTAGAAACCACCAAGCGTGGTGTGGTTGATAGCAGTTTATGACGGTGTTGAAATAAAAGTTAATTTTACATGCTTGCTGTCTGCATTCCAGCAGTGAGTTAAGGACTGCTCAACTCAGAAAGGAAAAAGCTCGGTTGGTCCTCCCAGAGCACAGCACCTGAGACAGACACAGCATTGCTGCAGGCTGCTTCTGTCACCACAAACTTTAAATTTTTGAGAAAGCCAAGCTTGCAAGCTGGCTGAAAAAAAAAACATGCATTTTCACAGAGAGAAACAGGAGAGTGCTGCTGTTCCTGGAAGGGTTGTGTGCCTTCACCCCATCTGCTGGCAGGCTTTGTCCTCCAGAGCTCTCGTGGGGGCATTTGGCACAGCTTTTAGGAGGTGCAGGGGGGTTTGCAGCTAGGTGTGCCCGCGTGCCCCTCCGCATGCTGCACCGGTGCAAGGGGGCTCGGGGCTGAGGGATCGGTGCTGGGGCTGGGGCTGTCTCCTGCTGGGCTGGGTGCAGAAGAAATGGCCTTTTGTGTCCAAAAGGCTGTAGCTTAGCACTGAGAACTCATTTGCAGATGTTAACTTTTATTTGAATAGTTCTAAACCCTGAATTCGGGGTGCAGGTTAGAGGGCTGTCTTTGGTGCAGGAACCTGTACACCATGACAGTTGGTACTGGGGGTACTGGGTTCAGGAACTGGTGTTTGGTGTGGGTACATGCAGACAGGAAAGACAGGTGTGTGTTTGTTTTAATCCCCAAAGATCTAATCTCCTCACCTGCTATGTTCAGCTCTAGCACTAGGGGAAAGACCGAGATGATTTCAGTAGAAACTTTTCAGGTGTTGAGGAGGTGATGACTGCACTTTCCAAGAGGGGCAGGGGTCATAAAGAAAACCAAAAGTTTGAAAATGTTGCTGTAACTGCATGTTGCCACAAGGAGCTGATGCTGGCTGATGGCTTTGCTCTGTTCTGTCAGCTGTGGCTGCTACACACAAATCCCCAGAGCAAGGACAGAGAAAAACTGACATGAGCACAGGATACCAGCTCAGAATTAAGTCCCATGTATTTAGTGCCTTCCCTACCCCAAGGAAAAGTGGAATTCCTTATTATGTGCTGTCTCTGTTAACATCTAGGAAAGAAAGCTTAGCTGTACAGCTGGAGACCTAGTTAACATTAGCTGGAAACTTCTTGTCATGCTATTCGTGAGGGTTTTGTTTTACTTACTTTAATTCTGACCCACCAATTTTATTCGTGGTTGCTTGAGTCAACCTTGCATACACCTGTGCTACGTAGAGAAATGGTCATTTCTGAACTTAGCTTCAGTATCTGGCATGCTTTAATGTATGTAGTGCTACAGCCGAGTAACAGCGTTGTGTCTAAGAGCTTTGCCTGAGCTTATTTTCAGCATTTGCCAGTTTAAAACCAGAAATGCTGCTCTAAACATGGTGCTATGAAATTCCTCGCCAGTGGTCTACCACTGGTGTTTCCATGTTTCTTCCCAAATAGTTTGCATACTGTGGAAAGTGAAATTATTGCAGGCCCTTCGTGCTCTGATTTTTGGATTCCTTCTTTGCTATGCAGTGAAGGAGAAGCAGTGCTAACTCAGAGTGGCTTAAAGTGCCTGGGCTTAGTGTTGGCTTCTTGGGGCTTTGGTAAGGGAGAAACGCGTGGCTGCAGATAAGTCTCTTCTGTTCTCTTGAATTATCTGCTAAATACTTCAATTGCAAGTAAAGCTCTAAAGCTTTTTTAGTAGGAGGGATGTAAGTTCTTACTGCTGCGTTTCCATTATTGAAAATTATAACCAGAATATTTAACTCTGCATTCATCTCTAAAGGTACTGCGTTACCTTAAAGTTGAAGCCACTTACAAAGAGTGTGCAGTGCATTCAGAAATGGACAAATAATCTCTTCCCTCTTGATACATGCAGAAATGCAGAAGGGTTCATTTGTTCTGAGTGAACTCATCCTGTGCCCTGCCTGCATGAATACAGGGTGCTCCTGCTGCTTCGGAGCTGCAGCGTCTTTTATGTTAACGCTGCTTGTAGTAACGCTTGCGTATGTCAAACTACTGCAGCGTTTCTGGGTTATGAAATGGGTTATGACTGTGACCATCTGACTCTCGGTGTCTGGTTATGTTGCTACTGGCTGTTCTCTCCTTGCAGGGCAGAAGGTGGAATGAGGCGAGGCAATATGGGCCACCTCACCCGGATAGCCAATGCTGTGGTACAGAACATGGAGAAGGGCCCCATGCAGACTCAGATTAGCGAGTTCATTAAAGGTATAATCTCCTTTCTCCATTCCATTGTTTTTTCCTTAATTAAATAATCTTTGCAGGCCTTTTGGAAAAGCTTTACTGTATTGTATTACGTGAGGGGTCCCTTTTGTAATGAAAAGGATTACTAATTAAATATCACAAATCCCCATAATTTAAAAAAAAAAATAGACCAAATTCAGTTGCTCCTTGTTTTTATATACTCATGTCAAAGCTGTTGGAACTTTGGTTTTGTAACCAGAGGCTGGAGGTAATCTTTTTGTGCTAAAGAATACTTCTTTTTATGTGTACTTTTACATACTTCCTATGCGTGCTGGTTTACAGCATTCTAGGGTGATGTTTATAGCTGGAGTTTATGTACTTCCTTATTGTTAGACCTGTCTGAGAGGAGGGGAGAGACAAGAGTAAGTGATCACACAGGCCCTACCCATCTGCTGTGTCAGAGACATTCATGCTCTTTCCATCATATCTTCACTGGACTTTTTTTGAGAACTAATTTTATCTGAGAGCTTTTGTGTGAGAGAAAATAAGATTTTACATCTGCATCTATTAACAGAAACAGTGACTACAAACATGACTTGAATTTCCATTTTTGACTTCTCATGAGCATATCAAACAGTGTAGTGACTTGGTTTGTTGTCATATCTACATTAAAATTGATAACTTCAAAATATTTCAGTAAAGGCTGAAAGTTTCACAAGCCATTGATATTTCTTTCCACTGTTTTGCTGTGCTGAGTCTGGCTGGGATGAAGTTGACTGTCTTCATAGCAGCCCGTACGATGCTGTGTTTTGGGTTTGCACTTACACAGTGCATCACTTAGCTCACCTGCAGATTTATGTGTCACTGGCTTTGAGCCTTTCTCTCTGAGTTGTGGTAATCTTTTTGGTGACCTTTGTTTTCCAGAGCTGCCTGAAGACTGCAGAGGGAGATGGGAGAGTTTTGTAGAAGAGACGCTGATGGAAACAAACAGGAGGAATACAGTGGATTTGGTGAGAACAGTGATGTTGTGCATACTCCAGATAGGCCTGCTCTCTTCTGGAGTTTCTTTAATAAAAAAGAAGTGATAGTGCTGTTTTTTTTTTTTTCTTCTTGATTACATGAAGTATGCTTTCAAGGACAGAGTGTCTGTAAACATACACGTACATGTATAAGTATACATGTATATATATACTCCATAATAGTTCAACTAGCAGCAGCTCTCATTTGTGTTGGTAAACTCTAGTCCAAGCTTCTGTGTCATTCACTGGGACAGTTTCTGCCCTCTGGGGAGTTTTGTCTTTACGTGTTTTCGAATTAAAGTATTTGAGCTTTCTTAGCTTTCCTTTGTCCTTATTTTTTCTTCTTTCAGGTGAGCACTCACCATCTGCACTCTTCCAGTGAGGATGAAGATATTGAGAGTGCTTTTCCCAATGAACTTTCTCTCCAACAGGTGAGTTCACCACGTGTTTTTCACTGTTGCCGGGGAGTTTCCTTCTCTGATTCTTCTTAAATCCTTCCTGTTATAGAGCAGCTTTTTACTCTCAGTGTGTTCAGCTCTTAAGTGTTTTTCCAGTATTGTTACTTAAGTGGCAGGCTTCAATCTAGACTCCAGTTGGGAATAAATTTGGCTCAGACTGCATCCAAGTCCCAGATACATGATGTCTCTTAAATTCCTGTGAGACATTGCATATTTCTTTCTCTTTCCTGGTTTTCTGCACAGTAGTGGGTTGAGTCATCCTGGTGTAGGAGGCAAACTGTGGCATAGTGGTGTAGTTCCCAGCCAACAAGGTAGTTTGCATCACCCACCTGCATTAGAATTGGAGCTGGTAGGGGGTTTCTGCTACCTCTTGAGCTATACTGACTTCAGTTAAAGATTGGAAGAGCCATACTAAAATGTTAGTAAGTAAAGATCATTAAACAGTAGCAGTAAGAGCAGTAAAAAGCCTCAACTTGAGAAATGGAGGAAATCAAAGCGATTTAGCAAAGATATCAGTCAGGATCCTCAAAATTTGGTGAAGGGTCATCAAATATTTGCAAGCTGCTTTTCAGGATGAAGAATTCAGGCAATCTCCTCCCCACTGTTTTTGATGCTAAAAACATGAAGAGCAGTAACAGAAAATAGAAGTTTTGACATGTTCAATCTGAAATCTAGCTAAGGGTTAAAAAGAGCTGAAAAAGTTTATTCTTTTGTCCGAATATTCCAACTGGTTACACTGACATGACAAGTACTTTTCTTTTCCTGTGCTGATATTTATAATACTCATAAAAAAAAAAGGAAATTGCATTGTTTTTGTGAAAAAATTGTCTTTTATTGTGAGAAGTATTAATAAAAATATTGACAGGAGCTGGCAGAACTCCTCAGACAGGAATGTGGGTACTTCACATCACCTGCGGTGGAGTCATGGCAAAGTCCTGCTGTGTTTGAGTTTCTTAGCTGTAGCTGGAGTGGGCCAACTACAGAATTCAGAATTATCCTCCAAATAGGAGGAGTGATCTGACAAATATACAATGCATATGAGCAAGCACAGGATTCTGTTTAGAGGCAGAATCAATCCTTTTCATACGTAAAGAATGAGACATGGGTGAGTAGGCAAGAGTGTGACCAAAAGAATATCTGGGCGATTATCCTGCATGCAGGCTGAAGAGCAGAGGACCCAAGCTGCAGTGGGAAACCAGAAATACCTTCTCGATGTCCATTATGGGTTTAAGTTGCTGCAAAGTAAATTTCATGTTCATCAGGGGAAAACAAACGAATGAATAAAAACCAATACAATGTTCTATGTGTAACACAGAGAATAATGAAGCCAACAAATTATTTCCTAGAAAAAAAGTCATAACTGTCTTTGGAAGAAGTTAAGAGTAGATCAGAGAAGCATCTGTCCAGGACTTGTAGACGTTTGTTTGGTCTTGCTTTGACAAAGGGGATTGGAGTAGGTGATTTCTCAGAGTTCATCAGTTTGCTGTTATTTTAGTGTTTTCTTAGAAAATGTGTTTTCAGCCAGCTTAACTGAATATCTCTGGGCACCTATCTGATAGCTCTTTTTGGGTTCCATTGCTCAGGCCTTCTCTGAGTACCAGATCCAGCAGATGACAGCCAACTTCGTGGATCAGTTTGGCTTTAACGACGAGGAGTTTGCAGACCAGGATGATAATATAAAGTAAGTTTATAAAACTTCAAGAGGCTTATGTTGAGCATTTAAGCCTCTTTGCGTCTAAGCTTTCTTCTTGTGGTTCAGGTTTTAAAATGAAGCTCAGTGTATACCTTCTTTGGTTTGAAACAACAGAAGACTGGTCAATGGCCTGGAAACATCTGACAATTTATTCACAGTTGTTCTTTTTTATATATCTTAAAAGATATTTATTGATTTACTTTTTTCTGATCTACAACATCAGTTGTAGATTCAAGGAAAAATACTTATTCATTTTCGTATCACTTTAATAAAACATGCAATTATTACCCAGACATATCCTAGAATAAATTTAGCTGCACAAAAAGCAAAGCATTAGAGTTAACTCTAGAGAATTATACAGATATTTGCCAGTGGCATTAAGTCTTTATTGAAAGTAGGAGTAAAAGAATGGTGTTCTGATAAAGTCCACAGAACAATTAGCCACTTTTCACTTATGAATATGGAAATGTTTCTAAGGCAGGAAAAAATAATTGCTAAAAGAAGGAAGATTTGTGGATTTAGTGTTACATGACTTGCTGAATTCAGTGTTTAAAAGTCATGCTACTTTTATAGAAGAACTGCTGTAACACAATTAAAACTGCAACTTGTCTTCTCACCTCAAAAATCCAAGCTAAGGAAGTTATTGGGAGTGCAATTATCCTGATTGTCCATACTGGAGAGCTGTAACCATTTAGTATTCCATTTATTGGCAGAATCGTGCTCCAGGAGGATACCCAGCATGGCATTCAGCTTCTCAGCTTTGCCCATTCACTTTCATCTCGTGCAGTGTTTGTTTCAATCACAAGAAGTATTTGTCCAAGGTGGCAGAGAGGGATTATGTGGTAGTACCTGCTGTACGTAATGTCCTGAGGGTTGATACTCATAGGCCAGCAAATGTTGGGGTGTGCTGTGCAAAACCTGTAGGATCCTGGTGTGCTGGAATTCTGACTGAAACAGGAAGCTTTTAGCACAGAACGCTCTGGGCACACCTTATTGCTCCGTGGCTGCTCCAGATTTGTTTGGTCCTGCAAAGACCATACTTTTAGCAATTACTGGGCTCTGTGAAATACCTTAAATGAAATGACAATGTAGAAATAGTTTAGCTGCTACCGAGTTGCTTTCAAGCATGAATCAAAGTAGCTTGTCCTGATGGCCTTCCATTTTTGTTAGCTCTGAGAGTCTGAGGGCATTGCAGTCTCAGGAACTCCATCATTGTGTTTGCCAGACAGTTGGAAGCTGTAATTCTAATGTGGAGGAAGGTTTTAGAGCCCAGCTTTCCTTTCCGAGCACTGTAGATGTCAACATGTTCAATAAGTCTAATAAGTTCCAGACTAGAATGAGAGATTTCTTTGAATATGGATTACTTAGTTCTGTACACTAAAAATAAAAAGTCTTACCAGACGACATCAAATATTGAACTTGTGTGTAAGTAGAAAGGAAGGGTTAAATTATATGAATAGCTGCTGAAGGAAACTAATGTACTTACAGAACATGAAACTGAACAAAGTCTGTAACAGATGTGCAAGACTTCTCTGTATTTGCAATTGGAAAGGAGAATATACTACAAAACTGCTCTGGTGCTGAGCCTTCCGCCAATGGTGCTCTGCGTCATTTGTTTTTCCAGCTGTTGAAAACTTTGATAGTTAACTTTAATATTTTAAGAAGTATTAATCATGCTTCCATGTCCTGGTGATTTGCAGAACAATGGTTTTTACTAATCAGTCTTCTTTAAAGGAAAATAACACTGTCCGAAGGTAGAGATAACTAGATGCAGTGGAAAATCATTGCATGGGCCCAAATTGTGGTGGTAGGTTGGAGTTTTTTGACCTGTAGCACCCTCTGCTGTTCTTATAATACACACACAGGTCCAGATCGGAAATTGGGTTATTTCATGATTTTTTGCTTGATTTTTTTTGACTTTGCTTGTCTTAGTAATGCATCAGAGGTGTTGAGCCACTGTGTACTCTAAGATTCCCTGAGGTTCTTGTAATTATGTTAAAAACAGTCAGGTGTAGTCCTTTGTGGATGTTTCTGGATGGATGCCCACCGTGCAGCGTTCAGTCCCATCTTTGGGTCTTGCCTCATGCTGAGGAACCTAATGAAATTCTTGGTGAATGTAGTATGGGCATCCGGAGCAGTTGGATGCAGCTCTTTCTATTTTTAATTAATTATTACTTTAGTTGTTTTGCTTTTTTTTTTGTTTGTTTTGTTTTGTTTCTTTTTGTATAAGCTTTGATTCAGCTGGAGAGATTCAGTGAAAAATCTGAAGATGGCCTTTACACTGCATAAGTAATATAAGAGCTGCAAAATAACAGCCAGACACTGCTGTGGTAGCCATGAAAACTCAAAATACCTTATCAGCAAGATAATGCCAAAGGTTCCACTCAGGTATTGAATCAGACCTAGGAATGAATATCATACATTTAAAAAAAATATATTCAAAAATATGAAATGTTATTTTATCTCAAGGAAAGGAAACTATTGCATATAATACAGCAGAGAATATTGAGGGAACAAGCACAGAAGGCAGTGAGTGTTATATGAAGTGTCTCTGTGGTTAGATGTCTCCTGGACTTGTGCTGGGGCTGGAAAAATGCTGTTTGTTATTCTGTGCTGTCACTGAAGCTTCTTTCCCTTCTTTTTGCAGTGCTCCTTTTGACAGGATTGCAGAGATAAACTTCAATATAGATGCAGATGATGACAGTGTAAGTGGGTATTTGGGGATATTTATTTAACAGGATGAATTCTGGCAAGTTAATTCATGCATGAATCAGCTGTTGTTATTTTGAAATTAAAATAACTGTTAGGTTGTTTTGGTAAAAGGTGCCCTAGTAGCTGAGTCCAGTTAAGGAACTGTGGCATTAAATGCACCCTTGTAGAATTTCCCTACATTTTATTGCTTTGATGAGGATCCCCAAAAGTAGCACCCTTTACACTGGAGGAATCTTTCCCTCTCTGCAGTGTGATTCTGTTGTCCCTATTTTCACTTTGATAATCTTTCCATACACCAATCAAGAAAAGATATAAATAGAGAATTGGGTTTCTTACGGGTCTAAATATTGCCATGCTGTATCTTGCCTTTTGTGTTTTATTGACCAAAATCAGTACTTACTGAAGAAGCTGAGTAGTGGCTTAAAAGAGGTGATTCGAGGCTCATGTGTCCTGACTGAAGCTTGTTTTAGTCAATACTAAGACTTAGGTTTCCTTGGTCTTAACATACTTTCTTTTTCACTCAAATGGTAGTATGAAGAGTTTTTCTTCCCCCTTCTGGCTGCGATAGGCAGTGCTCTAGAGATACAGAAAGTTTGAGTACTTCATGAAACTGCCAGCAAAGTCTGCAGCCACCAGTTGTTATTGATAGGCTTATCTTAGCTTGGGTGTGGGTGTTTTTGTTTTGGTTTGGTTTTGGTTTTCCCCTAGTAGACTGTGTGTGTGATGGAATTCCAATACAGCCGTTGATTTGGACTGTGTACCGTCTGGAAGACAGCATTATCCCTTAATTCAGAGATCCCAGAAAGCTCAAATGGGCAGATCATTTGTATATTTAGAGGGAAACCTCACTTTACCAGTGTCTGAAAAACTGCCATTTCCAGACCGGAGGGTTGTGTGCTTTGAAGGGTGGGGGTATGTGCATGAGTTAATTATCATCATACTTAGAACTTCCCTGTAATTCTGTCAGGAAGAATGCACTCACTGAAACAAATTGTGTTTCCGTGAGTTCAGTGAGAAACAAATTGTTTCAGTGGATTTTTAGCCCAAGTGGGACAGATTGCATCGCTTTAATCTCTCAGTTCCAAGCTGGTCAGTTTGTGAATCTATTCTTAAGGTAATTCTTTCCAGCCCTCATACTACCGTGACTTTATATCCCTACCACTGTGAGGGATGCAAAGAGATTCATATAATAGAACAGCTATGAAGCAATGTGCAGGAGTTCCTCCTACTTTGGAAGTATTGCAGGGTGAGACTGTTCTGTTCCTTTCTTGATGTATCATGGGCTTGCTGCTTCTTAGTGTACCGTGCTGTTATTACTCTTGCACATCGGAGCATTGCTTGTTACACAGCTTGGGATGTAAAATGAAATAAGCACCAGCACCTTCATGGTACTAGTTGTGTACAAATGCTGGTTTGTGGACTTGCTTATAATCTAAGTTCTTGTTTCTGTCTCCAAAGAGTGAGTGGAATTTGACTTCTTTATAATACTGTTTCAGCCCAATGCTTCCCTCTTTGAAGCCTGCTGCAATGAACGAATCCAGCAATTTGATGACAACGAGGAGGAAGAAGATATCTGGGAAGAGAAGGAGATAACCTATGCAACACAAGTTAAATCAAGAACACGGTAAGGTGAAAATGAAAGATCAATTTTTTTTCCAAATGCTATGAAACTGTATGTTTTAGTTAAGTATGTGCTTAATTGTTTGTTATTTATGTGCTGTGAAACCTTTTTCTGGAATAAAACAGTGCTTTACATGCTACACATCTGAAAAAAGAGCTGATGATTTGAATGTGAAAAGATAAAATTTGAGGGAATGCGATGACAGAAGCACCTAATTAGTGATTCCACTGTCAAAGGTTTAAAAAAAAAAAAACTCAGTTTGAAATACTTAGAACCCACTCCTTCCTCATGTTGGGACAATGCTGAAAGCATTGTAAGACTGAGGATAATTGACAGAATATTCTTTTTCTAAATGCCAAATAAAGAAAAATAATGTTTTGCGTGATGAGTGATGTCCCATGGTGCATCTCTGTCACTGCAAATCATTTAGAAATGTTAATCCGTTGATATAGTCAGTTACTAAATAAAGTCACATCTATAATTCTAAGTCTGAAAATATAATCAAATGAGACAGAAAAAGTGGTCAAGACCTTGATGTCTGTTTGCCTAGCATTAAAAAATGGGTTGTCTTGCTAATACACACAGTTGATACCAAACCAGCATTCCTCTCATTTGCTACTGTTTTGTCTGTTCATATCAGTCTCCAGCCCAAATATGTTGCTGCAGTTTATTTCTGATTACAGCTCTGCAGATGCATTTTGACAAGCAAAGCCCTTAGGGTCTTCAGTGGAAATATCTAAGAAGTGCCCACTATGAGTTGACAGTTTTTGCTTTCTGCCTGGGGCAGGGAGGAAGCAGCTGAAAGATGAACTGGATGATGTCAGGGTTTTTCTAATTCCGAGTCCTGTGATGCAGGTTTGGAGCATCTCAGACCTCAGAGAGCTCATCAAAAAGTGATCTTGAGAATGGAGATCATGATGGTAGTGTGGACTCAGAAGAAGAAGAGGAAACAGAACAGCAGGTGCCTCCTTCCTCAGCAAACAGCAACAAGAATAATGTTTCTGAGCAGAAAGATTCAGACTCTTCTGAAGGTAAAGAGTTCAAAACAGCATCATCCCATTTGAAAAATCCCATTTAAAAACCGGGATGAGATCTGTATCACCTCATATGAGATCTGTAATCATCTCTGTGGAATAGCACTTTGCAGACTGCCTAGTTTCTGTGGCTGTTCTGTATTTCCACCTGCATAGATGAGAAGTGTGAATTTCAGTGTTCATTTTTTGCCTTTAAAACATCAATGAGATTGAGCTATGTCCAGCTTCTCCAGAGTAGCAGCGTGCTGCTTCAGTTACGCTAGGACAACCACAAAGGTACAAAAGCAATAATAATACAAGGTGCTTTAGTGTGAAAACTAATGAATAAAGTATGAGTAGAGGAGCATGTCCTCCTTACAATATATTAGGAGAGTTTTGTACAGAGCCTTGCTGAGTATCTCCATACCCCATGAATCTTCCTTTTCTGCCTCATTGCTCTTCTCGTTTCAGTTTGCATGTTGTAAAACCATTCTTAGTGCCTCGTGGAAGACTGTAGGTAGACAGATTTTTCCCATGCCATGATACAAGTGATGCTGTGTAACTTCATGAGGCACACAGTGTTGTCAGCAGAACAAATTCAGCCAACAGAAGTAAAGGGACACAAATGTTTTCCCAAAAGTTCTTTGTTCTCTACCTGTGGTGCAGTACCTGCTGTTGGTGCAAACCTTTTCTGTTTAAAAAATGTTTATTTTTCTAGATGATATCTTTGTATTAGTAACTATAACCCATTTTTATTCCTGTAATCAGCTTTCTACAGCCATTTAGTAGTATCAGATATTTTCCATTTTTATTAGAAGGAACCAGTATAAACGACACAAATGGCAACCCTGTGCCTGATGTACATCAGAGTAGCTACCCATTCGGAGACTTTGGTTCAAATTTTGGTTCTAATTTTGAGTGAGTGTAGGTTAGAATAATCTCTCCCTCTCGGAGTTTTGTTACATGCAGATCCGTTTGTATGACAGTCCTCTGCAATCTGTTCTTTTTCTTAAGAATAGATAATGAGAAATGCTTATTCAAAAATTATTATCTGTAGGAATAAAATATTCTAATGAATAGTGAGAAGACTAGGATCTTATAAACAGTATTATACTCTTAGTTTTACTTCAGATCACTTTTATGATATTAAATGTTTTAATCCATGTATCACTTCCTTACCTGTAATTCCAGAATTAAACAGTTAGTGATTGAAATGGGTGAAAATCTTGCCACTTAGGTTTTGACAAGAAATGAAGGTACTTGCACAGAATTCATTTGAAAAGCACCAGTACAAAGAGTGAAGAAATTCATAAAGTCATTTTTCTTAATTAATGCTTCTCTCTTGTGGATAACATTAATATTTATCAGAAAAGGAATTGGGGAGTTAATTGTCTGTAACCTGTGAGACAGACAGCTTCCTGAAGACATTGAAGGAGTGCCGTTGGGTGGACTCTTTTTTTATTTGTCTCTGGGATCTCGTTGGAGTGATCCAAATCACTTTGGAATGCTTTTAGGATGGCTGAAGATTCTGAAAATTCAGCTGAGTCCCAGTGGGTTGTTTTGTGTGTGCAGGGTCTGGATGGACAGCTGTGTTTGAGCCCGTGAACTCGAAGCCCCCCACCCCCTGTGTTGCCATGGATGTTGGATCAAGTGTATGGGATTCAGCAGCCCCGGAGAACGCCACGCCAGAGGAGAAAGGATGGGCAAAGTTTACAGACTTCCAGCCTTTCTGTTGGTAAAAGAGACATAAATTCTTTGCATTTCTTTCTAAATTCTGAATAAAAAAATACTGTAAATATGTTTTGATGAAATACAATGATTGTGATCTTTTTTTTTTTCTTTCTCCTCCTTCCTTTCCCTTTGCTGCCCCTTTTGTTTTTTCATATTGTGTGAGTATTCTGGCTCAGGGCGTCATCTTTCCCTTTGCCTTCGAGTGCTTCTAGCTGGTGTTAGCATGCATTATGATGCAGCAGTGCTGTAACTGCTGCTACACTGGGGCTATGAGAACAGTAAATGAAGAAGTTTGTAAAAAGTTCTAAGTATTTATGTAAGAAAAGAGCTGTGCTCTAATTCTAAGCCCTTCTTTCAGGGATACTTAGCAGCACAACCAGGATATCTGTACTTCATTCTCAACGTTTTCTTTCCCCTTACTTTAGCTCAGAATCAGGTCCACGATGCAGTTCTCCTGTGGACACAGAAAGCAACGATTCAGAGGGAAACCCGAAGCAGAGTCAAGACAAGAACTGTAAGTGAGAATGTTACAAGGCAAAACAAATGTATTGTTTAAGCTGTTTGAAATACTGCATGGCATACTGAGTCTACTGGGAAGAGCTTCCTCCCCTGCTGCCTGCCTTATCTTACTTGACTTGACTCTTTTGTACAGAGATCAGCCTATGAAAATAGTAACTCAGAACCCTGAATATTTTGGGGGATAATACTTCTTAACAAGCAGAAGATGAAGTTTAAGTTAGGAAGAGTTGACGTCACAGAGACAATTCATTTGTAACCTGTTGAAAAACCCTATTTTTAACTGAATACTTGATTATAAAGTTACCAAAAAATAAAAGGTTACCATGAGTTATCTTACAGGTAATTGTGCCAGGTCTGTTGGTTAACTTCAGCCTGATTTCTTTCCTCAGCCCTTCTGAGGAAGGAGAAATAAAATTCCTTGGTGTAACTAAACCAAGGTTTTGTCTGTGGTTAAAACGGAGAGGTGGATAATGCTGGAATGGACAGCACAGTGCACTTCTCTGCTGCGTGTGTTTTCTGGTGTACTCTTCCAGCTGAATTCAAGATTGATTCAGTTCAGCAGAGCTCAGATAGCAGGTGATGACTGCTTTGTGTATGCACATTTTTAAATCTGCCCAGATAGTGCTCATCAGTCAGACACCGTGTGAAATCAAGCTAAGTGAACATCTGATACCAGCTTGGGGAAGAAAAACACCTTCTGAGACTGCAGCACTTCTTTTCCTCTTTCCTGAGAGGAAAGTCCTTGCCAGGGTGCTTGTGGAACTCAAACCAGTGAACACTTCAGAAAGAATAGATACCTAAATGTTCCAGTAAGCACTTCTCAGAGCTAAGCTGCAGTCGGCTGGGGTCCCAAGGCCTGCCCTAATCCTCCTCTCAGTCATCACCTTTTGCATGCTTTGCAAAGAGTGAAGAAAATAGTCTGCTCTGCAGCGTGTACTAAAATTGGACGTGAGGTGGCAGGACTTTCTTGATGGAGAACACTGATGTGTTTTCTTCTTTCCTTACAAAAACAATGTTGTGTGCTGTCAGTGCAGGATCTGCACAGAAACCCTTGTCTCAAAACTTGCAGTAGCTGTGAATGCTCCCAGTAGTTGGTGGGGTCGTGCTGCGGAGTGGTTCCTGAGGTGGTGTTGGTTGTGCAATGTGAGCTGTTTGCTTCTCTCAGTCAGCGCTGCCTCGCCCTGCGTTTGGAACGTCTGCGTTACGAGGAAGGCGCCGCTCGTGGCCTCGGACAGCAGCTCCTCCGGCGGCTCGGACAGCGACGAGGAGGACGACAAAGCCGACGTGGTCACGGAAACCATCAGCACAGGCTCAGGCCAGGAGACCATCAAGCTGACCGTGGATGCTAAGAACGAGAAGGCAGTTTTCACCAGGTGCGAAAGGAATCACCTTGGGGTGGGGTAGATCTTTGCTTTTTCCTGCGTAGACCCCATGGTTCCCAAAGCCCTGCGTGATGATGGTTACAGCTTTCTTGTCCCAGGCATTCTGTTCTAATAAAATGCTTAAAACAGGCTCATTTTAAGAAACCTGTGGCTCATTTTAGCCACTGAGCCATGTCACAGAAGCATCTCCCATCTGTCTGTCTCACTGCCCAAGAAGTTTAGGCCTGGCTTGGTGGCAGGGATGCCAGGTCAGATTGCAGAGAGGAGTCACGCAAAGCCTCAGATGATGGGGAGTGCAAGGTCTGACATGGAACCAGTGTGCTGTTCTGCAGGGAGATCTGAATGCCTCAAGCTGCCATTTTTCTCTCATTCTCAAAGTAGTACACGATAAACAATAAAAGATAAATAGTACAAGATGTCCCCAAAAGATATGTCAGTTCCTGAGATCAGTTTGTTGGGCAGCAATTTGGTTGGAACTGCATGTGCTCAACTCCAGCCTGCTCTCATGATTTGAGAGTAGAAGTTGCTTTTGCAAAGAGTAGGCACTTAGTTCACCTTGGCACGTCAAGAAATATTACCCAATTTTAATATACGTATTTGTTTTTTCTTCATATTCCTTACAGATACATAACCTCTGTAACATGCTCTAGGTGACCCTGCCTGGGCAGGGGGGTTGGACTGGATGGTCTCAGGAGGTCCCTTCCAACCTCAGGCACCCTGTGCTCCTGTGATAGGTTGGGGTATGATTTAGCTAGCTGCAGTTCCTGTATTTTATGCATATAACTCAGGAACAGATACGTAGTTTTTATGATGCTGTGGTTATGTGACTTTTTTAGGTAGTTAGCTCAAGCTGCCTGGTGTGTGTACAGACCCCAGCAAATAGCTGCTGGGAGCTAAAAGCAGTGGCTCAGTGAGCAAGTGAAATTACAGAACTAAGTAAAATTATGTGAGGAAGTAAACCAAAGGTTTAAGCAACTCTGAATTTAACTTTAATAACCAGACTGTTTTTTAATTTTTGATATCCGCTTCAAATGGCCTTTGACTCTTCATTCTTGAAGTGAGTGAGATTCCAGAGATTGCTTTGCTTACAGTGGTCGCATCTGAAGAGCTATTTGGATAAATGGAGCTAGTTTGTATGCATAGGGATGGCATGGCCAAGCAGACTGGCTTCACCAAAAATGAAAAATGAGAAAAATAAGAATACTGCTTGCTGTGCTAGAAGCAGCCCCTCCTTTTCCAGTTTTCAGTTTTTATTGTGTGTAATTAAATCCATTGGCATTTGCATCTAAAACAAATTCTGTGCTCCAGATGTTTTTCCTCTCTGAATACATGGTGTGTTTGAGTTGTTTTACACATGTAACTATCTGTCTTGATTCTCAGTAGCAGTGTAAATCTTATTTGGCACAGTCTTTCATTTATTGCTTAGCAGGGATAGGGATTTTTTTTGTTTTAATTTGGCTAGCTAGCTGTTGTAGGCTGTATCTGCTGTTCCAAGCAGTGCAATTACAAATGTTTTTCTCTCTAAATAAGCGTATGTATCTTGAGCACTGTCAGTAAGTACAAGGCTTCCAGAACCTGCTTGGTTTTGCATGATTGCAGTTCTACAAAAGTAATTCCATTTTGGCAAAGAAAGTAAATACTCGAATAACCACAGTCTCCACTTTAAAGGTGTCTGTAGCTTTCCACAACTACAACCACAGCCAAAAACAAAAATAGAAGCTGTGGGAAGACAGAAACCTGTTGCATAGATTGTGATTTCAGCTGCTCCAGATCTGTTTCTTACAGTGTAGGAATTGCTGTATTGACCAGTGACAATAGTGGAAACTTCTGATATCCACAACTCCCCCAAACCAATCTGTCTTCTGCTGGAGCAGGTGCAGGTAAACTCAAATGGCCAGTAGAGAATATATTTATTTCTTACCATGTTCCCTCATGATTCCAAGTAAATTAACTGTACTAAACATTTAAGAATATTCTAGGTTGAATACGTGGTTCTTGATGGCTTTCTAGAAGCAGAATTGCAGATAAGGATCAGTTGTGTTACAGCCTTGTGCTGCCCCAGCTCCAGTATTGGATGCAGAGATCCTGATACCTGCTTTGGCTTTGGCAAGTCCTTTTGGTATAAAGTTTCAAATTTGAGTGACTCAATCTGTTTTTAAGCATGTGCTTAAAACATAGTTATTTTTCTTTTCCCCAGAAGTACTCAGCTTGTAACAAAGCACATTCCTCTTCCTGTAGAAACAAGTCCTTCTTTTTTTTTTTTTTTTTTGCCCCCCTTTAGTCTTTTCCCAGTACTGAAATCAGTAAAGTGAAAATCTTTAATATTCCTTGGAGCTCCCTAAGGACTCTGTAGTTTCTATGGTCGCCAAGGTCATGAAAGCTCCAGGTGTTCCAGCACCTGCCTCTAAATGCACTCCATGCTCATGGTGTTATTACTTGCTGATGCTTCTCTGCCTGCCCACACCACCCCGAACATCAGACTCCAGATAGTTAATGATTTCTCCTCACATGGCCTGGTAAAAACGTCCCTCATGGCAGGTTCTGCTTAAGGTAGCCAGTAAAACGAGTGGTAGCTTAAAAATCACATATAAAGATGTTTCAGATGTAGTTAGCTAACTTCCCAGATCTGATTTACGTGGTAGTTTCTTGTGAAAAGTAAGTAGTTTGGTAAAAGTTCTCTCACTAAGGAGCTTCCAGTACTGCTAAATCTCACAATTTGATAGCTTATGGATTTGTATGTTGGGCTTGAGAAATACGCTTTTTATGGTGGATTGAATCTTCTACTTTTTATATGTTGATCTGAATTTTATGTGAGAAACGTGTTCAGTGACTGTTCCCTTTGAATGAGCCTTCTGAATGTCCCTGCGTGTTCACCTGGAAGGAACCCCAGTCGGAGATAAGGTTGCAAAGTTAACTCATTTGTCTGTTTTTTCAGCAATCTTTACTGTTTTCTTCCTTTCTTTGCTCTCTTTTGTTTCTGCCTCTCTTGCCGCCTTTCTCTCTTGCTGTGGGTATTGCTCAGAGTATTTAGACCTGCAGTCAGAGGGTATGTATGACGGCGACGTGCTCAGGGTTCCAAACATCCACCTGACAAGTAGTCGCTCCCGTTAGTTACTTACACTGGGCTGGAAAAAAGAGCTGTTGGACCATTGGGAAAGAAAGCTCATCTGTTCACAATCAGATAAAGCAGATCCTAGAAATAATATGCTGAAATAACTAACCGAATCGGAGGTTGTGTGTAGTCCCTTGTGAAAGCATGCGCACAGTCAGCGTATCCGTTAATGAAATGTGCAAATGCAGATGTGGTGTTCACTCGTTCCATGCATCGTGTGTCCTTGAGCTTCTGCCGTTCCACCTGTTTGTGAGCTCTTTCTGCAAATAGGAATTTTTTATTATGGTTTTAAAGGAAAGTTCACGCTCGGTTCAGGATGACCATAATGAAGCTTTGCTGACTGCTCTTTGCTAACGCACCCACTGCTGGAATCGCTGCCTGCGTTAACTGGGGGCAGGGATAAAGTCTCCTGGGACTTTCTCACACCACCACTAACAAATATTTTTGTTTTACTTGGATGCTGTAATATGCCATGAAATAACACTGGGTATCTTTTCCAATTTTATTTTATTTTATTTTATTTTTTTAACAAAGTACTTATTTTTTCTGATGTTTGCTTTCTGTTTTAAATCGTGGGTTCTTAATAATTATTTTCAAAAAATCATTCATTTAAATGATGTTTCCCAGCCACTGTTCAGACTAGCAAGACTTTGCTGTAATTTCTGGATGAGATCAGAGACAAAAAGAGAAAGTCACTGTGTTATAAGCACATCTCCTAACTGTCTCATTTGAAGAATATGTCACAGAAAGTATGTAAACCTTCATGTCTAGAAAGGACAGCTACCTGATGACAGAAATATCATTCTGACCTCTCTGAGCAGGAGGTTCAAGAAACACAGCTCAGCATGTACCTCCAATCTCCGGAGACTCCAGGTTTTTCAAGTTACGAGCTGTGAGGTATTTTTAAAATACTTGTTTTATTACAACATGTCCTTATTTTACTTACGATTTTAATCATTTCCAAAGCTTCTGAAAGCTTTCTGCCTCTTGTGCAAGAGGTTGTGTACACGCTGCATCTCAGCAGCACTGGCTGCTGGCAGTGCTTTGTGCCAGAAGGACCTGGCAGCGCTCACGCCGTCACCGAGGGGTCAGCGAGGAGCAGCCGGCGCCAGGTCTCTGAGCTGCCCATGCTGCGGGGGCTCCCCCGGGCTGTGGGACCGAGGGGTGGACGAGGCTGGGAAGCTCTGCCCGGTGCTGGCTCGGGCAGCCTCGCACCTCTCCTGGTCCTTGAGCAGCGAGACCTGCGCTGAGTGCAGCAGCAAGTAATGGATGCGAAGCGTTTGCAACGTGAGCGGTGCTTTTCTGGGGGAAATGGCTCGCATTTCCCTGTCTGTCTGCTTGACTTTTAGCTGTATGATATTAATGCAAGCTTTTGCACTTCTTTATGTTCTCAAAAGCTGTCTGAAGTATTTCACTGCTGAGCTGTTCAAATAAGGTTTCTGAGCAGATCCTTAGAAGATGAGCTGCACATTAGAAAAAATATTTTAAAAAGCACACAGCTTTTGCTGTGTGGTGATAGTGGGCTTGGGATGTTTGTAACTTTTAATTTCATTTTCAGTTTATTAACCTTACCTAACTACTCATGCTATTTTTTCTTAAACCTTTTTTGCTTTTTTATTTTTTTTAATTGTCCAATGTGTTCATTCACTGCCCCCTTCTCCCCACTGCCTCCTTTGCTGGATGGTTTGATAAGCAACCGAAACAAGCAAATTTAGAGGGGAGGCTGGAATTCCTTCTGAAAAGTGCTGCTTGCTATCTGCTAAAAACAGATGCATTTCTTTTGTGCCAGTATAATATCGACTCTGATTTTGTACATTCCTGAGCTTTGGAGGCAGCCGCTGTAAGTGCCACAGTGGTTTCCTTAGAACCGAGGTGAAAATGAGACAAAACCAGCAATTTCTGCCATTTCTGCAAATTTAGCGTTCCTGCAAAATCACGGTAGAAGTCTCCTCTTGTTTCTGATCACATGCAGTTCTGGGATGAAAGCACTAAACGTGGGTTCTGGCAGCAGTGAAAGCCTTACACCCTCCTGCTGGCACAGCTCAGACGCAGCGGCCGGCGCGGGGCTTACGTGCAGCAGAGACAAGCGCCCTCCAGTTCCCCAGGCCGAGCGGAGTTACGTTGTCACAGTGGATGTTTTGAGCTCTCCCATTTTGGGATGCGTTTTTCTGTCCTGTGCCTGCTGACTGCCCACCCTGCATGCCGTGCCGATCTGCCCTTGCCACGCCGAGCATGATAAAGCGGTGCGAGAAGCGGGTGCCTTGCTTCTGTCTCACGTCTCTGCCTAGCTGGGAAGAGCTGCTGGAATGCTTTGAAAAGATGATTAGGAGAAATGAGCATGCTGGGGAAGACTGAGCATGGAGCATGCCTCCAGCTTTTCTGTAACATTTGGCTGCATATCGGTGTATTTTTATTCTGAGAGTGGAAGTGGCGCGACTAATCCAGGGTCCCACTGCACCACGTTTTCAATCAGAGGTGAAGGTTTAGTGCCAAAACTGGCATAGGTGGGATCTTGATGCCGACATGTATTGGCCTTTCTAATGTAAGCTTGCATGTACATTTGGCATTTGGACCTCCTGTGTTGGTGACCCCGTGTAATCCTCACCCAGCACCCAGCTGGCAGCCCGCGGGGCAGCGCGCGTGGCCTGGGGCTGCTGCACCTCTTACGTTGTCTTCTGGTCGGTTGTTGCAGAGTCTGGCTTTTAAGGACTTGCTTGTGGGCTCCGCATGAGACTTGTGTTTAGGTACGCTTTTTATCCAAGTCTTGCTTCTTTGTTCATGGTGCCACTGTTTTTCCTAGCGTGTCTTTACAGTGTTTTATTGTCCATGATACTTACTGACTGTTTACCAAAGAGACTAGAAAATACCCAAAGTGTATCCCAGGAGCCACAGTAGTGGGCTTCAGAGGTGGGTAGAACTGAACCCCAGCTGAGGCTGATCCATTCAGTGTCAAATCTTTCCTGAATTACTTAAAGCTCATTTGTGACTACAGCCTGAGTTCTTTGGTAGTGAGATGTAGATCAGTGGGACTTGGCCTCAGGAGAAACTGCGTTAGGTGCCGTAGCGTGGTAGTACAATTCAGAACCAGTTTGGCATATCTGAACCCCCAGCAAAGCCAGTACAGCTTAATTTGTCTTGCTAGATGCAAGAGGCTCTCAGTAAACAGTAAAAGACAGATGGAGAAGTGTGGTTTGTGGTAGCATTGTGGAAATGTTACAAGAAGTGAAACTGGGCAAAAGAGAGGTGTTCAAAAAATTGCAATGCTAAAATTTACTCCATAAAGCTAATGGAAATCTACAGGTAGAACTGATTTGATATCAGAAGATATCAAGCTCCTGACGTTTTCATCTTCACAAACAGAACAGCATGTTCCTGTGTTTTAATTGGGTGTTAGTTTTGATACAGGATGGTTTTGTGACAACCCCAGTAATTACAAAATGTGAATGTCCTTGTTTAATCCTGTTTTTCTAGGAAGAAATTGCACTGCAAGGAAAACAGTAATGTTGTTAGGCTGAGGAAGCTTTGCATTTGCTGGATTTGGGCACTAGAGCAAAAAATAAACAACCATTCTGCAGCACCTGAGGTCTGCAACGAGGATATAAAATATTTCTTGTAGTACGTGTAATATCTTATGTGGTGTAAATGCTGAGAACTCCATGCAATCTATTTGCAATTTTTATCTAAAAACCAAGTTCATGTAGTTGAATTTCATTAGCTGAGAGAGCTCTGAGTTTTCAGTAGCATGTGAGAAGCAAATCTCTTCGGAGAATTCACACGGGTGCAGGATGAGCAAGTCACAGACCTTGCGCGGGATCGTCCTCGTGGTGCTTCTAGCAGAAGGTGAGAAATTCCCCAGGGGCAGCTGGAAGTCAGGGTTCATCTTCTCAAGCCTCCTGTCTGAAGTGATGTGTGTGCGTTTGGGAAGTGGCACTGAAAGCCTTCTTGAAGCCATATATAGTACTGGTGCAGCTTCCCATGAACTGCCTTGCCTTCTGGTTTGTTGGTTTAAGCACTGAAGCTGTTCACTTCTCCCAGCAGTGAAGCAGTCCGTGTGTACGTGTGTGTGTACACAGGTCTTGCACGGACACTAGGGACTTCAGCCAGAAGGGTTTCAGTTGCCTTTCTTGTTTTATAAATGTGTGTATCAGTTAACACAAAATAACAGCTTGTCAAGACGTTGTGTTATAAATACTCCTTTCCTTAAAATCAGCATTGTGATTTATCACATAGTTACTCTAACAAACCAAGGTGCTTGGCAGTACCCATCACCCTGTGCCTTACGATAGGAACCTGCTGCCCAAGGACAAGCCATAGATGATGTGTAAGGTATGAAACACATCAGGTAACCATGAAGAGTGAACGGGAATGATTTAATTGCTTCCCTTTCACTCTCCTTAGTGCTCACAGCAGTCTGTGACGTGTCACCCAGGTGGCCACAGCTCCCCAGCTTCCAGGTGCTGAAGTGGCTCCAGCAGGAGCTGCTCCTTGCCATACAGAGCACAGTTACCTGCCTGTCCCCGAGATCCCCAGCTCGTTGCTTTGCTGGCTTTCTTCACTTCCATAGACACCAGGCAACAGTCCGCTGCTGCCACACACCTTCTGTCTCTAGACCTCAACATTTTTAGTGGGGACTGTTAGTGTTAGGTTAGAGGTTGGACTCGATGATCTTGAGGTCTCTTCCAACCTAGAAATTCTGTGATTCTGTGATTCTGTGATTTTCTTCTTCAGGCTCTCCTGTGAAGCCCTGCTGCGTAAAGGCCAAGTGGGGACCGTCCCATTGAGCATGGTGTGAGTTCACCCGTGCCCCACTGAGCGAGGCAGGCACAATAACGGTGCTGAGTGTGGTGCAGCCAGGCAGGAGCACGCCAGCAGCCTCTGCTGGGGCAGTCCAGAGGCAGCAGGAGGAGACGGCTCCGTCTTACCTTATGCAGGCTGTGTCCTAACCCAGGGGTGAGGATGCCCGTCCCTACTAACGCAGGCCGTACCTTCCAGTCTTATTTACTGTAAGGCTGGAGAGTCTGGGCAGTCAGCTTGTGCTCCGGGGGGGAAGCACCTCAGAAAGCATGGCAGTGTTTGCAGAAAGAGAGAGGCCTCTGTTCTAAGTGACCTCCAGACAGCAGTATTTACAAACTCGGTGGTTAATTTGCAGTTTGGCCACAACACGGAGCTTAGCGAGCACAAAGAGAAGTGTCCGAGTGTGCTGGAAAGCCCCGTGGGCACGGCCGTAGGTGGCATTCACAAGTAGTTTGTGCTGAGTGCTTGGCCGCTGTGAAAAACGGCGCGGTTGTGGGCAGACTTCAGCTACTGGGAGACTTGCAGGAGAGGCTTGGAGCTCACAGGACCTCGTTCTTCCTGGAGCGGGGAGAGGTGGAGACCTGGCTGCGGAGCTAACTCAGCAGAGGCTGCGGTAGGTCCGGGCGTTGCTGCTCCTACCTTGTCGTGCTCAGCCTGCCGTGGCCGAGCTCACGGGACATTGGTTGTGTTTGTTTGCAGGCAGCTGCCTCTGCCCAACCCTGCTCCGAGCAGCACGTCGCAGGAGCAGCACGTGGCAGGAGGTTTGCCTCTGGGCACCTGCAAGTGGCCCGCGTGGATGGTGGCGCTGGCAGCAGGGTTATACCCATCCGCTAAAAATAAGCTGGGCAGAGGAATAGAAATGCGAAGTATTTATAGGTACCGGAGTTTATTCTAGGCTAGAATTAGGTATTGTCATGAGCCTCCTGCATGTTCCACACAACCCCTTGTTTTTCACCCCATTCCTTTGGCCTCTGAGTGTCCTCCTGCGTGGCCTCGCGTGTCCAGCCTTGTTCTTCGTGAGGCTGTTGAGGAAAGATAAATTTCCATCGCCCTGCAGCGGTCAGGTAACCTCGGGACTTCATAAAACTGGAATCCTTGTGTCATGGAAATTGTAGTGATTGAATTTAAGAAGTTTATCTTTGAGCAATTTAAATGTCATGAGCTCAAGTTTCTTGTGTGGGAAGTCATTTTCTAATGACATTTCTGGCAACTCGGTTTAATTCTCTGCTGTCTCAACTATCCCCTGCAGTTTCTCTGAAGTGTATTTTTGTACTTGTGGTATTTCCTTTTAAGAGCACATCAGCCCTTTAGGAAGATAAATGTTTTGATCTCATTATTCCGCATTTTTTATGTATTTTTTTTCACGAGCACACAGAAAAGTAGCTACAGAAATAGAACCTGGGTCTCCGAATCTGGCCTGCCTTACTTCCCAAGCTGAACACGTCCGTGCTTTCTGTATGCGTTCTGTGTTTTGCTGGGAGCCGTGACAGGATTCCAGCCCAGTCATCTGCTGAGGTTTCCTTCCATTTTTGTAGGCATGCCCTCCGAAAGGAGGAGAAATTTTTCTTGACTGGGTTGAAATGGTGTGGAAGATGATTCACAGGCAAAACTTTCCTCTGCCTTAGAAGGCAACAAATAACAACGTGCACAGAAATCACTTCTCCCGTCAGAAACGTCGGTCTTTTTAATACAAACCTAGATGTTTGGGAGGTTTTGTGCTAGCAGGTTTTTATTTTTTCAGGATTTGAGCTTCTGTTTTTGTTGTAGTGAGACGTCATTGGAAATGTTATCCCTCCAGCATGGGGATCTGTCATGGTGTGTGTTACTGCAAGCAAATCGGTTTGGCTGTGGTTGGCTTCCGAGGGTACCACCCGTGAGCACCCAGTGGGCTTTTTGTCTCCCTCAGCTTTAGGTGCTGTATTTAAGTTTAAGCACTGTCTAAGTGCACACAGAAATGCCAGGTCCCACTCCGTAAAAGCATGCAGATTACAGCAGGACAGGTGCCTGTGCTAGGTCAGGAAGGTGCTTTGCCAGAACCAGGAGCTCAAAGAGCCGCAAGCTTGCAGGATTACCTGGAGGTGGTGGGTAGCAGAGGGCAGCTCCAGGAAGGGTAAACGGCGGTGGTGTTCTCAGAGCCACGGCCAGGTAAGCGGCGTGACGTTGGTTTATTTATCTCAGGAGTGACCATTGATTTTCTGGACCTTCTAAACTTGCTAAGTTGTGGCTGAACGTGCTTCGTGTGTGCATCCTTCCTGCTGCTTGTTTTCTGTGTCACTCACAGGAGAGAGCACCAGAGGTAGCTGCAGCGGGTGGCAAAGCGTCTTGTTTCAGGCAGGGGGGATATGTTGGAAACTCTTAGGACCAATTTTGCTGCAGGAGATGAGAATATCTTTCTTGAGGAGCTACCGTTCCTCCTCCAGTATACATACAATGCTTTTAATTCCAGTTTATTTTCAGTTCTTACTTCTTTGTGAGAGTTGTGTGGCCTGTGCTAGGAGAGGAGGAGGAATATACATTTTTTTTCTGTAGGAATTTAAGCCCCATAGATTGGCATTTTAACATGAACTTGACTTCTCCCCACACAGTGATGCAGACTGCATGGTTATTGATAAGCTGGCCATCACGGACATGGGAACGACAAAAGCTTCCAAACCACTGAACAACGTGGCCCAGCACCCGGAGGAACACCAGAACACAGCGGCTGTTGTTACAGCTGTCACGGAAACAGCCACAAAAGACAGGTGAGCTGGCCAAAATTCTCCTTTGCTTGCCTGTGCCAGAGAGTTGATTTTTACTTTGTCACTGATTGTGGTTATTCTACCACTGGTGTGTGGTCAGTGTTGCACACTGAGTACATCTGGAGTGCCCTGGGGTGCATTATACTGCTGGGAGTGCAGAGCTGTTCCTGAGCTGTACTGCATGCAACTTCCAGTCTCCTACAGGCTCTGCCAAATCATCCGTTAATTAAAATAACAGACTGCTCATTTCTTCCTCACATAGCAATTATTCAGGTTGGTTTGTTCAGGTGAATGTATGGACATTTACAATTAAAATGGTGTGGGGAAATTTGTTAACTGAAACTGGAAGGAATCTAGAGGAGAAATTATTTCATAATTGTTGTGATTTTTACTGTTTAGGCCTTTTTTTAAATATGGAAACCAACCATTCTGAGCACCTAGTGCTGTCACCCTCGTAGCTTTGCTGTGGCTCCCTGTTTTTGGCCAGCAAGCTGTGTAACAATGAGGTGCTCCTGCTGCTCATCTTGAACTAAAACATCCTCTCTGGCATGGCTCATCCCTCCTGGGGTAAACTTGCTGATAGGTTCAGGTCTCAGGTGATGGTGCTTAGCTGGAACCAGACATCTGGGCTGTCCTGCAACGATTATCTTCTGCTAGATGCTTGTGGTGAGAGGAGGAGGTTCTAACGACTGCTTTGAGCTTCATGCAGCAGTACACTGAACTCCATTAGCATGGATATCAGCAGTATTGGTTATTACATCTCCCCTGTACAGCTTCTGTGTAGCTTTCGAGTTCACAGTTTGCAACCAGAACCACAAATTCTCGTGGTAGTTTAACACATGCTGGTGATCCCATCAGGTGGTTGCTCACCACCCCTGCTCAGGTGCTGCCAGGGCTCTGAGCGCACCAGCAGGCAGGGGGACATCCACACGGAGCTGAGGGTGACAGTGAGGCTGGGACAGAATCCCCACAGCAAGGTGCCTGGTCCCACAGGACCCCATCCAGCAATGGCCATGCACATCCTAGTCCTGGGACGTGCCAGGGAGCCAAGGCAGCAGCTCTGTGCCAGCAGGGCGCTGCGTGCCGCGGGCAGGGCTGAGCGCCAAGGTGCTCTCGGGACACGGTCGCGTGTGTTCCAAACTCCGTTCAGCACATTAATTGGTGTTGTGCAATCAGCAAAGTGGACTTCCCAGTTTCTGTTTTGATTTCTAAATGTGTTTTGTAAAAGATTCGGAAGAGGTTCTGACTAGGAAAGCTAACAAAGTTTTAGGAGGTCAAAGAAACAAAAATAGAGGAGGGATGGCTCAGATACTGCTGCAGAGAGAAGTACACAACCAGGATGAAAGTAAGCTTTAGGGGCGAGTCATGATCCAGTAGCTGTATTTCTCTAATATTACTCTTTGGCTTTGTCTTTAGGAAAGAAGAAGTCTTGCCCTGTGCTGAAGCCACATTAAATGGCCCTGCTTGATGAAACAGATGCAATGGGACGTGTGTGATCCAGGCCAGGCTGCTACCTGGTGATGCAATTTGTCAATTTTTTTTTTCATTTTAATTTTATTTTTTAATAAATGCTGCATTGATGAGAGAGCTGGCATTCAGGACCAGACATGCAGTTTCAACACCAACAATCTGTTCTGAAAGACACTTGCATTGTCTAAATGTAGCATTGATCAGTTAGTCATCACAGGAATGATGGGGTTCTTCCCAAGCAAGCCTTCTGCCTAATTTTAGTTCCTTGTCCCCTTCCCTCTCTCCCTTGTTTTTGTTTTGTATTTGGGGTTCAGTCCTATTTTCTTAGTGTTATTGCACACAGTATTCAGCTTCTCTTCAGAAAGGTAGCAGGTCTAACGCTGGGACTTGGACAGTGCACAGGAGTCCCGCAGTCGTGTGACCAAAGTTCCTGATGGAGCTGTCTTTGGGCAGCATTTGCACCGCTTTTGTATAGCAATAAAGCCTTATCAGAAACATTTCATAGGAGGAAAAGATGCAAACACTTTAAATGGGATGAGGCAGGGAGGGCTTTTATTTTACATTTTTGTGGGGTGGGAGGGAAATCATTGACATCATCCCAAGCCAGAGGCCAGGTAGCTAACTTACCGTAATGCTGAACCGTCTTGAGAAGCGGGAAGTCTCTGCATTCCAGTGAATTGCTCAGTGCTCTCTCTCGGGAGATGGGACAGTTCACTGCAGGATCTTGGGTCGTTTAGCAATTGGCCTCTTCTGTCCGAGCCATCAAAACTCAACTTCCCGGATGTCGTCCTCAGTTGGCTGCAGAGTATGCAAAGAAGGTAGCGTGTTGTTTGCCAGCTGAGAGGATAATGATCCACTGGACTGCTGCCGTGCAGGAACAAGAGCAGATATGGCACAAACAGGTTATCAGGTGTTTGCTGGCTTTTTGGAGACTAATGTATTTTCAAATTATTATGGAAATCCTTTTCTGTTTGTTTTGTTCTGTTTTTAAAGTTTTTAATGGATGCAGGAACAGCAACACTTTTGCACTTTGTACCTAGTGACAACATTGGAGAGTGAAACGGCCCCAGCACAGGACTCCTGCTGTTCCTTACCCCCAGGCAGTCGGGCATGGAGAGGTTGGGGGGGACATGCTGCTGCCTTGGGATGGTAGAGTACAGCAGTGTGGAGAAATGGACTGCGCTTCAAACTGCCTGGGAGCAAGGTCAGTTAAAGATGTGTACTTGACCCTGGAACACAGGATCTTCTGCACAGGCTGAAGGACCTACTCCTGTAAAGACTGCACCAGTTTCAGACACAGGTCTGCGCTGGTTTGTGCTGGTCTCTGCATTGAGCTTGTTCCCAGACTGGACTTGTGCACATAGATGATACGGGTGTAGATGTTGGGCCACTTGCAGAACCAGGCTCGGGCTGGTAGCAGCAGATCGCCGTCACCAGTGCTCGTTCTCTACCCCTAGACTAGATACAGAGCTGGGCCTGCTTTTGTGTGTAAGCTGTATGCTGAAATCCACCTGTCAAATGTTAAATGCCGCTTATTTTATTAGTCCAAGATCTAAGCTGGAAAATCATTCACTTTGGAATAAAAGCATGAAGCTTGACACATAGGTAGCCAAATAGCTTATTTTCTGATATACTCTCACTTGTGCGTAACGAGGGACTTTACCCTGTGAGTATGAAAAAGTACCTCACACAGATCTGTTGTTATGAGCAAAGGCATCCTAGCCAAACTTCAGTCTTTTAAAAAAATACTTTATTTTTAACTGTGATATGTATGTAGTGCATATGAAAATTTCTTAACTGTGTTGAGAGGTGGTGTGTGGGGGGGAGTGAGATGAACAAAATGTTTTCGCTGTTAGAGTCAGTCTGTTCTGCTGGATCAGTATCCGACGGTGACGTACCCACAGCACGAGGCTATCATATGCCCAAGGATTACATATTTCCATTTTTGCTCTTAGGGAAGGTTGAGGATTTGATTTGTTCGAATGCCAGCTATGGAGATTAGAGCGCAGAAAGCAGGATGAGATTACGCTGTGCATCGTTGAAGTTGCGTGCTGGGGTTGTGGGCCCCTTGTGTGCTGCTGACATAGCTGTGATTTCTCTCAGCTGCAATTACTTGGTAAGCAGGTGCTTTCATGGCACAGTACTGTTGTTCTGGAAGTCTTCTCACTCCCTCCTTGTAATTTAAAATAAATAATTTAAAGATACATTGTGCTAGAAGGAGAAATCTCACTTTCTGCTTCGGTTACCCCGCTTGCTATTTAGAGATCAGTCCCACTCTTAGCCCGGATTTTCAGAAGTGATTAGTAGCTTTGAGTTTCTAATTGGAGACACATTAAAGTCTTAATTTTCAGAGGATTGGTGCTAGAGATTTTCTGAAAATCAGGTTCTTTTTAGGGCGTTCTTTAAACACCCAAAAGTGAGACTATGAAAAATCATTCATCAAATACAGACAGCATCAGTGTAACTGATTCCAGCAGCTGATTGAAGGCCGTGGTTGGGCTTCAGTCCCAGTAAATACCGGGTGATGACAGCAGTTCCTTTCCAGTCTCTTCTCATGCACTGTTCCTGACTGTAGTGCTTGCGGGCTCCGCCGTGTTACAGCTACGACCAGGTCTGTTCAGGACTGCCAATAGCAGGCACAATTTGATCTTTCTCATGGCTTGATACATATCCAGCTACCTTGTTAGACTCACAAACGATCTTTGCATTAGGTTCTCATAGACCGGGGTTACCTTAAATCATCATGCTGGCTGATGTTGCAAGGACACTGCTTCGTTGTCCCTACGTGACCTGTTCGTGATGCCTTGGTTTGGGGAGCAGTAACCTCCACCTGTAGAGTGGTACTGAGCAGCTGGCAGCAATAACATCCCGAAGTGTTTCAGAAGGATATGCAAGGACGTGTCTGTCTGTGCCTTTTGTTGCATATTCTCAACTTGTTGTTCATTATCTGTTGGCTTCGAGTCTATAAATTTAAATGAAAGCTTTAATGATGTATTTACAACCTTCCCAGTAAGCAGATCTAAAAGTATAGTGTAGTTACTGAGGGGATCGTTACCTAAGTTCATTAACTTGATTGCTTGTGTCCGGTTACTTATGTGAAAAGACAATTTACCCATAGTTAAAAAGACTGTAGAAATGCGTAAGGTCTCTTGCTTTTGTGACGGGGGGTGTGATTCCTCCCCATTTGGGATTTAAGCTCTGAACTATACCTCACTGGTACCATAGGATTGTTCTTCACACCAGCCAACCAACTGATCTAGGAAGCGGTTCTGACCCCTGCTATCTTGGAGTCTGAAGCTCAGACCAGGTCCAGAGTCAGGCGATGGCTTCTTCACCTGGCTCAGGTGGTTTTTATGGGTAATCTGGGCATGCAATTCTTTCTCTTTGTGGATTGGAGCTTCTCATGGCTCTCAAGTCGCAATGTGTGTGTGCAGGCTGAGGGTTCCCACTGCCTCTCTCGCTCCTCGTTGCTGGCTGAGCTTTCTTGCTTGCTGTTCCAGACTCGTGCCAAAGCTGCGTGGCAGCTGGGCGGTCTGACTGCTCTTCTGTTTTCAGGTGACCTTAAGGCACGACGTTCAGGGACGTGGCAGCAGCTGGGTGAACCCTTCCTCAGCTCAGCCCAGCGCTGTGTCCGTGGTGGTTGTTCCCAGGAGAGGCGTGTTACCTGCTCACTGAGCAGGCAGTAAGGGAAGGGCTGTCACTCAGGGTCGGAGCAGGACATGCTGTCTTCCAAAATGGATTTATGTAACCCAGCTGCATCCTTTAAAAAACCATCAACCTATGCTAAGATACTTGGTCAGAAGGCAATGAAGATTAAACAGAAGTTGTATTTAGCACTGTCCTTCCTCATTTATGTGCAGTATTTTGAATCTGTCCATATCTATATGGTATATATAATTTTAGTTTTGAATATGTATACTGATGAGTGTGTATATAGATATATATTTGCAATATGTATTATTCCATGTATATTTATACACACACAGTTGGATATTGTAAGAAACCTGGTGAAGCAGAGACTCGGAGCACAGTGAGCCTGACTTTTGTATGTTTGTAAAGGTACATGGTCAATAGCAAGTCACAGACAACCACTCATTGTACAAGCCCAGAAGCAGCAGGGCATGCCTTGGTCCCGTGTTGCTGCTCAGACATTCAGTGTTTCTGCCCAGCTGGGGTTTCGTGATTTTTTGCCCAACCAGGTGTTGATGGAGAGCGGCCACGTGTGCTGCGATCCCTGGTGTCGCTCCTGGTGCTCCTGCTGCTGCAGAGCATTGCCCACACGCCTTCACACCACGAGAGGAGGAGGTGTTTGCTGCAGTTACAAAGTGGTCAGGTCAGCCAACACTAATTCTTGAATTGTGACACGTTTCTCTCTAGTTGGTTGGGTTGTGGGAAAAAACAGGTTTCTTTGGGTGATCTGGCCATTCAGGAGTACCGTCAGGGTCACGCCAGCCGACTGCTTTTGGGCATCCAGACTTCTGTGTTCAGTACCTGGGTATGAAACGTGGGGAGCAGGGGGCACAGCTGTAGGGACTTGCGATCAGAAAAAACCCTCTGCTGCAGGAAGGTCAAGCATAACAACTTCGGAGCCATAAGACATGATCTGATAGATAAAAACTTGGATGATTTGATTTTTTTTTCTTTCGAATCAGAACTATTCAAATTCTTTTACGCTGCTCACTACAGGCTTTTGGGGTTGGTGAGGGGAAAACAGAGAGCTACGAAGCAGGCTGGTGCTAGGGTACACTCTTCAGACCGAGGAGGGGATTTGGTGTTGGGTTTGTGGGTTTTGAGTTCCCTTGCTGTCCCAAAGAGATGAGGTCCTCTCTAAAACTGTATCCACACAGGAGCACGTGCACCTGGCTCAAAATGAAAGTTTGGGTGAGATAGTCTGCAGGAAAGGGATCCAATGAGGGAACAGGAGTGCAGTTTTTTCAACACTTTCACCAGTCTTCTAACAAAATTTTCTTACACAAATACATAATTTATTGATTCTTCTCTTAAGTTGTAAGAGTAAAGGCAGACAAGATCCCAGCTGGTCATCTGGATGACATGTCCTCAGCAAAGACTTGAAATAAATTTCTTGAGTGTCCCAAGATTTTGTTGCTCTCGTTGCCTTTTACAGATCTGCAGCTGGCAAGCCGAATAGAAAATCCAGTGGGCGCACAAACTAAAAGCAAAACCCAACAACAGTGGGACCTCAGCTACCTATTGCTGGTGGAAAGGCGCTGGGTGTGCCGCACCGTGCGGGGGGGTGAGCACTGAGGGTTATTCATCAATACATATCTAAGGGAGGAACTTTAAGGTGGCTTTCTTGTTCTTCACTGACATCTCAGAATCATTTCTCCAAAAAGGAGCCAGTGAGCTGTAACTGAAATCAAGATTTATCAGTGGCACCACAGCAGGAGACCTCACTGCCAGCCGCTGGGGGTGTGCACCAGGGACCTGGCTCCGTCGCCCCTCAGCCTCGGCTCATCCCATCCCACCACTGAAGCAGCCCCGTGATGGGGCTTCTTGCCTTTTCCCCTTTGTTTGCACTTCGTTTCTGGCACTCTATCTTCAGTAGTAGTTTAGTGGTAAGGTGTTTTCAGACTTGCTAAGCCCTGTCTTCGTGTAGTGGTAATTAGGCTGGAGGAGCCTCCTTTTCATCACTCGTTCATTTTGTCTCACGGGGGAAACAGCTGCTGCGTGGCAGAGTTCCCTTATTTCTGTAGATGTTGGTAAAAACCAACGTGCTGTGCCAGTCGTGGTGGAGGAGGTGCCACAAGTCCCTGCAAGCCCTCGGGGAGTGACCGCGCAGTTTGATGTCCAGGTTAATTATTCGTGATGATATAAGATCATCTGATATTTTGGCAATGTAATTTTTGACTTTTTTGATACTATTTAGTAACTCACACTGCAATTTTCAGTCATTTAAAGACTAAGTTATTTTTTTCCACGTGCTTTTCCCAAAGCGGTGATCTCAGCCTGAACCATGTTCAAAACATACAAATTTGTAAACAGTTAAACTTATAAACAGTTTATAAACAGTGATTTTGTTCCTGTAAGCAGTTGATTTTGTTGTTATAAGAGGTTTTGATGTCATTGCAAAAAAGAGATAAAACTAGACCCGCTGTTTACAACAGCATGTTAATTTTTATTACTATTTTTTTTTATTTTTATTTTTTTACCATGATTCAGTTCTCTCTGAAGTCTTATTCTGCCACAAACTTTGCTGTTGGAAAAGTACCTGTATCTCTGGTTGCAAGGCAAGCATAATGCACTTACACGCTCTTTTGCCAGTCCCAGCTGTAAAACAAGATTTTTAGATGGTTCTCCCAGAAGTGAAGTTCTTCATCCCATCCCAGTCCCTTGGTGTTAGGGAAGAGCACTCACTAGGGCAAAGCAGTGAAGGGGCCGAGTGGTATTGGGCAGGTTCATGATTTAGGGGGTAGCTGTTGGCCTGTGATGCAGTAGAGTTTTTCTCTGGTTTGGACATTACAGCCCATTGAAAACAAACAACCAAAAATTCTCCCTTGTTCTGAGAAGGTCTTACAGCTTTCTGCTCAGATTGTGTGGGCTGGGGGCTTTAGTTTGAAATAAATAAGTAAAAAATAAGTGTGTTGCCTAAGAAAAGAACCGAAGGAAAATGGGGAGCGCTGCTTGTGTCCCTCTTGAGAACGCCGTGCCAGGCAAGGGCTTCAACGAGGTCTCGCTACGTTCAGTGCTGGGCACAGAGAAGTCCCAGGAGCTGCGTAACTGTGAATTGGTGGTGCTGAGTGCTTCAGAGTGGCCTGAGAAAAGCTGTCCCTGTCACTGCAGAACACATTCCTCATCGCTGTTAGCTTCTGGCTTCCTGACAAACATGGTTACAGCTTCTTTCTTCTCTAGCCTTGTCCCAGCTTGCATGGTTTCCTTAATCAGCGTGCAGAAGGATTTGGTTCTGCCTTGTTACTCAAACCTGTGTGTGCTCCGTAGCGTGGCTGTGTGGAACTCAGTGAAAGCTCGCCTTGGAAGCATTTAGTCTTTCTTTTCAACTAGAACATGGGCAGTGAAGAGCTGAAGGCTCTCTGGAAGCTCATTAAGAAATTAAGAAATGTGTCTTCTTGTCAAAGTGCTTTTTTTTGTTTTGTTTTGTTTTTTGTTAGTTAAAAGATGCCTACATTGTTCAAAGTAAAAATTGTTTTCTGAACAGTAAAACTACCTAGACCCACCTGTAGCTAATTGAATCTTAGAAGGAGACATTTCATATTAAATATGATTTCTTGATCTTAAATACTATCTTCTAAGGTTGCACTGGTACGAGCAGTTCAGTGAATCAGAACAGCGTGCCATATCTCAGAGCTGGGCGTTGGGAGCTGTAAGTACATCATTCCCACTGGTACTGAACTTTAAAGTCACTTGGGATGAAGTTTGAAGTAGTCATTTTACCTCTGCATGAAAACTTGCAAAAAAGAAATCCTTCTGGTCAGGGCAACCGTGCGTTGTGAGTTTAATTATGGACAGTGCCTTAGCAGATTTCCAGAATTATGCATCATTTTTATAGGTCTTAGCAGAAATGGACACCTCTGGAAGTAGATAAAACTGTATTAGACCATTTTTACAATTTATTTTGGTGAAAAAAATAAGATTCTTTGGGTTTGATCCCATTCATGTTGATTTCATAATGGCTAAAGTTTCCGAATTTATAGAGAATGCAGGTTTTGTCTGAGGTGAGAAAGTGACTTTTGCGTAGTGGTTTCCCTCTCTGGTAGCTGCTGACAGAATTCCAGCTGATGTGACGTTTCTTGTAAACCTAAGCAGGCATTTTCTATGGACAGTTACACATAAACTTTGACAAATTGAAATGCAGAAAATAAACAATTTGGCTCCTATGTTAGCTTATCTCATCTGAAACTCGCTTACCTCATTACTAGAAGGGCATTGTGGTGACCAGTCCAACCTCCCTATTAATTTTTGTACAAAAATTAACTGTATTTCCTAGTGACTGTTACCGGTCACCTTTCACAACTTAAGTATAAAAATGTTAGTGAAATATGCCTATGTGTAAAAAGTATTTTTATATTTGATGCTGATCAGGAGAGAAAAATCCTTTTTCTCTCCGCGGAGCTGTGGGGCTTTTGTAAAGGACAGATTCTTCCCCATCTATTTTTTATTTTCTCAAACGGTTTGGACAGATATAAGCTATTGAAAATCTTTTATCGCGTCATTTTGATGCTCATAGCTAGTTTTGCAAAAAACTTTCTAGATAGGCACGCTGCGGAGAGTTTCCCGTTGTGGGTGGGTGTTGCGTGACCCCGGGTCCTGCAGAAGCATCTCCTCGGCTCAGATGTTCACGGAGCTAAGCTGGGAACAGAACCAGCTACAGGCACAGCAAATGTTGATCAAAACCTTCTCGTTGTGTACGGCTTGAAACTATTCCTTGTTCCCTACTCAGCCCGCTGAAGTGCTGTGCCGGGAAGCTGAGCGTTGCGCCCCAGCCTGCGGGCACCTCGCGGAGAGCTCGTGCGCACGTCCTCGTCCTCGTCCTCGTCCTCGTAGCCGGGGCTCTGGGCGTCCTGCAGCCGCACATGCTTTCAGGTGCAAAACGTGTGTTGAGAACTGCTCTGTGGTGTCGTGGCACTTGAGGTTACCTGCAAGGGAAGTTGTGCTCTCCGCTGCTGGACGCCTGGAGCTGGCACCCGCGGCGGTCGGTAGCGGTGATTTTGCACTGAAACTCTCTCTTTTACTGCTCATCTCATGTTCATACGTAAACACCAGGCTATGACTGACTTCCCAAGGCAATCCGAAGGAAGGACTTTGTGTTGAAAATCGCCTCTTTTCTTTCCTGGCTCGGGTGGCACCAGCCTGTACGCAGCCGCGCGTTTTGTCCTGGCGTCCCGTGCGTATCCCAGAGCCGCTCAAACCCCCCGCAGGCAAAACGGGCTCGTTTGCAGTGGCACCTTACAGAGCAGGGCCGAGTCCTTTGTAGGGGATTTGTCAGATACCCGAAACTTGCCAGTATCGGTTAGAATACAAAGGGCACTAAACTTGCCTTAAAGTGCATTGGTCACGTGTAATTTAAAATTCCGTGTTCTTATTCTTTCAGAAACAAAAAGCGTAAAGAAAACCATTAATTACCTCATGCTATAAATTTATGTAAATTGTTGACTGTAACATAAGGATCACTTGAATATATGCATGTTACATGAAAACGTTAGAAGTTAAAAAAAGAGTATTTAGTAAATAACATAGTGAATTGTAATAGTTAAGTCAGTGTTGAGTTCCTTTACACGATTTGAAACAGAAAGAGGATCTTTGTAAAAAAATCATCTTTGCAATCATTTTCAAAGCAGTGTTTTCTTTTTGCCTGAGACTTTGGACAGACTTTTCTTTCCTTCTTTCTTAAACTGGGCAGAGCGCAGGGTGCGGGAGTTCAGAGCACTGGGGACTTCATTTCCTTTCAGAAACTTCTCTGGATGTGATGTGTGTACTGTTAATGTGTAATCGAGTTCCAGTTATTCTGCCCCATCATTCCTAGTATTTCCCTCGTAAACTGCTGAATAACTCATCTTCCTCAAAAGAAAAAAAAAAAGTTATATCTGTCAGTGTACCCGCTGAAACTTTACTAAGAAAAGGAATTTGTGCTCACTTACAGACACTCATCAAGTCCTAGCTGGCATAGAGACCTCTGTCCCTTCCCTTCCCTTCCCTTCCCTTCCCTTCCCTTCCCTTCCCTTCCCTTCCCTTCCCTTCCCTTCCCTTCCCTTCCCTTCCCTTCCCTTCCCTTCCCTTCCCTTCCCTTCCCTTCCCTTCCCTTCCCTTCCCCATCCCATTTCTGACACTTCCAAACTTTTCCTTTTATTCCACACCTGCACAACCCCCTCCTCCCCTGGCCTCCTTCCCCTGAGCCGCCTGTCCCGGAGACGAGGGGTAGCATCACATCACCTTGCGAGCAGGAATTTTGTCTTTCTGGCACCTGGGCGTGCACCCAGCGTTGACGGTCACCGTTCTGGCTAAAATCTCACACGGGGTTTTTGGATATCTGGATGGCCCGTTCTGCAGGGACCGGGTTTGTCTCCCTCCCGTTCCCATCCCTGCCGTGTCGGTCCTCACTCCAGGGGAGAGCTCGTCCCGCTCACGTTGCAGCTGATGACTGCGAGCCCTCACGGGAGCGAACTGTCTGGTTATCTCTAGGGCAAAACGCTGATCAGCAATAAAAATTCCAGATACAAAAACGCCAGTGCCTTTGTTTTAGTTCAGGAGTGATTTCTTCTCGTTCCAGCTTTGGAATCATTTTTGGAGTCAGTTTTCATCTCCAGATACCCCGAAGTAGAGGGAAAGAGAAGGTGATGAGCAGAAGGATCCCATGCGGTAACAGTAGTGTTAAAACACCCCGTTGTGGTTCCGAGTGCCTTAAAGCCACCCAAATTCCAACAAAAGCTGTTTCTGTCCATTGTGCTCTCCCTCCTCCGCCTCCCAGCCCTCGGAGCCCCTTACACCATTACCGCATCCCGCACGTGCCGACCCCACGAGGTGGCCCCGAGGTCCTGCTCGAGGACCCTCTGCCCCCCTTTGTGGTGTGGGAACCACATCCAGAGCAGCACCACGAGCACCTCCAGCACCTGGGGTCTGGGTGGCGCGGGGGCCTTGGTGCCATCGCGGTTCCTGCGCGCTCCTTGGGTGCTGCGAGTCACCAAGGGACCCCTGCCAGCAGCCCGGGGGCTCCCTGCGGGTCGGGGCTGTGCAGGGGGAGCAGGTTCCTTACCCAAAAGGAGAACAGAAACGATGTGACGGAGGCCAGTGCAGCAGAGCTTTTAACGTGGAGCAGGAGGGGTGAATTCACGTTACGTCCTCGTGTCTATTCAGAATGTTTTATTGATACCCAAACAGAAAGCGTCCATTGAACTTGGCCTCCAAGTGTTAGAGAAACTAGGCTTAAAAGCTCCGAAGAAATTGGTTATACATAATTTTGTGCTTAAATATAATATTTAATATTAAATATTTATTATTTAACATGTAATTTAAATAAAAAAACACATTTGTCCATATGGCGTGTAAATATCTTCCCCTCACCAAATATAGATATTCCTCATCTGAATTTTGTTTTTTTTAAATGAAAAGAAACTTTTTCTGTAAAACAGTGAGAAATACTTGAAAAGCTGCCGACAAGCTTTCCCATTTCACAATTGTTCACAGCTGTCATGGCAGCAAAATATCAGTGTAACTGAACGTCCTGGAAATCCTAAAACATTCTGCGTTAAGTTGCGATAGGCTGAAATCAGCTCTGGCTGCTGACCTTACCACGGGGCCAGCGGTGCCATCAGGATCTGTTTGGTTGGGATTTGGGAACTCCACGGAGCTGGGTGCCAGGGGCCGGGGCTGCTGCGGGCGCACGGTGCAGGAGGGAGCGGGGTGGCTCTGGGGGGCTGCCGAGGCTCCGGGATGGGTGTGCCAACGGGACGGGGGCAGAAATCCCCAGCTCAACGATGTGTGGCTGGGCCCAGGGTCACTTTGAGAGGCTCCGGGGGTGCGGTGCTGAGCGTGGTGATGGAGGTGATGGAGACGGGGGCTCTGCTGGGGTGTTCGCCCTCGGCGTCTGCCTCTGCTGCAGAGCTTTAAATCGGGGCCACCGGGTGACCCCGCGGCCGTTTGGTGCCCGGGGAAGGGCTGCAGGGAGGCAAGGGAGAAAATTGTTCAGCCCCAGAGCAGGTCGAGGCGCGAGGAGCATCCTTCGTTTGTTGCTGTGCCTGAGAGGTTTTTCACCTATTTTTGATAAATTCTCCTGGAAGCGTCAGCGCCCAAGGCTGAGCGTGGCCGAAGGCAGTGCAGAGCTGGCAGAGGGGGTCAGGGGGCCGTGGGGACTGGGGGGACTGGGGGGACTGGGGCCAGGGCAGGACGGGGGCACAGGGACTGGGGCGGGGGCGCTGGGCTCACACGGGGCTGGCTTCCATTCCTTCTCTCGCCCTCGTGTTTGTCGTGTACATAGGGTCTATTTATAGATGTATAAATATGTGTATATTTCTAAATTTCTTCACCTTAGACCTATTTTTCTCAGAGCTTTTGGGTTTGCGTTTAATTTCTTGATGGGTAAGTGTGCACCTTCTGAAACACCGTAATCGTTGGTACAAATAATAATAATAATAAAAAAGGTACTGGGCGCGTGGAGGAAGGGTTCTGGAAGGGCAGGATTCACTCGTGACTCGCTTCCACTGGGCTTAAATTTGGGACTTAACCGACTCGTTAGGGTTTCTGGGTTGACAATAACCTACTGTTTCGCTACAGTTATAAATACATCGCTGCCATTTTCTCTAGGTAGGTGAAGTTAAGTCAAAGGAACATTTTCAGGCTGAAAAAAAAAAAAAAAAAAAGTGCTCAATGGTTTCTCATTTTGGTGTTTTCTCAGCGAGGCTCATGGAAAATAAGGTTGTTGATTTTTAATTTTTGTTCCTTGTCTGTTTCTCTGTTTGCCTTTTGTATCCGAACTGGGTTTTGACAGCGTTTAAAATCCAGCTGAGCAGCTTCAGTTGAAATGTAAAGTTTTATAGAAACCTTTTTCTTGACCTGATATTTTGTAAACTTTTTTCTTTAACACAACCCGAATATTGGCACTAGATCAGCTTGGCAGTGCTTAAGGTGGTCATCATATCGATGTGTGTGTGTGTACTTCTATGCATACATACATGTACGTACTTAGAGGGGGTAATACGTATTATTGCACATGAAAATATCCATGGTTCTGATGATATTTTTTATTATAGGGTGTATCTGCTCAGACAAACAGAAACTTCCTTTTCAAACTCGAAAAGACGCCATGGTTTAACCAGTTAATTTGCACTTGGCATATTTAAAGCAATCAGAATATTAAATATTCTTTGCCACTTTATTTTGATCCACGGTCTCTTGCCTGTAACTCCTGGAGTTGCTTTTCTGGGGGTTTTCCATAACCTCCGTCGGTTTCTGTTGGGTTTGGCGTTAGGCTGCGGTGCAGACGTGAGACAATTGGAGGTGTTTGGCTTTTTGACTGTTAGCACAAACCACTTATTCAAGGCCCGTCCACCCTAGGAAGCTCACCAGTTGCCACCCAGTGCCAGAGGACCTGGAATGCTTGTTTAAACTAAAAGGAACCCAAAACATATTTTTTAAAAAAAGAATTACTTAACTCGGAGAAAACTGGAAGGCTCCAGGAGCCTCTGGCCGGGCAGCTCCATCCAAGCGTCCCCTCTCATTTCGGGAGAGGAAATCGTGCAGCCGGCACCGCGCAGCCCCGGTGTCACCGCCGCTCAGCGCCGAGTCCCAGGGCTGGCGGGATGCAGGGCGAAGCCCTCCTGGCTCCTGGGACCCCTCGCAGCCCGGTGCAAGGTGGGCGAATTGCACCGCAGGGTGTGGATGGGGCCGTGGTGGGCTCGGGAGCCGGGCTCTGCAGCGCTCCGTGCCCAGACGGGGGCCCAGGTGTTCAGCAAAGCTCTGCACCCGCTTTCTTCTGCTCTTCTAAAATTCCAGGTGTTTTGTTCTGGTGTCTGGAGAGCCAAGTTTCCTTGAAAAATCTGCCTGTTGAGCACTGTTGGAAAGCCCAGCTGTAGTGCTTCCCCAAGGAAAGGCTCGCTGCACGTTGGGTTTGCAGGCGCCCCGGTGGCCTGGCTGGAAAAACAAGCGTTAGGGGCTGAATCTATGCTTCTTTTTCTTTTCCTCTCTTTCTTTTTTTTTATTTTTATTTTTTATTTTTTTGCCTTTTAAACAAACCATAAAATGGTGGCTGACGATAGGTAAGATGCACTCTGTATAGCAATAAGAAATAATTTGCCTGCATAGACGGTGTCCTGAGGCTGTGGTAGCGGACGTGCCAGGCAGCGGCTGCCCGGAGGCTGGGGCTGGCGCAGGGGGGGTCCTCGCCGAGCCCCCGGGGGACGCGGAAGCTCAGTCCTAGCTTCAAGTGGCCTTTCCTCTGAATCGGGAGGGGGTGGCGAGGGGGGTGCCCCACTGGGTGAATTAATTTAGTGCAATGACATAGGGGAGCCTTTTTTCTCATGATGCCTACTGCCCTTAAATGTTGAAACCGGGTCTTTGTAAGCAATGTCTGTGTATCTATGTGTATATATGAGGGACAAATTTTAAATTACTGCCTTTTTTCCCTGTTTATTTTTCTGAGTAATTCCAGATGTACTTTAGTCTCTCTACTGTCAAAACTTTTATATTGTAAAACTGATGCTGGTGGCTTTTGGTTATTTTGGTTTTTGTTTTTGTAAAAAAGAAGAAAAAAAAAAGAAAAAAAGAAAAAAGAAAAAGAAAAAAAAAAAAGTCTGCATCTCTCTATGTTGTCAGTTTTAGGCTGTAAATTCCAACTATCAATAAAAGCTCAAAATTCACGTGCCAGTGGTGGATTCCTGCAGGACGCTGAGCCCCGCCGTGCCGCTCCCGGGAGCCAGGCGCCGTCGCGGCCTCAGCCCGGCCGCTGTGCGCGGGCAGTGCCGGGGCTGTGGGACCCCCCCATGGGGGTGCAGGAGCCGTGGCCAGGGCTTGGGGCACCTCCCGTGGACCTTGTGGAAGCAGAGGCCAGGGCAGTGGGGCTTGAAGGCTTTTGTTGCTCTCGAAGGGGAGAGAGAAGGTAAAAGCGCGCCGGCACCTGCGCTGCCTGAGGAGGTGAAAAAGCAGCAGCAGCGTTGTGAGAGGAGCGAGGTTTTGCTTTTAATCTGCACCAGTGAAGCGAGAGTGACCCGGCACCCATCAGGAGCTGGTACAGGGCAGGATTTGGGGCTTTGGATGAAACCTGCAGAGTGTCTGGGGGCTGTGACCAGGGACGTGGCTGATGGTGAGGCCAATGCACATCCCACTGCAGCCACGCTCCTGCTCACCCAGGTTTAGTCCTTGCCACAGCCCGGCCTGCAGGCAGGCAAACCACCCGCAGCACCCCGGGTGCCTGGGCTGTTGGCAGCTTTGCCAAATGCTCCGTGTGCAGCCGGTCCCTTTTTGTTGCCTCACAGCTGTGTTGCAAGAAAAAGCTCCATGCCAAGGAGCCTTGTGACAAGTTTTCAAGTCATCACTAGCAAGAAAGCCGTGCTTGTTGCAGGTAAAGGCTGTGCCAGCCACCGGCACAAACGTGGAGCAGGGCCGGGACTCACCCCTGGAGCTTGTTCCCCATTGACCCCATTTCAGGGCTGTGGGATGAAATCACATAAAGCCTTCTCTTGTTCCCTCTGGTTTTTCCAAGGGGTCCCCATCGTGGTGGCTGCAGCCAGGAGCAGGTTTAAGTGAGACGGTTGCGTGAAGTCACAGTTCCCATCCATAGCAATGAAGCTTTTTGGTTGCCCAAGGTGAGCAGCCCCAAGCGTGGCGCCCCACCAAGGCATGATAGCGAGGTTGCAAACTGGCATCATTGGGTCTGGGTTTCTTTTTGCTTCAACTTCACTGGTTTCCATCAGCTGCTGTAGATTTAAGGCAGTTTTCAGCGTGCCTCAGCAGTGCTGTGATTCATCCATGCACAGTGTGAGCTGCTTGGAGACAGCTCCTTGCATCGTCACGTGCAAAATGGGAACTGGTTCAACCTCGGAACGCACTCCTGGGGCTGGAGGGGACCCCAGGGGCGGTCAGTAGGATGGGGACGGGGCCTGGACCAGCTGTGTGCACAGCCTGAGACAAATGGGGTTGTGTTCCTGCAAGGTGAAGAAGGAAGACAGAAACAAACAAAACCCTTTCATATGGACAGCAAATGGAGAAAAAAAAAAAAAAAAGTCGTTTAACAAATTGAAAGTCACAGCTGCAAGTTGTGTAGGGGCAGGGGGGAGGATTGGAAACTGAGAGAAAACCAAGCATAAAATCTGAGCTGCTGGAGACTTACACAGCTGTACAGGGGCTGCTGGGTTTGTTCATTAGCTTTTAGTCTTAAAATTAGCTGCTCCGGATGTCCCCACCACAACATAGCAGGGACCAGCAGAGATGGCCTCACAGCAGAGCTGAGCTTTAATGCCCCAGGCAGCAGACACCTGATGACCCACGCTCTGTGAGCACCAGTGATGGGCACCACTGAACCCTGCTCAGCGCAGTCCTGTTGGGGCTCCTGCCCTCCTCCTCCTCGCTGTGCCGGCTGCTCTCCTATGGGCCCTGGCCCCAGCCACAGGTGGCAGCCCCCATCCTGCAGCTCCTGCGGTGCTGGGGGGCTGCGGGGCACCCGCTGTCGGTGGCAGTGAGACACAAGGGGCACGTGTCATATTAATTTTTTTATTAAATTCAGTTAGTCTTCTCTTTTATATAATAACCTTTTTCCTCTAGGCACAATACAATACAAGGACTCTGTATGTTTGACACAATGTACAGAAACTTCAATAATCTACAACTGCTCAGGTAAGTTACAAAACCTCCATGTTACACCAGCTACCTGCCACAGCCATTATTGTACAATAAAACAAAGAGGGGAACCTGGGGATTAAGACTGTACAAAGACCTCTGCACTGAAATAAAACAAGGAACTCCTTTAAAAACAAGACAGGTAGGAGAGCTGGCTGAGCTTGCAGGAGAGGCGTGGAGGGTCGGGCCCTGGTCACGGTCGCTTCGCGGAGCTGGGAGGGCTGCGGGGGCCGGGTCCCATCCTGCGGCCGGACGGACAGCCCTGAGCGACCTCCACCTGCCCTGGAAGCGACCTCGGGGTGAGCGGGGCCAAACCCCCCCGCAGTAACACCAGTGCAGGGGATGAGGTGCTGCAGGCTCTGATTCTGTACCGAGATTCCCCCTTTGCACTGACACTGTGACAGCAAGAAGCAGGGAGGCAGCAGCGGGGGGGACGCGCAGCCCCCAGCAGCGCTGTGGGGCCAAACCTGCCCTCCTGCGGGGCCGGGACCCCTCCACCGGTGGGCTCGGCCTGGCAGCGCTGGCAGGGGCCCAGCCTGAGCACAAGCAGGGGGGCTTGGGGAGGGGACGAGCCCCAGAGGTGGGGAGAAGCGGGCAGCACAGCGCAGTGCCCGGCACGGTGCCCACCGAGGTGCTGCCCGCTCCCTGCCGCAGGGCGCACGGGGGCAGCCAGAGCGGAGACCAGAGCAGAGGCTGCGTGGCACCCGACAGTGCCCATCACATCCTGTCCCTGGTGTCATCACCTGGCTTCACAGCCCGTGGGGACCCTGGGCTGCAGCCGAGCAGGACCCCTTGTCCCCGGGGCTGGGTGGTCCCCACCTGGGAAGGGACCTGCAGGGACAGAGGGGCACCCCCCAGCCTGGGCCAGGGCCCCGAGGCTGCAGCATTTGGCACCTCCCATGGGGAACGCACCCCCGCCAGCAAGCCTGAGCAAGGAGGTAGAGGCTGCAGCCTGCCAGGGCAGGGAGCCCGCTGGTCACGGCCTGAGCAGGCACCAGCCACGTCCATGCCCCTCCCCGTACATGCACCTGGCACCTACAGCTACAACACCACGAGCAGCCCCGGGCAGGCAGCAGCTGTGCTCGTTTGTTCCTGTGCAAAGTCTGTGAGAGCTCAAGGGCTGGGGAGCGCTGCCCAAGGGCCAGGGCAGGATGGTCCCAGAGCTCAGGCGAGCACCCTCTGCACCCACAGGCACCCTGAGCTGCAGATCCCCGGCTCCAGCAGGGCAGGGGCTAAGCCTGGGCCACGCTCGGGCCAGCGACTGCACCGGGGGCAGCGGCACCGGGTGAGGAGGGAGCAGGCCCTGCCCCGTGGGTGCTCGGGCAGACATGCAAGCCGTGGGGAGGACGAGGGAGCCAGGCAGCTCCTGCTTTCTCTAGCAGCACGGGGCAGTGGCGGGGGGCAGCCTCTCCAGCCAGCCGGCACCATCCCTGCTGCAGCAGAGCTGGAGCGAGGCCGCCTGGCCCGGAGGTGCAGAGCGGACACAGGGTAATTACAGGGCTCAGACAGGACGGGGGAGCAGAGCAGGACAGGCTCCCGCCCGCACCCCAGCCTGCTTCAATGCGACGAATTCCTCCACTACGCAGTCCTACCATAGTGTAACGCTGATCCTGCCCCCACCACCACCTGCGGGAGCACGGGCGGCTGCGGGCACTCCGGTGCAGCACACCCGCGGCCGACGGGAAGGGTCCAGCTCCTCGCCAGTCAGTCACAGCCCCGGCTCAGCGCCGAGCCTGGGCACTGCCTCTGCTCCACGTGCTGGGGCGCGGGAGACTCTGTGCCTGGAATAGAGGCTCCTCTGAGCCAGGCTCACGCGTCCGACAAGCAGCTCTGGATGCGGTCGATCCACTGCTGGGCTAGCTGCACGTCCTGGGCGCAGAAATTGTAAACTCGTTTCGTCGTCTTCAGCTGCAGGGGAGGAGAGAGAAGGTGAGCGGGGCCGGGCGGCTGCTCCGGGTGAGACAGCGGTGCTGCAGCCCCCAGGAGCCCAGCGAGGGGCAGGGGCCGTGGGCTGCCCAGCTTCCCTCCCTGCAGCAGGGGCTCGGTGCCCCACTCACATCGAAGAAAGCTTTCTCGTCCACCGTCTTGGGGGCCCCCATGGTGGGGGTGCCAGGTGTGATGGACTCCACGTCGGCCAGGTCAATGACGCCTTTGCACTCCGTGTCCATCCGGCTGTCGTAGTACCGCAGCTGGGGGGAGAGGTCCCGCACGCAGCTCAGCACACGGGGAGGGAAGGGAGGACCCCAGGACACAATCCCTCGCCCTGCCCGGCCCCTCAGTACCTGATGCTTGGTTTTATCCAGCACAAACCAGCGAGGCTTCCAGGGTTTCATGAAGGCTCCTTTCTTGTACAGGGTCCCCTCATAGGACCTGCGGGGGGCAGGCAGTGCGTCAGTGCCTCATTGTACCCCGTGGGCGAAAGCAGAGAGGGGCCCGTGTGTGGGTCAGCTGGTGGCAGCCGGACATCAACGGGGACCACCAAGGTCCCTGCGCTGCAGAACCCAGGTGCCACCTCTCTGGGAAGGGCCCCCCACCCCTGTCCCCCACCCCTGTCCCTCCCCACATGCCTGTTCTCGCTCTCCGACATCTGGAACTGGCTGTAGAGCGTGCTGGTGCTCTTCCTGCCGCCCTGCTTCCCGCTGGACGGGGTGGAGGTGCTGCTGGTGTCGCTGTCCAGGCTGAGGTTGAGCGTGGAGCCCACGCCGCTCTCCTGCAGGTACACGCCCAGCGAGCGGCGGTGGTGGGAGAGGCCGGAGGACATCAGCAGGGAGCTGGGGGTCTGCAGGGGGCAGAGGGCACCGTGTGAGGGGGGACGGCTCCCCAGGCACATCAAGCACCAGCCCCGGGCTGCAGGAGCTGACAGCAGCCTCGCTGGGCACCCTCGGCAGAACCGAGTCCTCCCTTCAGCCCCATCGCAGCCCTACCCGGCTGCCCTCCTGCCGGGCCTCGGTGCGCTGGGAAGCTTTGATCTTGTCCCACGTGTCCTTCCAGCGCTCCGGAACCTGCCCCAGCTCCATCTCCAGGTTGTGCAGCTCCTGCAGGGAGGACTCAGGCATCAGCCCGAGCTGTCTGTGTGCCAGGGGGCTGCAGAGCGCCGTGCACAGGGCACTGCACCACCTCTGGGGCACTGCCCGAGCCCAAACTCACCTCCAGCAGCTTGGAGATGGCGTCGGGCTCCACGCGGCTGCGGTTGTCGTAGCAGGGCCAGATGATTTTGCGCTTTGTCTGCGGGGCGCTGGTGTCCTGCCGGTCTGCCTCCTCCACGTGCTCCGGCTGCCCCTGCACCAGCTCCCAGTCGTAGGAGGGGCCCTCGGACAGCGTCTCCTCCGTGTAGTAGTCCCACACCTTCAGGTTGGAAATGTTGCTGTACGGCCTTAGCACCTAGGGAAGAGCCAGGGTTATGCTGAGAACAGCCGGCGGCATCCAGGCAGACCTGGCCCTGCGGCAGGGTTGCAGACAAGCCTGGGTTTTACTGGTTTTCTCTGTCCAGACTGGAAACCAGTCCCTTTACAAAGAGCTTTCCTCGCAGTGATGTTTTCTGGCTGGTACCAGGAGGCTGCAGGCTGGTCAGCAGAGGGCAATGCTGGCCCGCAGACACCAGAGCTGCTGCCAGGACAGGGCCCAGCCCAAATGCAGGCTCTGAGCTGCCCAGCCCCAGATTGGGCTCGCCATCCAGCTCATGATGGTGAAGAGCCCATAAGGAGACCCTGACAGCACCAGCTCAGGCTCTCTCCTGTGCTCGAGGTTCCCTGCAGTATCCCCCGAAATCCCTGAGCCCCTGCAGAGTGCGGGGACCTGGGGGGCTGGAGCAGGTGGATCCAGAGCAGCGGCAGAGCTCTCACCTCCCCATCCTCGGGGGCATACATGTAGTTGAAGAAGACGGGAGCTTTCTTGTTCAGCCAGTCGATGTAATCCCAAATGGACTTGTAGACCTGCTGGCTTTTCCGCTCGCCCTTCTCCTCGTAAATGAGGCCTGCGGAGAGGAGGGCAGGATGGCGTTATTTGGGGCCAGGCACTGAGCTGCCCCCCCCTCCCCGTGCACCCCACACGCTGCCCTCACCCAGCTCGATGCGCTCGTAGTCCGAGTCCAGCAGGAACGTCCGGAAGCGGTTGGAAATGTAGTGGTAGCTGAGGAACTTCAGGTAGTACTGGCTGAACTCAAACTCCATGGGGAACTGCAGGTGGATCTGCGAGGAGGAGCGAGGTGAGGGCTCCCAGCACACACCCAGGCTGGCAGCTGCTGCCCAAGCCATGAACCAGTGCTTGGGCATGGCACCAGTGCATGGACCAGCATGGCACCAGTGCTTGGGGAGCAGGGCCAGCAGCCCGCACGGGGCCCTCACCTGATGCACGCAGTCCAGGAACTGCAGGAAGATGGGCGCAAAGCCGCTGCTCTGGCTGGCCAGGGTCTGTGCCCCGCGGTGGCTGAAGCGGTGCCCGAAGGACAGCCACTCCTTCTCCACCAGCAGGCGGAAGCCCTCCATTGTGCGGTAGTAGGGGTCCGAGAGCAGCTGCACCAAGGACACCACCTGCAGGGACAAGGGGGGGCTCGAGATGCTCCTGGGGACGCTCGGTGGCAGCCGTCGTGCCGGGCAGCTGAGGGCTCCTACCTGCGTGGTGATGTCCCAGCCGTCCTCCAGGCTGACCAGCACAGAGGAGCCCGTGTCCAGCAGCTCCACCACCAGCACTGAAATCTGCAGGATCTTGTGGATCTGCCAAGGCAAGGATCGACACTTAACAGGGAGCAGGAAGCTCATTTGTTGCTGTGGGGCAAAGCAACCCCTTCTTCTGGAGCACTCTTCAAATGGAGCAGAGCACAAGGGCTCTGCGGGGCCAGGACACGAGTCCTGTACCCAGGCACTGTGAGCCTGAACAGCAAAGGCAGAGGAGCAGAACCACTGCAGCAGCACGGCCGTGGGTGCTGCGCTCCCTCCAGCACCCCGGGTCTGTGCCCACGGCAGCCCTGCAGACAAACCCCGTCCTGCAGAGAAGCAGAACCTGGGTCCCCCCCGGCTCCCTCGGGCCCTGCCCTGTTCCTCCAGCTGAAAGAGTCTGCGCTCTTTCAGCCTTGTTCCTCCCAGCCCAGCTTGGTGTTCACTTGGTGTCCCCACTCTGCACCCAGTGGCACCTGGGACAGAGCCCCCAGACCCCCCCTCAGCCTCTGCTTCACCAGGAGGGATGAACACATCCCTGACACGAGCCGACAGCGAAGACTCCGACCATGGAGACAGATCGGGGGCCCCACAGCCTCTGTGGAACCACTGACCTGGGAAAGCCACTCGGACTCCTCCAGGGACCGCAGATAGGTGACAGGGGGGTCGCCAGCGGGGCAGCCGGGCACACAGGCCTTCATCAGCTTCTTGAAGCTGGCTTTCACCTGCCGCACGTCGAACACTTCGATGGGCACCACCTCCCAGTGCTGCAGCGGGTCCGGCTTCACCCCCTGCGGGAGGAGAGCGTCAGCACCACCGTGCGACCCAGCGCCCAGCCCCGCCGCCACCACCGCGTCCCCTTCGATCACCTTCAGCTGCGACTTGTCCCCGATGATGTAGAGCGAGGCGCGGTGCTGCCGCAGGAAGCTGGCCTCGGCGGGGCTGCCGTTGTGCTGGGCGCTCAGCAGGTCCTTCCCCGCCAGGCGCGACCCGATCTCCACGTTCAGGGCGTAGCTGCTCATGCGCCCGCTGGCGCGGATGCTGCCCCACTTGCCTGCAAGACAGACGCGGTCACCGAGGGTCCCCAAGGCCGGGACGGCCGCTGCGCTCACCCTGACCCCGAGGGGCTGGCGCAGGGCGAGCAGCTCTCCGTGGGAAGGAGAGCAGCTCTCCGTTTTGCAGGGCAGAGCCCTCAGAGCACATGCTGGGAAGGTGCCGGGCACCAGGTTTGCTTTTGCTCCGTCTCCTCGCTGGGTGCTGTAGGGCCTCCTGCCCACCGTGTGCTGGGAACAGCCCCAGCCCCGAGCAAGGCGGGCTGCCCCCGTGCCCCCTTCCCTGCAAGCCAGACCCTCTCCTCCACCGCCACCAGCGAGCACCAGCAGAAGTGCGAGGAGCCTAAAGCAAACCTGGGGGAGGGCGCGGGGTGGGCGCGGGCAGGCCCAGTACTTACCGCTGGCACCGCGGCCGGGCCGCAGCGGGGCCGTGCTCGGCTGAGCGCAGGCGTGAGCGGGCGGGCGGTGGTGTTACTGGGGCATTAGTGGTGTGAGGGGGGTGTGGGGTGTGTGGGCTGTGGGGTCAGTCGTCAGGTTAGCACCCGGGCGGCGGTTATGCGCACGGCGGTACCGTACCTCGGGGCGCCTCGCGGCCCTTCGCCGACGCGCACTTGGGGGTGGAGAGGGTGATGACCCTGGCTCTGTGACCGAGCCCTGAGAGCACAGGACGAAAGCAACCTCAGCGAAGGCGCCGGGCGGAGCTGGACCAACGCTCTCGCTGGGCGGACATGGGATGGAAGGGACGGGGCCGGGATGGAGCCACTGGAGCCACGAATGGGATGGAGATGGCGCGGAGCTGCCTCCGGGTCCTGCGGCCGCTCCCTCCCTCCCTCCCCTGCGGCTGCCCCATGCCAGAGCTCTGGGGAAGCGAGAGGGAAGCAGCTACTCTACCCCAGCTGCCCCGGCACGGGGGCCTTCGCGAGGCCCCCACGAGGCAGCGTTCACTCGCACGTCCTCACCTCCACGGCTAATAGTACCGGGCCCATCGTCCTTCCCTCCCATCACCTGCTTCATGAGCGATCCCAGCTTAGGCTGCCTCTTGTCGGAGAAATCTGTAGCACCAACAAAACGTCAGCTCTGAGCCTCGCTGTGCTGCTCCCGCAGGGCCCTCCCGCCCTGCCTCCCCACGGCTGCTCCAGAGGGAGGGAAGGGGCCCGAGAAGGAACCAGCGGCAAGCAGGAGAGCCCGGGGCCGGGACCAGGGGCCAGCATGCAGGATTCACCTTCCAGCTGCAGCCACGGCACGTGGGCACCTGCGGCAGCAGCGTGAGCAGGGGCTGCACCCCACAGCACCCCACAGCACCAGCGAGTGCCACCGCCCTGGGTATTTGGCACTGGGGGCATCACCCAGCACCGTGCCCGCTCCCTCGCCGCCCCCCAGCCCCTCTGACCATGCTGCTCCTGCAGCAGCTTTTGGGTACGTCCCGCACCAGGGAACGAGCCCCGGGGGGCTTCAGCAGCTGGGCTCTCCTACACCCCTTTGGCCCCCGGTCACCTCCGCAGCAATGACGGGGTGGGATGGCAGGGACAGACGATGGATGGCGATGGAATGGCAGCAATGAGAGCTCTGCTCGGGCAGCACGAGGCAGACTTACCGCAGTGTCCCGTGACAGACCCCGCACTGCCCCCGCTGCGCTTGGTGCCGAGGTCTCAGCTGATGGGGTCTGTCCCCTCCCACCCCCCCCTGGCTCTCAGCAAGCTCCTGGATCCAGTCGGGAGCTCCCAGTGCTTGCAGGTGCGGGGGCACTGCCTTGCCCAAACCCGTCCCCACCACCACCAGTCCTGGAGACCCGGTGGGAACTGGGAGCTCTGGGAAGTGCGCCGGGAAGGCTCTGCTGCCTTCGTGGACGTGGCAGACCAGGGAGAGCTGCTCACCTGGCTGTCCAGGCTCTGGGACATGCAGCAGGACCCGCGAGCAGGGCCCCGTGCACCAGGTAAGGTGCGAGCCTCCTGCCTCCCCTGCGCCCTGCGCAGCGCCACGACCCAGCTGCTCTCACCTGCGCTGCTCATGTGTGCCGAGGTGAAGCCACTGAGCGTGTTGCGCCCACTGGCATCAGCATAGTGAGGCATGGAGTTGATCACGGCCTGCAGATACTTTTCCTGCTCCAAACTGGTGGAGTCTGTCTGCGAGGGGCCTGGGAGAGAGCCAAGAGCATCAGCACTCCGCCCCGGGCACGGGATGGGGCCACAGCCTGCCCCAGCACAGCGCTGCCCAGGGCGAGGGGGACAGGGCACCTGTGGTGGGGGCGTTCTGGGACTTGAAGAGGCCCACGACGCCCTTGCCGTGCAGCCCTCCCGAGCGCAGCAGCACGGCCTTGGTGCGGGAGTTGCGCCAGCACACCACGGGGAAGCGGTTCTGGCGGTAGCAGCGGGAGATGCGCTGGATCGTGTTGTCCTGGATGCTCTGCGGCACGATGAGCAGCCCGGGGTAGCTGCGGGGGAGAGCGGGGGCTCTGCAGGGCGCGGCGAGGGGCAGCACCAGCCCACCCGCAGCTCCCATGGGTGACTGGAGACCCTCGCTGCCCCCCCATGGCCTCTCCCCGTGCTCACCTCCGACAAATGGCGTACATGCGGTTCACCGTGGAGATGCGGAAGGGCTCGTTCTTGGAGCGCGTGAGGCTGCTGCTGAGCGTGCCCAGCCCCAGCCGCTGGTAGTCGCGGCAGCAGGCTCGCTCCACCAGGTGGTTGATGGTCTTCTCCGAAGGTTTGATGGTGGTGGTGGGGGTCAAAGTGCTTCTGTCCATCTCCTCGGACACTGCGGAGACAAAGGGGGGCCCGGCTCAGCCTGCGGCACGCAGGAGGTGTCCTGCCTGCAGCTGGGGGCATTGTCCAGCCTGGCAGAGACAGGACAGGACGGGAGCTGCACCCCACTGCCCTCCCCTGAAATGGAAGAGCTCTGACCCTTCCCAAGGGCTCTGAAGCAAGAGCCTTAGCTCGTTAGGTTAACAGAATTCAAAGCATCCTCGTGAACAGAAGGAAAGCTCTGAAATCAGCCACCTACAAGCAGAGGCCAGCCCCACACTCAGCAAGCTCCCCATGGATACTGCTCCCCCCTGGATCCCACAGCCGTGCCTCCTCCAACAGCCCTCCCCGGGGAAGGCTGGGATCCTCAGTACTGAGAACTCCTCCTGGTCCTTTGCTCCTCAGCCCAAACGAGTTTGTCTCACATCTAATCCAACCTTCTTGCTGCAGCTCACGTCTGCACATTTTCTCCTGACAGGCTGAGGCCACAGCCCAAATGCAGGCTCTGAGCAGCCCAGCCCCGGCTGGCTCACTGGGTGTTTTCAGTTCCTAACGCAGCAATATCTCAGCTTGCTGCCCCCTACAAGGGGACGAGAGCTGGCAGGCTGCTGGGGACAGCCAGAGGTGACCAGGGGCAGGGCTGTGCGCAGGGAAGCTCCCGCGCCTGCTCCCTGCACGGTGACAGCCGAGAGCTGTCCCGGGGAGCTCCTGCTGCAGCCTCCCCCTGCTCCCACCACCTCCCTCCCCGCGCAGGGTGCCCCCAACCTGAGATCTCGTCCTCGTTGTCCTCTGCGAAGTGCTGGCTGCTCCGCTGCTCCCAGGCGGGCGGCGTGTATTTCTTCCGTGTCACGTACTGGCGGCCGATTGTTTTCTTGGCATTTTTCACCAGGTTTTTGGAGAGCGTCCTGGAACAAGAGAAAGAGGCCGGGGCCAGCTGACACCCGCTCCAGCATGAGCACGGCCACCAGGGCAGGCCCCGAAGGCTGGAGCAGCACCACATCACCCCCAGAGAGAAGCAGAGATGGAGCACCCTGAACACCTGGAGCACCCTGAACACCGGAGCACCTCGACCAACCGGAGCACCCCGACCACCGGAGCACCTCGACCACCCCAACCACCAGAGCACCCCGACCACTGGCACACCCCGACCACCGGAGCATCCCCGATCACCCCAATCACTCCTGGCAGGCACGGTCGCAGTCACAGCCACCAGAGGACGGATGCCACCTTGCAGTGCCCAGCATGGGGCGAGCACTCGGCACCGAGCCCCGAGCCCAGGCTGCAGAGGCTGGGGGCAGCCAGGCTGAGCAGCCCCCAGCGCCCCAGCCTTCCCGGGAGCACCACCAGCAGTGGAGACAGACATGTCCCGGGCTCTGAAGCCACCACCTCCACATCTGAGCCCTCAAACCCGTTGATCTGTCGTGTCCCTAGAGAATCGTGGATCCCAGAATGGTTTGGGTTGGAAGGGACCCCAGAGCCCATCTCGTTCCAAGCCCTGCCCCAGCCCCAGGCTGCCCCCAGCCCCATCCAGCACTGCTAGGGATGGGCACCCCCAGCTCTCCAGGGCAGCCCGTGCCCACTGCCCCCATCATGAAAAAATCCTCGTTCCTCCAAGGTGGGCTCCTTGTGACCACCAGGGCAAGGTGACAGCTGCTGGAGGCTGCGTGGGGACGCTGCCAGCCCAGCCCAGCCCAGCCACGGGGCAGAGGGGAGCTGCTGAAGGCGAGCTGCCCGGCGCTGCCTAAGGGACAGGGACAGCAGCTGGGCTCAGCCCCACACCTGCCCGTGGGGGGACTTTTCTGCCTGCCCAGGGCGGAATGGGAAGGCGCAGGAGGGAAATCTTCAAAAACCTGCAGATGGTTAGGCTGCGTGGTCACAGCAGGCTCCTTAGGACACAGCTCCAGAAAAAGCCTATGCTTGAAGGCACGAACGGTCTGCATGTGTGCAGGACCTCACACATCATCATCATCATCATCATCATCATCATCATCATCATCATCTCAGGGAGCCCATGGGCTCAAAGAGGAACAAGTAAGGAAGCTGCAGGAATCAGGCAGGGATCGGCCACGTCCAGCCCAGAACAGCCAAGCTGGCGCACGGATCTCTGGTAATTCACCTGGTCAGGACTGGGGCCCAAGTGAGAGCAGGGGGCTCGTTTTGCTTTGCAAAGCAGACCAAGAGGGAATCTAACTGCTCCCTACAGTTATTAGAAGAAAAGCCTCAGGACTGGGCAACAACACTGGGAACCAGTGGTCAGGTACAGAGGCTGGAAGCAGGAGTGCTTCCTACCCAGAGGAACGAGACCTGCAGGCAGTGTGGGGCACAGCCGGCAGCAGACGTGGGGTGGTGATGAAGCAGACCTCGCAAGATCCGGGACCGTGCCCAGGAGAGCTGTGCCCAGCAGCTCTGGTGGTCCCCAGAGGTTAGTAGGAAGACGCAGAGCTCCCTCAGCACGTCCTGGGGATCCAGCCAGTGCCATGGAGCACTAGGACGGCCTGCCCGCCGCCTGAGGCTGCGGTAGGAGCGCACCCCAAACCTTCAGCCTGGAAAAAGGCGTCCCCAAAGTGCCAAGCCCCCAGCCCAGGCAGCATGCAGAGGAGGTGAGAAGAAGCCCTGGGAGCAGTGAAGGCTGCAGCCTGAGCCGAGGCCACCTGGCAAGCTCCCGCACAGGGTGAAGGCATCTTACGTGGTTGAATGGCCAAGGTGCCCGAGGGACATGACCCCCACTGTCAGGCCCTGGAACATACCGGTCACCTGCTGGGAGCTGAGTCACAAACACGGGAGAGCAGCTTAGACTCCAGGGCACACCAAGCACGACCAGCAGCAACCAGACCCACAGCTACAGCGGCCACCGAGAGCAGGAGCAGGGTCTGGCCTCGGGCCAGCACCAAGCACAGAGCTCTTCCACTGCCCCGCAGCGCTGCCCGTGCCCCGCAAAGGCAGAGCCCACGCTCTCGTGCCCAGTGGAGCTTCTCCCACGAGATGCTTCCTGGGGACTTGTGCTGCTTCAGCCTGGGCGGCCGTGCAGGGAGCAGCACTGAAGCCATCAGCGTGCTTCCCAGGCTTGGCTGGTCCTCTGCTTGGAAAAGGACCCCAAAAAAAAGGACCGTTCCCCTCCTTGCAAAAACCCAAAGGGAGCAGGGATCCTGTGCCAGGGAGGTCTGAGCAAGGCATGCCCAGGGACCCCGAGCTCCAGCTCTGGACCCTGTGCCTGGTTTCCCCTGCCTGGCTGGCTCTGCCGGTGGGCTGGAGGAGGGAGAGAAGAGCCCCAGCACCGCCTGCGAGGGCCAGGAGCATCCCACGACCGCTCCCCCTGCTCTGGGGACGCTGCAGGTACCTGAGCGAGGGGTTCTTCTCCTTGGCCTTGGGCTGCATGGCTTGCTTGGGCGACTGGCCCACGGTGAAGGCGAAGGTGCCGTGGACGTGCTGGGGGTAGCGCAGTTTGTGCAGGTGCTTCCTGAAGACCTCGGCACTCTCCATAGCCACCTCATCATCGAAGGCAATCTTCAGCAACTGCGAGGGCAAGCAGAAGGCAGGCTCAGGGGGGTCGCCGTGTGTTTGGCACCGTGGGGCGAGGGAGAGCAGCAGAGCTCCCCCGGCCCTTCCCCCGGCCCAGGTCCTGCTCAGCAGTGACCACCATGGGCACGGGCCAGGCAGGGGGCTCCCCGTCTGCCCCCTGTGCCAGTTATTTGGTGCCACACACGGCCCTTTTGGGATGTCCCCCGGGATGTCCCCAGAGCGCAGGGACAGGCAGCAAGGGGCAGGCAGCACTCTGCGTGGTGCTCTCCTCCCCGAGCTGCTCTGTCTCCATGAGTCTCTCGGAGACACACAATGCTCAGCAGTGACTCTCCTCCTAACATCTCTCCCTGCTGGATTTCTCCTCTCCTAGGACCCACTACAAGGTTTGCAGGATCACCTCTGAGGGCATGAGCACGGCACGTGCCTTCCCAGGGCTCCAGCAGCTACTGAAGCAGTTGGAGAGGAGCCTCCAGCCACAAACAGCGACCAGCCCCGCATCGGGACCACTGCCCAGTCCCTCCTCTGCGAGGGGCCCTCAGGCTCTGTCCCCAGGTGCAGTCACCCCCTTCAGAGGCCGTCTTTGGCCTCTGCAGGCAAAACTACCAAAAACCAGGTGAGCACGGGCAGCGAGTGAGTCCCACCCTTGGGTCCCCCCACCAAGGTTCCCCTCAGCTGCGCCAATGCGGCTCCAAGGAGCAGCCCCCCGCAGCCTCACCTGGAATGTGCAGGAGCGTAGCTGCAGGCCCTCCGTGAGGAACTGATCCTGCTGGCTGTGGATGTTGATCTTCTTCTCTTTGGTCAGCGAGGCGATGGGGAAGGAACGGATCACCACCTGCTCCCCCACTGGGCACAACAGGGAACACGTCAGCCACCGCCCAGCCAGCTCCCACCAGGCCCCCAGCATCAGGAGGCCAGCAAGCAGGGCAGCGGTGCTACAGCAGCGCCACGGGGCTTTGGAGGATGGGCACGAGCAGTGTAACATCTCCAGAGGGTGCACAGCAAGAGCAGGCACCCTCCTGTGCACTGGGAGCACCCACCCGCTGCCCCGGATCGCCCCTGGCTGCCTGCCCCCAGCACCAGCACCCAGCCAGGGGACGGGGCGCACGGGTGGCCTTACCCAGCGGGTCCGTGGGGGTGCCTTTGAAGATGATGCGGTAGGTGGTGAGGAAGATGGCTCCCTCGGCAGGCAGCAGGGGTGGGCCACCGACGCTGCCCCCCGCGGCCTCCTCCCGCTCGTCGGGCATGAGGTACACTCGGAAGCCCTCCATCACGCACTCCTCGCCCACCAGCAGGTTGGGGCGCAGCAGCTTTGGCTACGGGGGTGTAAAAGAGGAGGTTTAGGGCCACGCAGACATGGAAGGGGACTCGATAGCCCCACGCAGCACCAGAACCTTCCCCACACCCTGCGGGGGGCCAGGCCGATACCTTCTGGATGGGAGGAAGCCTCTTGCTCTCCCTGTGCACGGCATCCAGCGTCTCGATGTGCATCTGCACAATATCTGCGGACAAGCACCAAGTTAGGGACCACGAGCAACTCGTTAGCTCACACACTCCCCAGTGACCTGCCCCTAGCACTGAGTGCTCCTCTTTCGCCCTTCTTGCTGCTTCTTTCAGAATCCCCTGGTGAGCAGACCCCAGCTGCTCAGGAAGGGTCCTGCAGTGGGACCACGCTGGCCGCCCGCCCCCCGGCAGAGCTGCAGGGCGCATTACCAGGGATCATGACGTGCAGCCCCTTGAGGTGCTCGTTGGTGACGCCGCTCTCCGTGCAGACTTTGTCCACGAAGCGGTTGATGAATCGCACCACGTAGTTGGCCACATCGGAGCTCTCGGCGTCCTCGAAGCCACTCTCTGTGTCATAGCTCTCAGCCACGCTGCCAGCGATGCTGCCGGACAGAAGCAGAGAAGATTTAGCTTGGAGCACGTCTCCCCACTGCCACAACCACAGCAGGAGGCCCCTGCCCACGCCAGGCAGAGTCCTAAGGAGTCTTCATCCCTCTTCATATGAACCCAGGGGTCCCACCCTTGACATGAAACAGCCCTGAGCAGTGCAACCTGCACCAATCCTGCCTCGTGGCCCAGGTATCGTGCCAAGGTGTGCTCTCGGCACCGTGCCCCGTGTACCTGTTGGTGACCAGGCTGTTGCTGACACTCTCCACGTCCCCCAGCCCGGAGCTGCGCAGCAGGCGGTTCTTGCTGGTGTCAAGAGGCAGCAGCAGGTAGCTCATGCGGTTGGCGTAGTGGATGGCCTGGCTGAACACGGTGCTCTCCTCCTTCTGGATCAGCTCCTGCTGCTTCTCTCGGCTCATGGTGGGCCAGAGCCTCAGCTGCTCTGACGCTATCTCGAGGGCAGACTTGGCTTCCTGTGGCTCCTCCGTGCTCTCCTGAAGGAGGAGAAGGACGTGTCAGAGGTCTGCATGGACAGGAGACCTGCCAGCCTTCACCACGCTGCTCCCAGAGCAGCCTCCAGCAGCAGGCTGCAGTCCCTCATCTGTCCCCATCACCTGTGGACCTAGGGGGGCTGCTTCCATGCAGCTGCTCTGACACCACCCTGACACCACCACCTCACCTCCTCCGTGTGGTTCTCCTCGTTGCTGTCCAGGTACAGGGCTCGGATGTGGTTCTGCACATCGCAGTAGAACATCGCCTCCCAGAACTGGATGTTGGTCCACACCACGTGCTCCTGCACACAGCTGTAGGCAAACTGCGTGATGCCCGGGCCCAGTTTCTGAGGAAGCAGAGGACAGAAGCTGCATGCAGACACGGCCTTCGTGCCAGCCTCTCCTCCCCAGCTAACCCTTCTCCTCGCCTGTGCCCTTGGGCAGGCAGGAGGGCTGCTTGGATCAGAGCTCCTCCAAGCATTCCTTCAAACTCTTAGATTTGCTCAGCGCTGACCCAGGGCCCAACAGAGATCAGTTTTGGAAGGCAGAATCGATCAGGTGTTGGGACAGGCTGCCCAGGGAAGTGGTGGTCTCCAACCCCGGAGGTATTTAAGAGATTTGTGGACGTGGCACTAAGGGACACGGTATAGCGATGGCACTCAGTGTGCCACACTGATGGTTGGACTCGATGATCCTGAAGGTTTTTTCCAGCCTAGATGGTTCTGTGACCTCAGCCCAGCCTGACTACAGCAGGCAGCAGGGCACTGCGGGTACTCACTCGGCAGAAAGCAGTGACCAGCGGCAAGAGAGCAGCTGCGATCCCGTGCTCGTCCATGGCCGTGCAGTCCTGGGGAAGGGAACAGAGCTCAGGGGAGGATTCAGAGACACCCCGAGGTACCCCCAGCCCTGCACGACACTGCCTCCCCCAGCAGGACGTGCTCTCCTTTATGAGGGCTGTGCTCCCCCAGCCCCTCTCCTACCTGCAGGCAGCAGTTCATCATGCGCACTACGAAGTCGAACTGCTGGTGGTCCAGCACAGCCCGGTTCTGCTGCACGTGCAGGTTCAGCTCCTGGGTCAGGCAGTGCCGGGCTGCTCGGCCCTTCATGGCTCGCAGCACGGCAGGGAAGAGCTGCGGGAGGAAGAGCAGAAAGATGGGGCCCGGCTGAGCTCTGGGGGACGGTGAGATCAAGGGCAGCCCCCGAGGAGAGGTGCAGGAGGGGCTTCACGTTCTGGCTGTGCGGGCGGACACCACGTTGTCTACATGCAGCTGATCCAACGTGGGTGCAAAGCAGAGCATCCCCAGCGGGAGCACAGCTCGGGGGGGCTCCCTGCTCAGCAAGGCTGGGGGTAGGACCCCAGCCCAGCCACCTCCGTGGGACAGACCCTGAGGGGCACTGGGAGACCCTGGTGCAATGGAGGGATCAGCCAACAGCCCAGGGACAGAGCAGGGAGGAACAGGGCTGCGAGAACAAGTGCCCACAGGGCAACTGAGCTGCTGGGCAGAGCTCTGGAGAGAGGCACGGAGCAGCCTCCCCAGCCCATCGCGGAGGAGAGGCAGCGACCTCAGTGCCCTCCCCTCAACCAGCAGCTCCTGGCGAGCGCCCCTCACCTTTTTGGCTTCTAACATCTTGTTCTCGAAGACGTAGGAGATGCAGTTCCTGACCACCTCCAGGCGCCGGGCGCTGTTGGCCAGGGCGTTGCCGTTTCGCTCCAGGATGGCAGCTGGGGAGAGAGCGGGCTGTCAGCTCGGGCAGGGCAGGGCAGGGCCGTCACCCCAGGGGTGGGGGGCGAGGGGTGTCCCCAGGCTCTGCTGGAGGAATCCTGCAGGGTCTGCAGCTGCTCCCTCGTGCTGGCTCCAGCACAGGGACCTCCAAGCTGGGGTCAGCTAACGGGGACAGCGCAGCCGCTCAGCCAGGAGGCAGGACTGCCCACGTTTTGCTCGCATGGGACCCTCGGACACATTGCAGTGCAGAAGTGAGGTGGCACCCCGAGAGTGGCACGGCCACGGGGAGCTCCTCCCGAGCTGGGCTGCTCACTGCGGGGAGAGGAGCTGTGCGCACACCTACCGATGGGGGGGCCCGACGGCACCATGCACTTCTTCTCCGCCTTCACAGCAGGAGGGGCTGTCTGCAGCTTGGCCGTGGCCTGGTCGATGATCCACTGCACCGTGCCCTCATCCAGGCGGGGAAAAGGCTTCTGGTGGAGGCGCAGGTGGCAGCCTTCCGTGGGCTTCTGCACCTTGTGCATGGTCACTGCGGGGTACGGGTTCTCCTGGCACAAAAAGGCAGGTTCTTTTCAGGCATGGGGAAGTTGTGTCCCCTCCCGGAGCAGGAGGCTCAGAAAGGTATTTCTGCAACCCCTGCTCCTCTCCTCCTCTCCCAGAAGGTGCTGTACAGCCCCCTGGACCTGCAGTCCTGAGTCCTTAGTTACAGTGCCATCGTGCTCTGCTCTCAGGAGCTGCCAGGACAGCACTCTGGCCCTGAACTCAGCAGCGAGCAGAAAGCCATTCAGGAGGGCTGAAATGCCCAAGGGGCTCTCAGGGCTCTGCTCTGCTCTCAGGAAGACCTCAGCAGGTCTGTCCTGTGCCATACAACACCTGCATCAGCTGGCCGGCTGCTCCAGAGCAAAGAAAGTGCCTGATGGCCAGGCCACCCCAAAAAAAGGGCTCCTGCTCCCAGGACAGACACCTTCGGGTGTCCTGCCACATGTAACAGTGCAGGGCAGGATGGAACAGCACCGCCAGCACCAGCTCACAGTAACACACGTGGAGGGGGGGGCAGGCTGACCAGGGCTATGACCCAGGTTCCCATCAGTTCCCCTCCGCTGCTCAGGACTCACATTTTTGTAAAGTTTCTCTGCCAGCTCCTTGATGTGCCGCAGGATTTTCTGCTTGTTCCCCTCTTCTGCACGCATGCGCTTCACTTCATAAGCAACGAGCTGGAAGGAGGAGAGGCGGGTGAGAGGAGCAGCAGCCCCCTGGGCAGGATCCCACCGCCCTCCCCGTGCCCCAGCTCCATCCCTAAAGCTGCCAGGCCGGGCTCAGCACCACAGCCAAGCATCGAGGCAGATCCCCAGCCCTTGCCGTGGGATGGAGCACATCCCCCCCGTTCCCACCCGTTCCCAGCGCGGGCGGCACGGTGCGGGGTGCCGGCAGGGACCCGGGGAGCTGCTCACCTCATCGAACAGGTCGATGGCACGGTACGGGGCACCCCTCTCGGTCACGAAGCCTGCGAACGCCATGCCCTCCAGCACCTTGGTGAGGAAGTCATCCTCCGTCAGCCCCCGCTGCCCCAGGAAGGCTGCCTGCAACAGGGAAATGCAGAGCTGTCAGCAGCACGTGGGGCTCCCCAGCACCCTCACCCACCCGGTGAGGCTGCTGGGAGCAGGGCTGCAGGGTGCTACAAGCAGTCAGCGTGGCTATTTGGGCAAGAACGGGATGTTTCTGAGATGCTGCTGTGGCCAAAGCAGCCGAATGAGCAGGGTTCAGGCTATTTTGTACCGCACGCAGCTGCTGCACGTGATAATTTTATGAAGTGGAGGTTCGTTATGCTTCCTAAGCTCTGTGGCTGTTTTACCAAGGTAAAGGTAAAAAGTAAAAGTTTTTCTTGGGTTTACTGCGTGCTTATAGTTTTATGGAACACATGAATCTTTGTCAGCAATAAACGTTTACTGAGCATTAAAAAAATCATTCAGAACCTGTAAGAACACGCTGGCCACGCTGAACTGCAGCGCCCGAGTCCCTCTTCTCTCTGTCTGTTGTCTTCCCCTGGGCTTGGTCTCCCCACAGACCCACAAACACCTCGAATATTTTCCTTTTCTCCCTGCCCTGCATTTGCCAACAGCCCCAAGGCACCTGGACCAGCCGGCCCTGCCTGCCTCCTCTCCCCAGGCTCTGCTTCCTTTGCCCAGACTTTAAGATTTTCCCTGGACTTTCTGGGTTTCAGAAAACCCCCAGCTCCAGGCTGTGACGTGAGGGATGCCTTCTGTAAGCCTCTGCACGACACCAGGCACAGGAACGTCAGCTGTGGTGCACCTGACTACGTGTGGGCACGAAGAGGGAAATGGTACCAGACCCGTGGGACCTCGGGACTCCCAAGGACAAACACGGGATGCAGGTGGAGCTGGCAGGGGTGCAGGGCAGGCACCTGCTGGCAACGCAGCTCTTTATTGCTAGATGCAGCTGCATTTGTGCAAACCTTCCCACAGATTCACTCCCCAGCCTTAATTCAACCCATTTGGTGAGGAGTTTATCCAGAGACCTACAACGCAGCCTGAAAAAATAACTCTGCTGTGCGGGCACAAGGCCCTGGGGCAGGAGGAGCAGAGTGCCTGCAGCACCACGTCCCCTGCCCGTCCCCTGCCCGTCCCCTGCCTGTCCCCTGCCCGTCCCCTGCCTGTCCCCTGCTCGTCCCCTGCCCACCCCTGCTGGCCGAGCCCCGAGTTTTCCTGCCCTCCCACCACCCCGCGTGCTCCTGTCCTGGCCGTACCTTGTGGAAGCGGATGACGGGCTCGGGATGGATGCGGATGATGTGCAGGCACCAGCGGTAGCCCTGCAGCAGCTGTGCAAACAAGCGAAGGAAGACGGCCCGGATCTCCTTGTCCTGCAAACGGGGACGCAGCGCGGTCAGAGGGGCGAGGAGCAGCCAGCAAGCGGGGCACAAGTTTCCACCCAAGATCCGAGCCACGTGTCAGGCTCGGCCTCTGCTGAGCGGGGCAGGAAACCCAAAGGTTCAAGGGAAAAGGGAGAGGCAGACGGATCCCCCGTGCTCTGCCCTTCACAGCGTCCCTGACACCGCACACAGAGGAAGGAGCTCGCAGCCCCGGGGCCCCAGGTGCCGCTCCTGGCAGGGCAGCGCCGCACAGCGCGTGCTGAGCCCCCTCTGGCAGTGCTGCTGGCTCCAGGTCGGAGCACATCCTGGGGCTGGGGGCAGCATGCTGAGCCCCCACCCGCAGAGGCAGTGGTGCTGAGCGTGGGGCAGCCTGCTCTGTGCCCGCCTGCTCCGTGCCCGCCTGCTCTGTACCCGCCTGCTCCGTGCCAGCCTGCTCCGTGCCCGCGCAGCGCGGTGCCCGCAGGGGCTCTCTGCTCCTGCACCTCCCCTCTTCCCACTGCACCCACCTGCATTTTGAGAGAAGAGGCAGACACGGTGGAAGGGGGGAAGGCGAGATCTGCCACCTCCAGCTCCGGGTCCAAGACCTGCAGAGACAGGGCACAAAGCATGCTCGAGCCCGCGGGGATGGGATCTGTCCTCCCAGCCGGGCACGGAGCAGCAGCGCTCCCCGGGAGCCCGGCAGGACCCACGGACGAGGTGTGAGGGGCTCAAAACCTGCAGGGCTGGGCTGCAGCCACCAGCCATCAGACCCCCCCCTGGCTGTATCACGGGCTCCCCGTGGCTGGATGGATGCAGCAGCCCAGGGACAGCTCGGTGGCTGCCTCTCCAGCCCCACGTCCTTGTCACAGCCAGGGAAACGCGTGCCACGGGGGGGCTCAGGCATGTAGCAGAGCTCGGCCCCTCTCCCCCCGGCCCCAGGCCAAGGCTCCCAGCCTTTGTTTGCCTGCGCTGTCCTGGGCACGCACTCGCAGGGCCGGCAGGCTCTGGGAACGCGCTAGCAGCCAGAAAAGCAGCTTCAGGGCTGCAGCTGCTTCCTGCCCCAGGGCTGGGAGCCAGCCACCTGATTCCCAGAAACCTTTGGCAGAGGAGCCCCCCGCAGCCCTGCCACGCAGCAGAGGCCATCGGGAGCAGGAGAGGTCCCGTGCGGCGTGGCCGGGGGGGCTCTGAGGCAGGAGCCCTGCCCCCAGCTCCGCTCTGCCCGCTGCCCCCTGCGCTCCCCCAGGCCTGGAGGTGCGGAGACGCCGCGGTGCTTACCATGGAGAGGGCTTCCCGGGTCTGCTGGAGCAGCGGCTCGGGGAGCAGGGAGATGTGCACGCACTCGGGGACGTTCACTGTGCCGCCGTCCAGGTCTGCGATAACAACGTCCAGCTGCAGGGCGGGGGGACAGGCATGAGAGGGGGCCACGGGGAGCTAACGGGGAAGGAGCCCAGCTGAGGGGAGGCCCTCGGGAACCCCAGCTCGTCTCCTCTCCGTCTTCTGCAAGCCCAGAGCACTCTGGCCTTCAGCAGCAACTTTCCCCTACCCAGGAAACAGGGGGCAAGCTGGGTCTGAGGGAGCAGCAGGGGAGGAAAGCTGGCAGAAGAGGGAAGAAGAGGGACACAGCCCTGCTCAGGAGGCTGGGTCCCCGATCCTGGCTTTGTGGGATCAGACTCCTCAGCTGGCTGAGAGGTCTCATGGAGAACACAGACACCAACGCCAGCCCCAGCTCGTCCACCGCCCCGCTTAGCCCAAACGGCACTTCCCAGCTTGTTCGGGAGGCTGCACAAAAGCTTGTTTCAGTTTGGATCAGGCTCATTATGCTTTGATTTAATTCAGTTTCTGCACCGAAGGCTGTCAGGCTGAAGTGCCAACACAGCCTCTTGGGCCAGAGCTGCCAGCTGAGTTTCAAACTCCAGCCCTCAGTTAACCCAGGCACTGCTGGCCGGCTGGAGACATAAGCCTGGCCCAGGCAGCCCCAGGAAGCCCCAGGTAGCCCCAAGCAGCCCCAGGTAGCCCCAGGCAGCCCCCCTGGCTTGTGGCCGAGCTGCCTGGCCAGGACAGCACACTGGGTGCAAGCTGAGTGCTCAGCCTGCTGAGCCAGGCACATTTTGGGGCTGTTTTCTCTCTGGGACCACTGGCACACGGCCCCGCTGCTTCCCCTGGACCAGTCCCCGCTCCCAGCCCCCCCAGGACAGGGCAGGGGGAGGCCTCACCAGCTCCTGGGTCTCCGACTGGAAGATGGAGTGGACTCCGATGATGAAAGGTGTCGGCGTGCTCAGCACTTCCAGGAGCTGCGCGGGCAGGATGGGCACGTACGTGAAACTGCAAGCAGAAAAAGCAGAAAAGCTGTGAAATTGCTGCAGGTGGTGCAGCCCCGCTCGGTGCCCAGCCCCTGACCCCCCCACGCAGCCCCCCGGCAGAGCAGAGCCCACCAGCCTGGCTCTGCTGCCAGGAGCACACCAGCGTGTCCCCGAGCAGGGTCTGTGAGCTAGGACAGGAGGAGGCAGCACAGTGACCTGCCCCCATCCTCTCTCTGTTCCCCGGCAGCCGATGGTCCCCCCCCCTGCAGGACAGAGCTGTGGGGTGCCGCGTTCCCAGCAAAGCAGATTTTCGTCTGCCACTGTCAGCCCCCGAGGTAACACACATCTCACAGCTCTGCGAGGTTCCTGAGTGCTTGTGGACACAGACCAGGATCGTTCCCCGGCCCTGGAGTTACAGCCCAAGTCTGACTGGGGGAAAGGTTCCCAGCACCGCGACTGCAATCCAGCAGAAAGCTTTCCTTGGACTGCAGACAGCCCCTCTGCAGCCTGGGAACACGGCAGGCCAGGGTGGAAACAGCGCGACAGGAGCTGGCAGCCACAAGAGCTGGGATGTGGGGATGTGCAGCTAGCGGGTGGGCTGGGGGCTGCGTCCCCACGGCCCCAGGAGGGCGAGCAGGGTGCCGGCTGTCCCACGGGACACTGGAAACAGCTCTGTGTGCGTGTGCCCCGTCCTGGGGGCAGGATCTGCCCCACGGGTCTTTGGAAGCCTCCCAGCAACCAGCCCTGCCCAGTGGGGCGCTGGGGCTGGGACTGGGGCCGGGCCGCCCGCAGAAGTGGTGCCCAGAGGCTCAGTGCCCAGAGGCATTTCACTGCTGCGCACACCAGAGGCTCCAGGAGGGGAGCTGTGAGCGCAGCCAAGAACAAATCCCTCCCGTTGCCCACGCTGCGTTCACCTGCCCCACGCTGGCAGTGCCCCAGAGGCGGTGATCCACCAGCCAGGGCACGGAGCGAGGGGGTGGCAGATGCCTGGCTGGTTGTGGTGGCCCAGTGGCCTCCAGCTCTGCGGAGGGCTCAGGGAGCAGGGCGCTTCCCTCACCTGTACTTGAGGGGGAACATGAGGGCCAGGAGAGCCCGGCAGGCGTCGGTGAGCCTCTGGTAGCTGCTGGAGAGAAACAGGATCTTGTGTTCAGTAAGCGCCGCGCAGAAGAGATAGAGCACGTTGGTGATCCCTGGGGAGGAAGGGAGAGAAGAGCACTCAGGAACGAGGGCTGTGCCCCAGCACGGCCCCTTACAGCCCACCCGGCCCCATCCCACTCCCAGCTCCATGCCGTGCACAACAGAGGGGCTGACGTCCTGCAGGGAGCCACTGCGGGGTCACCCCCCTTGGGGATGGTGCTCGGGGGCTCTGGCGAGGTGCCACGACCCCTCTGTTGGTGGCACGAGGACAGGGCAGCACGGCTCTGCGCCCTTGGCATGCCTGTGGTGAGGCCTGGCCACAGCCCTGCTCCCAGCTGGGAAAGAGCCACGGCCCTTCCCCACCGAGGGGAAGGCAGAGCTGGGCTCGTTCCAACGGGGCTGCAGCTGGAGCACAGCCCCGAGCCCCCACCCCGGGCTGTGGACGTGGTGGGAGCTGCAGCCCAGCGCTCTGCTGGCCTTGGCACCGGAGCCGGTGAGAAGGAGGCGCGGGGAGAAGTCTCACCGAGCTGACGGAAGAGCAGGGCCACGCTGCAGCTGCTGACGGGAAGCGAGTCATTGATGGGCGTCTGGATCACCTGCCGGTCCCCCGCGCCCAGCGAGATCGTCCTCTGCAAGACAAAGCAGATGTGTCCGGGGCTTGCACCGAGCGAGGGGACAGCGCCGGCAGCAGCCCGAAGCCCTGCTCCAGGACTGAACCCTCGGCAGCACTTGAAGGAGCGGGGCAGAGCCGTGCTGCAGCTCACGAGGGCTCTCCGGGAGCTCCGTGCCCGAGGAGCAGCTCGCCTGCACCGTGCCCCCCGGTGCCACCAGGCAGGGGCCGCAGCACCAGCTCTGCACCAGCTCTGTGCAGCCTCAGGCGAGGCCACATCCAAGCAGAGCTGGCCCCGTTTGGCTCCTGGGGCAGGGGCTGGGGCGGGCACGCTGGGCGCAGCCCCACGTCTTCTCCCCTGGGGCAATTTTTCCCTGGGCACTGGGAGGCCCCCCAGGTCCTCAGCCTCTCCCCAGAGAGCCGAGGGCAGCCCCGGGTCGCTGCTCTCCCTGCGCCTCTCCAGGGACACGTTGCTCTGCAGCAGGAGGTTTCGCCACGCGTCCCACCTCCCCGCTCAGCTCACGCCACCGCAGCAGCCCAGCAGCCTGCCCCCAAACGCCGGGCTGGCCACGCAAAGCACCCCTGACCTGCTCTGCCAGCACAGCAGGCCAGGTTTTCACAACCCCCGGGGGAGGCAGAGCACAGCAGCCCTGCTGCCCGGAGCACAGCCCCATGCACGGCCAGGGCTCCGTGCCCGCGCTGGGGACGGACCCGGCTGCAGGGTGCACGGCCCCTGAGCCCTCCCAGGGCAGGGAGAGGTGGCTGAGGAGCAGACAGACCCGATGAAAGAAGAGGTGTGCGTACCGCTGCTTCGTCGTCCGCGTCAGGCTGAGATAGGGACAGACAGAGATAGCACAGTCAGTTAGAAACACACGGACACAGCCAGGAGAGGGGAGGCACGCACACAGCCACGGAGCAGAAGGAGGAGAGGAGCACACAGACAAAGCGAAAGCAGTGAAACTACACGGAGAGCTCCGGGACACAGCGGGGGAACGGGTGAAGCACAGGAAGGGAAGCGCCACCAACAAACTGTCCCTGCAGCACGCTGCTCGTCCCCACGGCACAGATCCATCCTGCAAGGAGCGGGAGGTGACCAACAACTGTGCCAAAACGCACGGCTCACTGAGCCACAGCATCTCCAGAAACCTCCCGGGTGCGAGGCCTCTCCTCGCCCTGCGTGCTGCTGACAGGCTCCACCTGGGAGGAACCAGACGGAGTCAGCCAGCCCTGGGCAGCTCCTGCAGGAGAGCTGCTGCCCGTTCCCATAGCCGGACGCAGCCCGGGATGCTTGGCACAGCCCCAGCCCCGCAGGTTTTGGCAGCAGATTGCTTCCTGCTCCATAGGAGCGGGGTGTGCCCGGCACGCAGCCCTGCAGAGCTCACCCCCACCAGGATCTGCAGCCCCCGGGCCGTCGGGGCAGCACCAAACTGAGGCTGGGCCAAAAAGTCAGCCCAAGGGGCAGCGCTGCCCGGCAGAAAGCACCAACACCAGGAACCTGCACGGGAGCAAGAGCAGCCGTCCCCTAGGGTCCTAGGGTCAGGGGTGGTGGCAGAACCTCAGCCTGCAGGCACCGGGGACCTGCAGCACAGCCAGGGCCTTGCAAAAGCTCCTTCCCCTGGGCACAGAATTGGACGCTGCCTTTTGCTGAGCAGCTGGAAGCGAAGGCACGGCAGGAACAAGTGCCACAGCCGTGGCGATCTTCCAAGGGTTAGCATGGCAAAACAGCTCCGGGGGGTTGCGCTGCTGTCTCCAAGTGCTTCCAGCCAGAGGCTCCAGCTGGGCGCTCTCCACTTTTTCCATCTCCTCGTCAATTAGCCCTTACACCCAGCTGCTGCTGGCGTGGGCCTGCAGCCCAGCTGGCCTTCCTGGAGCAGCAGGAGCAGCACAAGGGGAGCGCACGGCTCGGGGAGGGAAGGGGAGGCACTTTCTGATGGCCTGCTCTGGGCACAAGCAAGGCTGTTGCTCCTCCAGCCCTGTCCAACAATCACAGACGCCGGCCATGCACGGGCACAAGCCAGTGGTTTGAGAAGAGAGCTCCGAGCCCTTCATCTAGCAACCAGGAGCCCTGCTTGGCCTGTCTCGCTCGAGCTGTCTCGTCCCTGCTCTCACAGCCGGCCTGTGACCAGCTCTGGAGCAGCTCTCCGTGCAATCCGACAGGCCTGAGTGGAGGAGCAAGACCTCCCTGGTGCAGGGGCAGCCACAGCCCGTGGCAGCTGTTTGCACAGACGGCTCTGCGACTCCGCAGCTGGGGTGAGCCCATCCAGCTCCCCCTCCTGCAGGGAGCCACCACAAAGCTGCTCACTCACGGCAAGCGAAGCAGCGAGATGGCCTCAGCTGGGGCAGGAGCTGAGCTGCTCCAAATCACGGAGCTTTGCTGTTTCTACTCAGGAGCACTTGGGAAGGCACCGCGGGCACCACTCAATGCCGTGCCAGCAGCAGTGCCAGCTCGGCAGCAGCCAGCACAGGGAGCCAGCTGCTGCCTGCAGGCTCAGCAGCCCTGCTCAGCCCTGCTCTGCTCAGCTCAGCTCAGCTCAGCTCAGCTCAGCTCAGCCCAGCTCAGCCCAGCGCCCAGGACGCAGCCGAGGGGCTGATCCCTGCCCTGTGCCTCCGCTCTGCGGGAGCCGCACGAGGCAGAAGCGCGGGGAGGTGGGAGGGGGCGCGGGCAGGCAACCCACCTGAGCTCCCCCGGTGATGGGGATGGTACACGTCAGCAGGTTCCCGATGACGTTCTCCAGGGACACGCTCAGTCCGTCCACGTAGATGGTGTAGATCAGGCCCAGGCTGTTCTGCAGAGGGAAGCAGAGCGCGGCTCAGCACCGGCGCAGGGGGCAGAGCGAGGGTCTCCAGCCCGGGCACTGCTCCCTGTGCCTCCCAGCGCCTGTCCCAGGCAGGAGCACATCCCAGGACAGCCGAGCCCTGGGTGCAGGGCTCGAGGTCTCCCCTTGAGCTTCCCGCAGTGAGTCCTTGTAGGCAGGGAGGGGACATTCAGCCTGTGCCCAGCCTGCTCCCAGCAGGAGCTGGGGCTCAGGAGCTCCACAGGCAGAGGGGGAGCTCTCCAGCACTCCTGGTCCCTGTGGAGTTTAACCAAGTCTCATAAAGACCCCAAACAAGGGACAGGGAGGAGTCCCCTTGGTCACCGAGGGCTTGTTGGGGCCAGGCTCTGCTCTTCTCGCTGCACACACCGAGGAGCCAGCGTCGGCTCCTGCACAGGGACACAGGCACGGGGCCGTGTTCAACACGTCCTCTGCTGGGACACGAAGAGCCACAGTAACACAAGATATATAACCAGGAATTCGAGGAATTTGTCTCCAAGGCACTCTGTTTTTTCTCCTCAAACCACCTCTCCGTGTTGGTAGGAAGAGAGGACACCAGTCACTGGGCCTTTCGGAGAGAGGGCAGCAAGGGGCAGAGTGAGAAGCGAGCTCCTGTTCCTGCCTGCCCACGGACACACGGACACACGGACATGGACACACGGACACATGGACACACGGAACACGGACATGGACACACGGACATGGACACACGGAACACGGACACATGGACACACGCAGCTCTGCTGGCCACGCAGCGGAGAGAGCAGGGACCACGACCCCAGCCCAGCATCACGCCAACCAAGGGGGAACAGGCGAGGTCTGGGGCTGTGCAGAGACCCCTTCAGAGACCAGAAGGGGCCGGGACAATGAGCCATGTGCTGGGGAGCACATGAGCCAGAGCAAGCAGGGCGAGCAATGCCAACACTGCTCAGCCTCCCAGCGAGGGCAGCGGGGCAGAGCGGGCAGGTAGCAGACATCGAGCTGGGAGCTGTGCCAGCCAGGCTCCAGGCGCTGCTGCAGGAAATGTCTGTGTTGGGCAATAAGCGAGCTGACCCACTTTCCTCCAAAAACATCCCCAGCACAACCTGCTCCTGCCCCGTGCGGCAGGCGCGGCGGCACGGCTGACCTCGCTCTGCCCTCCCAGACCCCAGCCACGAGCAGCTCCTGAATTTTGGGGAGTCTCAGCTCCACGGGGGGCTGGACAAGGCACAGCTCATCCCTGATGTGAAGACGAACACGGGACACAACTGGTGAGGGGAATGGGTTTTGTGTCCCAGCTCCCGTCTGCTCTCACGCTCCCTCCTGTCCCGGTGTCCCTGCTCTCACCGGAGGGTCTCTGTCTTTTCCTGCCACCCCTCAGCCAGCACAGCCTCACGTACGCTCAGACACCTTCCCAGCACCATACACAGGTACAAGGTGCATGGTCTGCCTTGCTGTGAGGGTGCCCGAATGTGGCCCAGGCTGCCCCAACACGCTGCAGCTGGACACGGTCCTGGGTGACCGGCTCCAGCTGCCCCCGCTCCAGCAGGGGTTGGAGCAGAGGTCCCAGCAGGACGTCCCTGCCAGCCCCAGCTGCCCTGGGGTCCTGTGAAGCCCGAGGTCTGTTTGAAGCAGCTCCAGGCTGAAGAATGGAGTGATATTTTTCCCTGTCAGCTATTACCACCAGGAGGGCGCAGCGGCTGAGCACCCCCAAGGAACAGCCCGTGCCCACGGGGCAGGCTGAGAACAAGAAACGCAGGCACGGGGCAGCTACCCCAAAGTGATATCCTCACAGCAGGAGGGAAAAAAGGAAGAATAGAGCCCAGCCTGGTGGAAAATGCCACCCTCCACAAGCCCAGCACCTGGGCTAGCAGCAGACGCTGCCCACACGTGCAGGGCAGAGCTTTAGGAAGGTGCCAGGTCGCAGCCCGTGCCCTCCCAAACCTTTTCCAGCCACATAATGCAACGAGATTGAGGAAAATGCAGATGGCCAAGATAAAGGCTGTGCAGGAACAGGCTGTGCTTCACGGTTTTTGCATTAACAGAAGTGGGTCAAGGCCACCAGCTGCCCAGAGTGGCCAGGTCCCTGTTTGCTGCTCTGTGGCCAGACGTTCGGGTTCAGCGCGCCATGGGACAGGGCGCAGGGAGCAGGCTGGGCTCTGGCAGCACATGGCACTGGGGGGCTGTGTGGCCTCCTGCAGCTCCCACAGCCTCGAGGTCTTCGCTGAGGTTGCTCCTCCTCGTCTCCCCTCTCCCAGATGGTTTCAGACTTACCCTGAAGACCTCAGCGTGGTCCAGCCGCGACACCAGCACCAGGCTTTTGGGAGCAAAGAGCTGCGCCGGTTGAACAGGAGATGAGGACGACTCTTCCTCCTCCTCGCCATTCCTGGGGTGGCTCTGAGGCTGCGGAGACACGCGGATCAGCCACGTCAGACACCCCTCCCTCTCCCAAATCCCAGGTTCTTCCAACAGGGGAAAACCAGGCACCCGCAGCACCAGGCACCCTCCCCGGCAGCCCGCGGTACCTGCGCGCTCTCCACGGCCTCCCAGAAGGTGAAGCAGGCGCAGTAAGTGCCGCTCCGAATTGATATCGGTGAGCACGGCGACGAAGAAGGTGGGGGGGTTCCTCTCCGTGAAGAGCTGCCAGCCGCTGGGCTGGCAGAACTGCAAGAGAGAGCAGGGGAGGGGGTGAGAACCGGGACCCGCTGCCACCCCGTGCCTGTCCCAGAGCTGGCATGGGGCTGGGGCTGAGCTGCGCATCGGGAGCGGTGCCTGCAGGATCCGTGCTGGGAGCTCCTCCAGATGGGGTTTGGCTGGGTGTGGGGTGAGGTCAGGGTGTGGGGTGAGGCTGGGGCTGTGGGGCTCTGTTGGGGCTGTGGGGTGAGGCCGGGGTGCGGGCGCAGCGCTCCGGGAGGGGGCACTGCTCCTGCGGGGCCGGGAGCGCCGACCCGGGCTGCTCCGCACTGCAGCGCGCGGCTTGGCTGGTTCCTGGGGACTTCCCAAACACCCTCCCAGCCCAGTGGGTAATTCCAGCCCCAGAACTCCCCGCGGGGTTTCAAAATCTCAAGGGATTTTTCTGCATTTCCTCTTCTCAGCATCCGCATTTGGCTGGTGCTGGCACTGGAAAATTCCCGGTAGTTTTGGGACCCCACAGAAAGTGCTTGGAGAGCAGGAAAACGCGGCAGCTTCCGCGGGCACAGTCTGGCAGCCCCGAGGACGAGGCGATTTCAGCAAAACGGGGGCTGAGAGAGGGAAGGCCACAGGGCTGGATGGGCACAAACACCAGCTCCAGCCCTCGCTGCTGAAAGCTGCTTCCAGCCCGGTGCAGTTTGCCAGCCATTCGCCACTCTCTGTGCCCTGTATCACGCTCAAGCACCCTGTGCCACACATCCTCCTGTCCTCTCCTATGCAGCATGGCTCTAAGCTGGGAATTGGCCGCAGCTCTGCAGTTTCCAGCTGCCCAGGAGTTGGCAAGGCCAAAGGACACGGCTGGCTGCCCGCCGGGCCCTGCCACGTCCCCGCGGAGCCGTGCCCGGGGCCTCTCCTTCCTGCTGCCCGGCCCCGGCAGCGCAGGAGGTGGCAGCGAGCAGCTAAGTTGAGAGGAGTTGCTCGGCCCCAAGACTCCCTGCAGGTTACAGACGAGGCTGAAGCACACCACGGCTCGCAGCCCGCAGGAGCTGGCTGCCGGTCCCACCCGTGGTCACCAGAGCGGGGTGCAAGGAGCAGGACGCACCCCGTGGCTGCGGAGCTAAGCCTCACGTGGAGATGTGAGTACAAGTCTGGGTGCCAGGGGTTGAGCGTGCCATTTCTCGGGCCTTGGGATGAGCAATCTGCATCCCCTGGACTGCTCCCCGTGGAAAACTGCACGAGGACACCACCACCACCACCACTACTGCTGGGCACGGGCCCTGCTCCGTTGCCCCCATAAAGCTGCCCCCTGTGCCGTGGAGCTGGGCCACACGGAGCTCACAAGCACAGGAGGACAAAGCCACGGGCCCCCAGGCAGAATTAATGATCCCTGCAGGAGGTGAGCCCGGGGCCTTGCCTCACCCAAACCCGCAGCGGGAGGACGCTGACCCCATGCCCGTTTCCCCTACGGCTCTGCAGAGCCAGCACCCGAGGCAGGCTGCTCCTCGCCGAGCCCAGCGCAGCCACCGGTGGCTCTGCTCGCTCCCAGCACTGCAAACCCACAGTCCATGGGTCCAGACCGAAGTGGCAGAGGAGCTCGGCTCAGCTCTCATCACACCACAGGAGCAAAGTGCCCAAGGACATCTCTGTGCATCCCACAGGGGGCTGAGACCCCCAGAACGCAGCCCCACCGAGCCCCCTGCCAGGGCCAGGACCGGCGGCAGCGCGTGGCTGCACAGCCCCGTGCTCTGTTACCCGAACGAGGAGGCTGCAGCTGCCAACACGCAGGCAATTACCTTGTGGTCGGAAACAAAAGGACCTCGCTGCTTCACCCCGGGGAGCAGCAGCAGCCCTGATGCTCTCCAGCACATGGGTGCCAAGAGCAAACGCAGGAAGCTCATCTCTGCCAGCACGCACCAGCTCCCAAGCTGGCTGTCTGCCAGCGTTTCCCCTTGGCCACAACGCGCACCTCGACACCCAGGTGGCCAAAAGGCCAACAGCATCCTGGCTTGTGTAAGAAGCAGTGTGGCCAGCAGGGCTAGGGAGGTGATCGTCCCCCTGTACTCGGCTCTGGTGAGGCCGCACCTCGAGTACTGTGTTCAGTTTTGGGCCCCTCGCTACAAGAAGGACATCGAGGTGCTTGAGAGGGTCCAGAGAAGGGCGACGAAGCTGGTGAGGGGCCTGGAGAACAAGTCCTATGAGGAGCGGCTGAGGGAGCTGGGCTTGTTCAGCCTGGAGAAGAGGAGGCTCAGGGGTGACCTTATTGCTCTGTATAAGTACATTAAAGGAGGCTGTAGTGAGGTGGGGGTTGGCCTGTTCTCCCACTGTGCCTGGTGACAGGATGAGGGGGAATGGGCTTAAGTTGTGCCAGGGAAGTTTTAGGTTGGATATTAGGAATAAATTCTTTACTGAGAGGGCCACGGCTGTCCCGCTGTCCTCGGCGTGAGCTTGGAGAGGAGCGGTGCTGCCATGGGGAAGCACTCACATCCTGTGCCTCTGGAGCAGCTTCCACCAGGAAAAAAAAAAAACAAAAAACAATTTTTGTTTGGAAATGCTGTCAGCGAGCTGGGGCAGAAGCTGCCAATTCCTCAATTCCTGTTCCCTAAGACACCGAAAATGTGCTCCTCGGAGCAGTCGGACACAGAAGGGACGGCACCGGGGGGCACAACGCTACCAGCGGGGGCTGCCCGGTGTCCCCACGCTGCCTGCCAGCCCTGCGTGCCGCTCGGCCACGAGCCTCCCGGTGACTGCTGGAAAGCCTCGGAGCCACCCCATGGCTCCCAACAGGACGAGGCTTCAATTGTTTAAATTCCGCAGATTTTTTGGCTGGACAGTTTGGCCCTTGGGAAAAAAGCGCAGCTTTCCTCGTTCTTGGCACAGGTCCCACGTCCCCTGCAGACAACAAGGAAACGCGAACCAGAAAAATAATATAGATTTCTGCCTCAGACAAAGTAAATAGCGACGTCCAGGACTGCGCTGGGATTACGGGGAGCACGCAGTAAATAGGAAGAAGGTTTCCCACCGCCGGTCCCGAGGACTGGTGGGCACGCAGCGCCACGTGGCAGCTACGGAGGAAGAGAGCGGATGGGGAAAGGTGTTTTTGGGTTGTTTTTGTTTCTCACAGCTCTAGCTTGTGAGCAATAGGCAATAAACTTTATTATCTCCCTTCTCGGAGTCTGTTTTGCCCGTGACGACAATCGCTGAGTGACCTCCCTGTCCTTATCTCAACCCTCTCCGTATTTTCTTCCCCTTTCCCTTTGAGGAGGGGGAGCTCGGCTGCACACCCCAATAAAACCCCCACACCCTGCAGGCACCAGCAGGGCCCAGAGGTTTGTGCACCCAAAATGCTGCCCGTGGGAGAGACAGGCAAGGCAGAGCCCAGCACACGCCACCCCGGCCCCCTGCACCACGTCTGCTCGGAGGGGACGAAGCCCTGGGGACAGCGTGACCCCGATGGGGTCCCCTTCTACATCAGGAACCCGCAGCTCCCCTGGCCAACACGAGGGTTGTTCAGATATCCTAGTGCTCGTAGGGCAGCAAATGAACTTCTAAAACTTCATCGTCGTCACAGTTTGTGCTCCGCTGCACTCAGCCAGGACCAGGGAAGAGCTGCAGGAGGAGGAACACAGCCGAGAGGGGGTCTCAGCCTCGCGGTGAGGGGGTCCCGAGGAGCCCACGCTGCTTTCCAGCAGAGCGGCAGCACCGACGCAGCAGGGAAGGGTTTTAAAAGAACTCCTGCTCAAATTTAGAAACCGAGGAGAACAATCCTATTATCCTTGATTAGCTAAAAGCTGGTTTGTGAAGAACCCACGCAGCGCCAAATTAGACTGGGTGTGTCGCTCTGGGTACGACCCAGCAGCGATCGCAACCTCAAAGGGCTGCACGGCAGCGGGCGAGCGCAGCCCTTTGGAGGAGGGCTGGGGGAGGGATCCAGGGCCCCCACCCTGGCCCGGGGGATGCAAGCGGAGCACACCCAGCCCTGCAGCAGGGCGAGCCCCCGCCGGCACGGGCTGGGCAGCGCTGGGGAGCTCTGCCGATGGACGAGCCCGCTGCCTGGTGACGGGGATGGCAACGCGGAGCTTCATCCATGCAGCTCCCGAGGGAAGCGTGGCCAGGAGCAGGGGGGGCACACCAAAACCCACCACTGCCAGGGCTGTGTTGGGGTGGGTGGGCTCTGCTCTCTGCTGGGGCAGTGCGGGGACAGCCAGCCCGGGCCCCGGCCCCGAAGGGCAGCACACTCACCAGCTCGATGCCTTGAGGAAGGGGTTGTCCTCCCAGTCCTTCTCGGGGAAGCGCTGCAGAATCTGTCCCTGTCCATCCCCGCTGCCTGCAGGAAGGAGAGGAGGATTAGAGGGCAGGCAGCCTCCCGGGGACGCCGGGCAGAGCTCCAGCAGCACGACACCCCCACGGACACGGCAGCGCAGCAGCGACCCCAGCCCCTCCGCGCGCCCTGGCACAGGGATGGGCGCCCCCGAGCCAGAGCAAACAGCCCGGAGCAGCTCTGGGGATGCACAACCTGGCCAGCAGAAGTGCAGCAGATCTCTGGCCAAGTTTACCCTTGGTTTCCTTCCTCGTTGCCACTGCTCGTTATCTCCAACTTGGCACTCGACGTTTTCCCCGAACAATGGAACCGAGCGGCTCCGTTTCATTTTCAGGTTCCCCTGGGGCCCGCAGCTTTACATCACCTGAAGCCCACCCCGCTGCTGAAGGCCACCCACAACCTTCCCCTGGCTGAACCCAGCAAAACGAGCATCCCCCGCTTGCCCCCTGCCCGAGCTGGCCACGTAAGCACGGAGCCGGGCACAGCAGGGACGAGGCCAGTGCTCCAGGAGGCACATGGAGAGCCTGAAGCAGCAGCAAAACCCCGCTGAGGCTCCTGTAACTCCTGCTGCATTCACGGAGCTGTCTGCGAGGCCAGCGGAGCGGCCACATCCCTCAGCTATGAGCTTACACCCCGTAAATCCCTGCTCCAGGGCACGGAGCTGCAGGGAGGCACCCGGGGCGCTGAGCTCCTGCTGGGCGCAGTAACCCCCACGGAGGGGTGGCCCCAGCCCACGGACCCGCCGGGGGGTCCCGGCGGACGCCTCCCTCTCCTCCTGGCAGGGACATCCCAAGCCTGTGGGGCCACGTCACGGGAGGAGCCGCACCGGGAGGTGCGACGCCGCCGTCGGGATATTTGGGCACCCAGACCTGTCTCCACCACCCCACTCACCACTGGCCAGCCACAGCTGAATTTAGCAGAAGACGGCATCAGAAGAGATGCCACTTATAGCCCAAGGACCGAAATGGAAAGGTCAGTGCCAAGTTGTGAAGAAAATAGTGCCAGGCGGCACGTTGGCCGAATCCCCCTCGCCTGTCCCTCGGGCAGGGCTGGCACAGCGGTGGCACCAAGCACCACGAGGGCTGCCTGCTCCAGCACTGCTGGGCTGCACGGGCAGCACGAATGGAGAGGTCGCTCCGGCAGATGTTGGAGCAAGAGGGCACTCAGCCCCCGGGTTTCTCCAGCACGTTATTTAGCAGTGTGCACCCCACATGCGCCCCAGCTCCTTCTGCCAGCACCACCAACCGGCCGTCGGTGCCGAGCCATCCGGCGCTCCCTTCGGTTCCTCCTCGGGCAGCCCGACCGTGCCCCGGCACACATCTGCCTATCGGGCTGTTCTATCAGCGCAGCCCTTCCTGCGGCACGGAGCCGGCCCGGCCAGCCGATTCTTCTGCTCCCCGTTTGGGGAAGGCACGTGTGCGTGTGAACGGGCGCTGGAGCAGCTGCTGCGCTCCGCTCCTTCCTTCCTGCCGGCTCCTCCGTGCAGAAATGGCCGCGGGACCCAAGGTGACACCTGGCCGCTGCTCCTGGGGCAGCCTGCGACGCCCGGGATCCGTGTCAGGCTATATTTGGAAGTTTATGAGATCTTATCACAATACAGGAAACTCTAAATAAGCAAAAAGTTAAACACTCAGCTGACGCACCACAACCCAGTGACCTCAAGGCCCGGGCAGGCATGCTGGCACGCTGGGGACACTGGGGACACTCTCCCGGGGCAGGCAAGCTCCCAGCGAGAAGCTCCCCACCGCTCCCCTTGCTCCTGACACCGCTGAGTGCTGGGACGAGAGCAGCTCAGCCCCAGTGCCCAGCGGAACAGCCGGACCGGGGCTGCGCTCACGGGGCCCTGTGCCCTGCTCCCGGAGCGTCCCCAGAGCCCTGCATCCCCGTCCCCCCGGCCTGGAGGCTGCCCCCAGCCCCTGTGCACCTCTCCAGGCTGGCACTGCCTGCAGGAAGCTCGCAGCAGTGTTTTTATCCACTTGGACCTCCCCTTGCTGTGACGGCAGAGCGAGGGGACTCGAAGAAACATTTCCATGCAGCAGGGGATCGTGGCTGGCTCAGCTCCTCCAAGGGCTGTGCCTGCAGCCCGGGGCCCTGCCTGCGTCCCCCAGCACTGCACAGCCTGCGCTCAGCCTCCAGAGCACTCAGACATCGCTCCCAAGGTCAGTAGGAGCTTCAAATTGCTCCCCGGCATCTCACAGCCGAAATTGGTTCAAGCTCAGCTGTTTTAAAGCACCACAAGGTGCCCCGTGCCACAGGAGCACCAAGCACAGCTCCTGCGGTGTTTTCCTGCAGCGTGGTGCTCAGCCACAAGGCACAAACCTGGTGGCAACCTGCAGGGGACCTGGGGCTGCTGCCATGAGTGCTCAGAGCCGTGCTCAGCCCCCACTGGGCCCAAACCTGCCCGCGCCGTGCCATGGAGTCGGGCACGGGGCTGCCCGCAGGCTGCTCGTGGTGCTCCCGGAGCAAGCAGCGACCCAGACAACCCTCGCCAGGCCACGAGGAGGGTGAAACAGCGTTGGGCAATCGCCCCGCAAGAAGCAGGAGCTATTGCATCAACTGCTGCCCCGCTGTGAGTAACGTGCCAGCACCTCTCTGCAGCGCTCAGCTCCACCTGCAGTGCCAGATCCCGGCACCGCTGCCACGCGGCAGCCGGTGAGAAACGGCACGGCAAGGGCCTGGGGAAAGCAGGCACCACGGGGAGTGCTCAGGTAAATGTGTGGATCAAACGAGCACCGGAGTGTCCAGGATGGCTGGCACTGAAACAAGCAGAACGCCGCGTTCAGCTGCTGCGAGGAGACCGGGGAAGGAAGCGAGCAGCAGGCGAGGCGCAGCAGCGATCAGGGCCCCGGCTGAGCCCCAGCCAAGAGCGCTCCGGCACCAGGCTGCAGGAGCCCGCAGCGAGAAAGCGGCAGCAGGAAGCTCCCCGATTCCTGTTTGCTGGCCAAGCACAAAAGATCTGGAGCACGGGACAGCAGCCCAAGGCTGCGACCTGCACGGGGTTGGCCAGGCACCAGCAGCTCCCCGCGGCACGCTCGGCTGCGGGCTGCAGGCTCGCCCTCGGCCGGAGCACCGCAGGCACCGTGCCCTCTGCCAACACCCAAGCCCGCAGCGTGGCACCGAGCTGCCCATAAAAGCCACTCCAGCTCTTGGGGGCACTACAACGAGTGTCCCCCTTCTTTCTGCCCAGCAGGAGAGCAGGGGACAAGCCGCAGTCATGGGGGACGTTGCTGCAGGGCCCTGTGCAGGCTGGAGGGGACACAGCGGGGACGGATGCGTCACCTGCAGAGCCCTGGGAGCTGCGTGGGTCCCCTCCCCAGCTCCCCCAGCAGGAAGCAGCCTCCTTTTTTCACCCCAGCACCACTCCTGCTGTTTCACTTTCAGACACAATCCTTACCAGCCGTCACCGCTGGCTCTCATTTCCCCTGCGTTGCCCGTCAGGCTTCACCCCAGAAGAGAAGCTTTGGAGACAGGTTCCAACCAAATCCCTTCTCATTTCTTCCTTTCAGCCTCAGGAGGAAGCTCCTTTGAGGTCCTCCTCATACAGATTTCACACTGAGGCTCCTGTGTTCACCCCCTTGGCCCCAGAGTTTCCTCCAAGACGAGGGGATTCATCACGCTGAGCGGAGGAGACGAAGCACCGCAGCCAACGGGGGTCAGCACGCGAGAGGCAGGGACACCACAGGGACACCACGGACATCAACTCCTCCTCCAGGAGAAGCTTTGGGGGTTCACAAAACTGTGCAGGGAATCCAGGGGGAAGTCAGGGGTTCAGAACTTGATCCTGCAAGCCACAGCCCTGCTTCTCCCTCAGTGCCTCGCAACTTCACAGCTGGTGCCTGGACACCAAGGTGAGCCCCGAGAGGCAGCCAAGGGACCGGTGACAGCGAGACTGTGAGCAGCACGAGGTGGATTTCAGGCCTGGTGCACGGGACCCGAGAGCAGCCACAGCTCCACCACCCCGGTACCTGCAGGCAGGGTGTCCCTGCGCCCCTGGGATCCAGCGGGACAGCAGGCAGCTCTGTGCTGGGAGCAGGGTGCAGGACCCCAAGAGACCCGCGGTGATGTGCAGCACCACGGTCCCAAGCAGTGTTTCCTAAACCCAACTAGGTCCCGGCCACCTTTCGGTGCTGTGCCGCTGCGGTGGCCCCAGGGAGCAGCGGGAGCATCGCCCCCTTGGTCCACATCACCCCTCCAGGTCCCCGGGGGCTGCCCCAGCACGTTGGACAGCCACAGACCCAGCCCCACCACCGGTGGCCGCGGCTGCCCCGGGAGCAGGGTGGGGAGCGGAGGTCCCAGCCCCGCCAAACCCCGCGCACCGGAGGGCACGGCAGCCCCGAACAACACGGCGAGTGTCTGCCCGGGACACAATAACTGCACTGTTCCCGCCTTACATATTTATGAAACCAGCACGAAGAATGGCTTTTCTATGGGGGAACACAAAAGGGCTGTGTGCGGTGCTGAGGATGGAGCTGGCCCGCTCCTCCCTGCCCCTGTGCAGTCCCAGCTCCCCCGGGGAAAAGCCCATCCATGCCCCAAAGCCACCGTGGCCCCGCGGGAGCACGATGCCACCGCCGAGGGCACAGCTCACCGGGCAGCCAGCCGGTGGTGGTGGCATTCGCTGGGCTCGTGCTGTCCCCTCCTGCTCTTCCCAGAGCCCCGACCCGCCGCCCCATTTGTCTGCAGAGGGGCCGACAAGCCAGACCAATAAATAACCCACACTTTTTTCTTCGCTTCATGTTTTAGTGCCACTTCACAGGGCGAAAACTTGGGAAAAGACAGAGCTCGGCCCTTTCCCAGGAGGCGAGACAACCAGATGCCTGCGTGCCAGCTGAGTCAACCAGCCCTGGAAGCAGCCGCAAACTCGAGGCAGATTTGAATCGACACCAACAGGAGCAGCGGCCCCACAGCAAACCTGCAGGACAAGAGCAGGGCGGCACGGAGGCTGCGGGCTCTAATTCCACTTTTGGTGGGTTTTTAGGGCAAAACACTGCGTAAAGAACCAACAT